TTAGAGTATGTGAAGTTTCACATTTGTTATGTTAATTTCTACTTTCTTTAATGAGCAACAGTTATGTTAAAACCGGAGTTTTTTCTGTTCTTGTTTAAACAGGTACTTGCACGAAGTTTGCTTGCCTTCAATTGTACATAGGAACTTCAAGTCGGCGAATATATTGCTAGATGAAGAACTTAATCCTCACTTATCAGACAGTGGTTTAGCTGCTTTAAACCCTAACACTGAGAGACAGGTAATAACAATGGAGGGGGAAAGAATCAGATTTTGAGCTACTGTTGACACGTTTTTTTCTGAAGCCTTTACATGGTATGTTTAACAGGTTTCAACTCAAGTGGTGGGTTCATTTGGATACAGCGCTCCTGAGTTTGCATTGTCGGGAATATATACTGTGAAAAGTGATGTCTACACTTTTGGAGTAGTCATGCTTGAGCTCTTAACTGGTCGAAAGCCTCTTGACAGGTTTCTTTTTCATCTAATGTCAACAAAAAACCGCCATTGATTTGAGTTTTCCTTAATGAATCTGCGGTTTGTGTGTGTTGTTTTATAGCTCGAGGACAAGAGCAGAGCAGTCACTGGTCAGATGGGCTACACCGCAGCTTCATGATATAGATGCATTGTCTAAAATGGTTGATCCTTCTCTTAATGGCATGTATCCTGCTAAGTCACTCTCTCGATTTGCGGATATCATTGCTCTCTGTATTCAGGTAAGTTCATCCCAAGTAAATGAACAAAACGTTTTGTTTTCGTAAAGTAACCTTCTTTTTTTTTCTGTTAATTTAGCCGGAACCAGAGTTCAGGCCTCCAATGTCAGAGGTGGTGCAACAGCTAGTGAGATTGGTTCAACGAGCAAGTGTAGTCAAACGAAGATCTAGTGATGACACTGGCTTTTCTTACAGGACACCTGAACATGAACATATCGATATCTCTTTCTGAGTAACAATAATCCAAACCTATTCCAAGCTAAAGATCAGCTGTCAAACTCAAGAGGAAGACAAGAGGAAGAGAGTTTTGCTCAATACGTAAGAGACTCTGATCCAAAGGATGCGACAGAGAGGTAAAGAAATGCATCTTGGATAAGAGAAAAAAGTATGAAACTTTGTTTGTGTATTTTCCGTGAGGATAAAATTAGAGTACATAAGAAGAATCTCTGTACCATGTTTCAATCATCTTCTTCTTTTTTTTGTTGAAAAATCAATCAATCCAAGACTCTTTTTGCATCTAAATAAGATTTTGAAATTAGCATTGGAGTGTTCTGTTTTTTGTTTGTCGAAATAATTTTGTAAAAACTGCTTCAAGAAACATGATTAAGAAAGTGAGAAACGGAACTATAGAAGATAAGATCTTATGTTAATTTTTGTTGAGATGACCAAAAGTCAAAAAGCGTTGTTCATGTTCATCTCTTCTCATCAGACACCAAACCAACAAACCATAGCAAACAGACCTAAACTTAAACTTAAACCCCACGGAAAAGTCTATACAACTGACTCCGCCACCATAATTTGTCTTCATCATCTCTCCGATATCTCTCCTTTTTTCACATTTAGTCTTGGGAAAACGCACCATACAGACATCATCACAACCACAAGGACAAAGACAAATTCCCTAACTTACTAAAATCTGCACCAAAGAGCTTCCAAGTTATAACTTACCATCCCCTGTGGCTTCTACCCATCAGAACCCTGCGATTATCTTTTCCTGCGCTTCGTTTCCACCTGAAGAAGACAACAATGCCATTGTTACTATTAGCCACAAGCTTAAAAGCACAAAACAGAAGCTAATAATTGCGGTACAAAAGCTTTTTAAAATCATTCTCTCCCGTTAACAGTCAAGGAGATTTCTATCTATGACATGCTTAAGTTCGTGGAAGTGTATAAGCATTTCAAAATGGATCTTCGGTAACCTTAACAGACAGATCGTTTTGCAGCAAGACCTGGAGTAACGCTAAGCAAATAACCAGATCGAGATAGGACCAAGAACCACAAATTGTATCTTTCTGGCTATGCCCCACTCAGCAAAGCACCGTCAAGCCAGTGCATACTTTTTGGTTTTCTAACTTTTCTCAGATCTCAAGTTGAAGTCCATGACAGGACACAGGTGCACACAGAGCGGCAGAGGCTAAGGTTATCAAAGTAAATAGAACATCTATATAGGAAATGACTAATGAGAGAGAAACGGACCTTAACATCATCCGCTGGAGATGCAGTGAACCCGTTCTGCGATTTTTTGACATCGTCATCAGAGCTGCATTCAGCACATACAAAGTGATCAAGCTTCTTTGCTTCTTCAATCGTCATGCCCACACATGCAGGATGATACCTACAACACCAAATCGCAACTCTTACCATCAATAATTCGTGGAATACGATACCAGTAAGTTTAACTAAATGTAACGAAGTTAATAAAAAGATAAGTATCAACATTTACCAGTCTTTGCAGCCTTCGCATTGCACCATGAGATCGTCTGGATTATAAGGCATTTCACATTTGCAGTACCTTCAGAACCAAAAAAACACCACAACATAATATAAATTATTGACATTCCAGTAAATTAGAAGACATGTTTCTGAATTGTTTACTACTTATCAACTTACACAGCAACTCGATCAGGGGTAAACGCGCCAGTAGCAGCCTTGTACTCGAATCTACAATAATAATCCTCCGCCCCAACGTTTTCAAGCCTCGTGTAGTTTTTGAAGGTGTGAACGATGCATTTTCCCTCAATGGTGTGCGCGCTTTGGACGTCAAAATGGTCAGACAAGAAAAGTTCTTTAGCTCCATGGAACTGTCTCCTACCACCAAGGGACTCCTCGGGACGGTAGTACCATCGACAGTGCACCTTCACGTTGTTCCTCGCATCTGCTTCGATCTTCTCAACACGGGCCACATACGGTGGTTTACCAGCATCTGATGGGCGCATCAACACACAGTCTCCAGCTGCAGAAAACAACCTCAAAGATTACTTCATAGCTCACCATGACCAAAAAGTACTAAATGGATACGAATCTTGTGACATGTTATAATCTACACAAACGTACAACAAACAACAGAATCAGCTTCCAATGAAAAAAAGATGGGATTGCAAATATTGAGTATACCATCACTCTTATACACCTAGTAACAAGCGAATATCTGGATTCTGAGTAAATGTAAGATCTTTCACATGTTAAAGCACACATTTTGCATAAACGCACATAACGAGCTACAATGTGGATGACAGAGATGCAGTAAAACGAATTCATGTAACAAACCAAACAAATGATATGGACCATCTTCAAAGTTAACCAGCTAAAGAAAAATTTCTTTCATAGAGTCTAATAAAGCAAGTAAAGTAAGAAAATTTACATAAAAGAAGCTCAAATCAAAACAATTTACTGATATGTGTCTCCGTTCTACAAAACAAAAAGGGCAGCTACGAAGCAGTGAAATACACATATAACAGCTACATCAGCTACACACATTGAACATGACGACTTAGAAACAAGGGTGAATCTAAAAACACTTAAGCAGACATTGAATGATACAGACTCCATACTTAAGCTTCAGAGAAAAGGACTTTCTTTGTATACACATACTTGATGCTCAAATGCTCTAAAACATGCACAAGAGTGTGTAATTTTACAAGTGACGATAGAAGATGATTTGAGACTACCTCTCACAACTTTGGTGGTGCCTTTGATGGTATAAGAGTCCAGCTCCTTCCTTCCAGGTTTGATTTTCGAGGCGACACCAGGTCGAGTTTTCGCCATGGAAGCTAGGGTTAAAAAAAATTAAAAAAAAAAAACTGGTGAAGCCGGAATAAAGCTAGGTTTTTGTTTGCCTCCGTACCTTGAAATGTACAGAGATTTGGGGTTTTTAGAAGATCTAGGGTGTGTAGATCGATGGGAAGAGGAAGAAGGGGGAAGAAAGATGAAAATTCAGAGGGCAGAAGGGAGGAAGACGAAGAGTAAATCTGGAACCCTAGATTCTCTCCAGGTGAAGAAGATGAGTCATTTGCAAATTTGGGAGTTTTACTATTGGCAAGGGCAATTTATTATTTTGCCCTTCTTATTTTATTTTATTTTATTTTCTCTATAACAAAATTTGGAATTGTAGTGTTACTTTTTCCTGCATGAGACATTTGCGGGAAAATGCAAAAAAAAAAAGAGGCTCCATTTTCAAATTTTAAAATTTTATGGAAATGTTTGTATAGGTAAAAGAGAAATTCGGAAGATGAATTTTATTAGTATATTTTCTTACTTTCTTTTTCCATAAAAAAAGTAAAACCAAAAATTTACTGTAACTTTAATGCTCGTCCTAAGTTTTTAATGTTATCATGTTGTTATATTGGGTCTTATGCTGACAGGATTAGTGTTATATTTAAATCTAGAATGGTACCACGCGTGTTAATCTTTCGGCAATTAAAATTTACAAATTATTCGATATAACTACTCAATTAATCATCAGTTTTTAGTATTTGATGAAACAAAACATTATATTAGGTGAAAAAACTAAATTAATCACGGGTATACAGTATGTCCAAAATCAGCCAGTTTGGCACACCAATTACATGAATGATTAAATAGAAGATATAAAATTTTGATATATCAAAGGGCCATGAAATATAGTAACTGTTTAAAATCGAACTTATGTTTCTGGTCATTTAATCACTGTTTAGATTCGAAATTTAAAAGCAAACACAAAAATCAAACAACTTTTCAGGTGAGGTTTGAAAAGGATTATACAAAACGAGAGACCTCTAAAACAAACTTTCCACTCTTGTAATTTGTAAGAACCGTAAGAATAGTAAAACCATATATTTAAACGACAAACATAGACACCATATTATGTTTTTTCTTTTTGCCCTCTTGCCACAATAAACCTATTGTGCTCGTTTTTTCTTACAAATCATCACAACATTTTCTGGATATCTCGAGTATAAATCCCAAGTTCTCGATATCTCTCTCCCTCTCTCTAATGTATATATGAAATGAAGAATTAAAAGAAACGACAAGTTTCTAGAATTTCTGAATGACTACAGAGTTTGCGAGACCGGCTTGATCAATGGTCTGAGAAGGATCAGTAAGTGGCTTTGGTGGGAACCCCATGACCTGAAGGTTGTAGTTGACTAGATTCCCCGGTCGAGAATAGTCGATGAAAGCACGAATGTCGTTGACCGTGTGATGGTTGTTGAACTTAGCCACCATGCGTGTCCCGTCCACGAGTCTAAGCTGGATCGATGTCGATGGAAGAGTTTCATCTACTACGACGCTCAGCGATGGTGGTGGAACCGCTGCTATATCGGCTAGGTTGCTTACGCTGCTTGGAGCCGTTGATGAGCTAGCACCGCCTAGAGTCCTTCCGACTCCATGAAACGCAACCGTAAGCTTCTCACGTTCCTATAAATAGAAAATAACATACTAAGATTCAACACTCATAATGATACCAAGAACTAGAGCAAAGAGTACTCACATGACATTTCTCTTCTCTTCTCATAAGATTGACATGAACCGGAGCTCTTTTATCTGCAGGCTCAAGCTCTTTCGGACATTCAGACTTTCGAATGCTCTGCAAAAAATACAAAAAAAAAGAACCAATCCAAATCGAATCAAGAAGAGTAGAAAACGGTTTAATTAACATGGCAAAATTAAAAGCACTAAACCAAATGAAATCATTTTTTTTACATCGAGGAAAGACGCGTTCTCTGGATCGTCCAACTTCCTCAACGGTCCATCATCTACGGTGAATCCGTTAGACCAGAAGATGATATTGTGAATCACGGGCTCAGGCTGCTGAAGAGCGGTGGGTACACTTTCTCCTGAAAGCAATCTCCCTGTTCCAGTGAAGCTTCTAGAGCTTGAAGGACGCTCGAGAGGTCCTTCCACAGCTCCTAGTTGCCTTGCTTGATTGAATATCTCATCAACATCATCGTGTTTTGATTCTTTTGAAGGATCCTGAACAAGCATACCACTGCAAGAAAATAGAACAAAGATCCAATAAAGTCTCAGCATTTTTTATCAGTCATACAATTAAAAACTGAGTTTAGATACAAGCCTAAAGCTATATCTTCACCTTTATTTGTACGTGTACATTTGTGAACAGTTTATTGTAGTTATAACTTCACCATACAAGTAACTTCTTAACAGAAGATGAAATGAACATTTCACACAGGAATTACTTAACTCACAAAGCTTAAAAGTATATAACTTCGATTAAACTCTCAATTGGTTTTTTTTTTATAGTTGAATTATCAAAAAAACTGTTCTTTAACGAAAAGGTTTAACTGATCATTCGTTTCTAATTCAGTGAATCCTCGGATCCAAAGACAACCAAAGCATAGTTAAGCAGATCATAAGAAACCAAGTGATATCAAATGAAGCACCAGCAAGAATCTTACATCTGAAGATAAAGGGTTTTAGAACAACTGACCTTTTCTCTCCGCCGGTGTAGTACTCCTGAGGTCCGTCGGAATCACTGTCGGAGTCCGGTCCTGATCTTCTGTTCAGATCGGAAAGAGTACGGATTCTACCAGTCCGACCAACCGATGGCTTCGACGGTTTCTTGTCCTTTGACGACATTTCTCCGATACTTCCTCGCTGCTTGATCGGAGAAAAAAGAATTTGAGAGAAAGAGAGAGATTAGAGAGAGTTTAGGAATCAGGAAAATTAAAAAGAAACTATGGAAAAACCGGTAGACACGCTTACAAGTTTTACGCGCAAACTAAGCGCGTGTATCTATTCACTGGCTTCTACGTCGTTAATTGATCACGCGTGTTCTGATGTGCGCGTGTGTTTGGTGGAAAGACTAGGACTAATAATTGAATTAACAGTTTAGTTATCTACTTATATAAGTAAATGGTTATTTCATATATGATAGTATTGTCTTTTTTTCTTCTTTCATATGATGTTGTCGTTTGATATATAATCAAGGGATTAATTTTTTCTGTAACGTCATTTTAGATAATGGATTTTATAGCTATTAAGCGTTTGAGAGAATGGGATCTGAGCTATTCGGACATCTTTGTTACTTTGTATTATTTCCGAATAATCTTTTAGCGAAATTAATACATAAAGTTATTAAAAATGATATTTTTTCTATACAGAATTAATGAATCTATGAATAACTTTAGTCGACGTACAAAGTGAACTAAAGTTTACTTTAAAACGAAAGTGGAACCACTTTAGTCTAATCGCTTTAAATAAAGTTGAAGAATCAAAACCAAACAACAAAACCCATGTTCCACTGTCTCCCTGGCGCAGTTTACAAAACGAATCACTCTTTCAGTTCATGGGTAAGTCGGTGAGACTCTGCCGGAGGAGCCACACCTCGGTCGAATCATCTTCGGAGAATTATACAACCGACGATGTCTTGTCGTGTGAAGATGGATCCAATGATCCTCGAAGCTCCGACTCAAAGACTGAGTCAAACTCGAGCTCAGATTCCGGAACCGAGTCAAACTGGAGTTCTGACCCGACAGCTTCGACGGGACTCTTGGCGATCATACGGGTCTTGTCCGATTCGCTGCTGAGAACGGAAATGGCGGAGATGGAGATGATCAAGGCTCGTGAGGTAGCGAGGTGGGAAGCTGAGAAGAGAAGGTTGGACGTGGAGGTCGAGTTGACTGAGATGGTGCTTCAGACTCACTTGCAAGCGACAACGTCGTTAGTCGTCGGAGAACAGAAGATTTCTACGGCGCGGAGAAAGAGGAAGAGATCAGCAGTTGAAGACCACGAGTCATCGGCCTCATCCTTTACCACAAGGTGAATTAAACTTGAGAAGAGAAAACCTTTTTTCATATTTATCAACGTAATTTCTACATATAATAATCTAACAACAAAGGTTTTGTGTATTGGATGCAGGGAACAGAGTTTAGCTTTATTGGGATTACTCCAACTTAACCTGATCTTCTGGAGCTCATTGACCTGAAAGAAAAAAAAAAAAAAAAAAACCAAAGTCAAAAAGGTCAACTGGAGAATAACTTACAGAATATGTCTTACATTTGTGTGTATGAATGTGTTGTGCATGTATATACCAATGAATAAAATTACAATCTATATAGGGTGGGTTGTGAATCAAAATTCCCAATACAACATTTTTTTGTTTAGTCCTTTCTTCAAAATTCCAATGAATAATTGTTTTTTTTTTAAATTGAATTTTGCAATATACACTAAAAAGTTCCTCTTTATACATCTATTAGATTCAAGTGCTCCATACAAAAGTTAAAGAACGAAGAAGAATTGGGTCAAACGTCAAGTTTTTATTTTATTTTTGACTAAAACAAACGTCAAGTTTATGCTGAAGCAGAGGCTGATTTCGGTTATGGCTTAGGTCCAAACTCTTCCTGATTACTAAAAAAAAAACGCCTCTAGTCTAATCATGTTTGCTGTGCTGAAGTGGAAACTACTGTATCTGTGGTCTTACCGCTCACGACAAGGTTCATGCATTTTACAAAAAAAAAATTCTCTTTTTTTTTTTTAACTTAAATGTCCTTAAATTCGAAAGTGTAAAAACCCATATAGACACAGAGCTGAAAAAGCCCATAAAAAAACCCAACGCATTATTACAAATACGTCCCTATCTTCAGGGGGCATAGGCAAAAACAACAACATACCAATACAAACTATTAGCGATTTACATCATATTATTATGCTACATATATATCTTAGAGATAAATATATTTTCCATATAGTGATAATGATAGTTTCCTTAAAGATAAAGGCAATTAGAAGCCGACATTCTCTTGTATTAATACTTTGGTTTCTCTTGTATTAATACTTTGGTTTGTCAATGTTAATAACACAAGTCGATTGTTATCAAACTCTACACAAACCCTAACTTTCAATACCGTCATGGAGATGGAGGAGAAGCCTAACCCTAATTCTCATGAAGGTCTCGGACGAATAGATACACCCAAATCATGGTCCGATCTTCCTCCGGATCTCTTGAATTCGGTCTTCGAACGTCTCAGCTTTGCTAATTTCCAACGAGCTAAATCCGTATGCACCTCTTGGCACTCTGCTTCAAGACAATGCGTGCCCAAAAGCATTCAGATCCATTGGCTGGTTCTCTTCCCTGAAGATGACGACAGCAGCAGCAACAACAACCATTCTTGTACGTTTTTCGATCCTGAGGATAAAGACAAACTCTACAGAACGCAAGATCTAGATTTGGAATTTGCAAAGAGTGTTTGTATAGCAACCTATAGAAGTTGGCTCCTTATGCAAGATCCTCTGTACGATCTCTACATTGTGAATCTGTTTACTCACGAGAGGATCAATCTACCTCCTACGGAATCAGAACCCAGAACGATCACGGAGATGAAGCGAATTCGAGCTTTAGATGCTCAGTTTCGCGTTACAAGTCACAACGGAAAGGAACACAGAGGTTTTAGTATGCGACGCTCTGTGTTTTGGGTTGATGAGAAAACCAAAGATTATGTTGTTTTCTGGGGGCTTCGAAGTTTGTGTGTAGTGTATTCCAAGAAAGGAGATACCTCGTGGAACCGAATCCCGGGAACTTTACGTCCTTGTAACATGGTTTACAAGGATTCCAAGCTTTACATGATAACCTCATTCTATGGTTCAGTCATAATCTTCGATTTCTCTGGAGAGATTCCACAAATAATGTTTAATCGTCGTCTTGCTCTAACAACTGAGAGGTATAGTATCTTTCGAAGTTCACTTGTAGTGACAGTAACAGGAGATGTCCTCGCGGTTGAAAAAATATGGATACGGAGTTCTGGGACCTGGTCCTTCCGGGTTGTCAAGGTTTGTTCACCAGGATTCGAGGAGGAACACGAAGTGATTCATTCTCTGGGCGACGAGTCAATGCTATTGGATCAAGGCATCACTGTGCTCGCCGATGACAATGATGGATTCATTAGAAACTCCATCTATTTCAGTGATAGTAGTAGTGGAGAGAACACAGAGAAGATCCTTCTTTTTAATCTCGAGACAGGGAAGACGGAGCCGGTGCACACATTTCATTGTTCTTCTTCGGCTCAGTTCTCTAGAGCTCGGTGGTTCTTACCGAGTTTTACGCGAACCTGATTTGATAGATGCTCGAGTGTTTGGAATGGAGGGCTCATAACGAGTTTGACAAGAAAGTAACAGTGAGTTTTCTGCTTTTGTTTATCCATTTCCTGACAAAATCAAGAATCAAAAGTCAGAATGAATTATTTTTTATGTCTTACATTTGTTGTTTAGTCCTTTCTTCATAATTCCAATGAATAATTTTGTTTTTATTGAATCTTGTAAGATACACTCAAAAGGTTTCCTATACATTAGAGCCATTAAATTTCAGTGTTTGGTGCAAAAGTTTGAGAAATAAGAAGAATTGGGTCAAAAACGTAGAACAAATAACAAAAAGATTGCAAATAGCTTGTGTTCTTCAGAATCAGCCTGAGGCGGTAACTTGCTTCCTTTTTACTCAACCTCTCGTTCTTGAAGTGAAATCTTCAACGCAATCACTCTGAAACCTCTTTTCATTGTGAGGTTCTAGCGTTTTTGTTTTTTTTTGTTAAAGGGTTCTAGCGTTTTTGAATTGGCAATAAATAATTGAGTTTAGGAAAAGCTTACGTACGTACGTAGGTTAGGTAAATAAGTGTCTTTATCATGCATGGTTGTTTCTCACATGTTTGTGAGCAAATCTCATGTCACATACAAAACGTTTAATCCGGTTATAGTTCGGAAATTTATATATTCTATGACATATTGATATATATATATATATGGGTGTGTGTGCGTATGAAAATACTATAATACAGGCTTCACAATTTGCATCATTACACGTGAAATATATTCAGAGTGGTTGTCGTTACTTCATTGGAAGCATTTAGACCGCTCTACCTCAACTCAGACTGCTGTACCTCAACTCAATTTGCTGAAACAGAGGATATGGAAGTTCAGGTTAGAACCAAACATTAAGTTTTTAATGTGTGTCCAGAGCGGTAGATGTCCTTGAACGCCTCTAGTCTCGTGTTTGTGGTGCTGGAATACACGACAGGTTCATGCATTAGCTAATATCCCCTCTTTCTTATAATTGCTTCCCATCGACTTTACTTCTCTGTAAAATTACAAATATTGAGTTTTAACGAGTTTAGCTTTCTTGAGATTACTCCAGTTTAACCTGATCTTCTGGAGCTCGTTGACCTGAAAAGAAAAAAAAGAAAAAAGTCAAAAAGGTCATCTGGAGAATATCTTACAGAATATGTCTTACATTTGTGTATATGAATGTGTTGTGCATATATACTAATGAATAAAAATTACAATTTATAGGGTAGGTTGTGAATCTAAAATCCGATAACAACACTTTTTGTTTAGTCCTTTCTTCAAAAGTTCAATGAATAATTGTCCTTTTAATTGAATTTTGCAACATACACTAAAAATTTCCACTCTATACATATAGTGGATTAGAATCCGCATATATACAGAGTTATAATAACATAATTTTTAATTCGTCAAAATAATTTGAATAAATAAAAAGTAAAATTAGATCATTGATAAAAAATAAATTAAAATTATAAAATCAAAATTTAAGAATAGTTTTTTTTAATTCTCGTTTGTTTTCAATTAAAATATTCAAAACACAAAGTGTGTTGCGAGTTATTTGCAATATTAATCCTACTTCATTTGTAGTTCAACACTCTATCAATCATTTATTTCTATTTTTCTGCATTAAAACTATGCAATTCGAATTATTATGCATTAACTCTTTACAAGCAAACAAAGTTTTTCTTTCTCTTCACATGCATCTTTCTTATATGACTAGGTATATAACTTGCGCTACGCGCAAGTCTGTATTAATATTTTGGTTTAATTTTTTAGCTACTATTTTTAAAATTATTAAGAATATAATATATTTATAAAAATATTTATATAAGAGAATTTAATATATAATGTGTAATTTATTCTATTTTTATTTATAAATTTTTAAAAACTATTAAGTAAAATACTAACAATGACACCTATCGAATTATCCAACTTTGACGTACATATACATTTGATTTAGAAAAATATAATCTTGCTAAGATTTTAGTATTATTTTATGTTTTCCATAGAATTTCTATAGTTTTTTTCTTGAAGATTTATGTGTTCAAATATTTAGTTTTTATTGAAAGTATTATTGATGTTGTGTACCACAATATATATAATTCATGATTCATGTTGATTCACATTTAATTTTGTTAAGAAACTGTAATGATCATGCAAAATCATTTTTTCCTTCTTCATCATGTCTTCCAAACTTTTATGTTATATTTTTATCCAGTTTTGATTGTTTTAATTGTTAAATCGAGTTATTGTAGATTTTTTTTAAATTGATAATTGATAATGATTACTTTTTTTTTATACATGTATTGTTAATTGTTAATTTTTTATTTAGATTTTAAAATATTAAACTATATTAACATTTTCTGATTTAATAAATATGTTGACTTTGATCAATCAGATTGAATTTACTTTTTTTTATTGGACATAATTTGTTAAATTAACTTTTAATGTTTTAGTTATACTTAATAATTTTTGGTTTGATTAAAAATCTGATGTGGACCAATTAAATCGAGTTTTTCCGTCTTAATCATACTTAACATTTTTTTATTTAATGAATATGCTGATGTGGACCAATCATATCGAGTTTTTAATCCCATGTGGACGTCCTCAATGCATTATGCCATCAACTTTTATATATTATACTAGGTATATAATTCGCGCTACGCGCGAGTCTGTATTAATATCTAGGTTTAATTTTTTTAGCTACAATTTTTTAAATTAATAAGAATATAATATTTTATAAAAAAATATTTATATAACATAATTTGATATATAATGTGTAATTTATTCTATTTTTATTTATTAATTTTTAAAAAATTATTAAATAAAATAATAACAATGACACTTATCGAATTATCAAACTTTAACGTAGATATACATTTGATTTAGAGAATATAATCTTGCTAAGATTTTGGTATTATTTTCTGTTTTCCATAAAATTTCTATAGTTTTTTTCTTGAAAGTTTATGTATTCAAATATTAGTTTTTTTATTGAAATTCTTATTGATGTTGTGTACCACTGTATATATAATCCATGATTCATGTTGATTCGTATTTAATTTTGTTAGGAAACTATAATGATCATGCAAAACTATTTTTTCCTTCGCCATCATGTCTTTCAAAGGTTTATGTTATATTTTTATTCAGTTTTGATTGTTTTAATTTTTAAATCGAGTTGTTGTAGATTTTTTTAAATTGATAATTGATAATGATTACTTTTTTTATACATGTATTGTTAATTGTTAATTTTTTTTATTTAACTTTTAAAATTTTAAACCATTTAATTAATATATTGATTTGGATCAATTAGATTGTTTTTACTTTTTTTATTGGAAATAATTTGTTAAATTAACTTTTAATGTTTTAGTTATAATTTTTGGCTTGATTAAAAAGCTGATGTGGACCAATTAAATCAAGTTTTTTCGTCATAATCATACTTAACATTTTTTTATTAAATGAATATACTGATGTAGACCAATCAGATCGAGTTTTTTAATCCCATGTGGACGCCCTCAATGCACTATGCCATCAACTTTTATATATTATACTAGGTACATAACTCACGCTACGCGCGAGTCTGTATTAATATTTTGGTTTATTTTTTGTAGCTACTATCTTTAGAATTATTAAAAATTATATATATTTATAAAAAAATTATATAAGAGAATTTAATATATAATGTGTAATTTATTCTGTTTTTATTTATAAATTTTAAAAAACTATTAGATGAAATAATAACAATGACACCTATCAAATTATCCAACTTTGACGTACATATACATTTGATTTAGAGAAATATAATTTTGCTCAGATTTTGGTATTATTTTCTGTTTTCCATAGAATTTCTACAGTTTTTTTTCTTGAAGGTTTATGTGTTCAAATATTTAGTTTTTTATTGAAAGTCTTATTGATGTTGTATACCACTGTATATATAATCCATGATTCATGTTGATTCACATTTAATTTTGTTAGGAAGCTCTAATGATCATGCAAAACTATTTTTTCTATCTTCATCATGTCTTCCAAGAGTTTTATGTTATATTTTTATTCAGTTTTTATTGTTTTAATTGTTAAATCGAGTTGTTGTAGATTTTTTTAAATTAATAATTGATAATAGTTAGTTTTTTTTATACATGTATTGTTAATTATTAATTTTTTATTTAACTTTTAAATTCTTAAACCATATTAACATTTTTGATTTAATAAATATGTTGATTTGGATCAATTAGATTGAATTTTTTTTTTTTGGACATAATTTGTTAAATTAACTTTTAATGTTTTAGTTATAATTTTTGGCTTGATTAAAAAGCTGATATGGACCAATTAAATCAAGTTTTTTCGTCATAATCATACTTAACATTTTTTATTAAATGAATATGCTGATGTAGACCAATCAGATCGAGTTTTTTTAATCTCATGTGGACGCCCTCAATGCACTATGCCATCAACTTTTATATATTATACTAGGTACATAACTCGCGCTACGCGCAAATCTGTATTAATATTTTGGTTTATTTTTTGTAGCTACTATCTTTAAAATTATTAAAATTATATATATTTATAGAAAAATTTTATATAAGAGAATTTAATATATAATGTGTAATTTATTCTATTTTTATTTATAAATTTTAAAAATCTATTAGATAAAATAATAACAATGACACCTATCAAATTATCTAACTTTGACGTACATATATATTTGATTTAGAGAAATATAATTTTGCTCAGATTTTGATATTATTTTCTGTTTTCCATAGAATTTCTATAGTTTTTTTTTCTTGAAGGTTTATGTGTTCAAATATTTAGTTTTTATTGAAAGTCTTATTGATGTTGTATACCACTGTATATATAATCCATGATTCATGTTGATTCACATTTAATTTTGTTAGAAAGCTGTAATGATCATGCAAAACTATTTTTTCCATCTCCATCATGTCTTCCAAGAGTTTTATGTTATATTTTTATTCAGTTTTCATTGTTTTAATTGTTAAATCGAGTTGTTGTAGATTTTTTTTAAATTAATAATTGATAATAGTTAGTTTTTTTATACATGTATTGTTAATTGTTAATTTTTTATTTAACTTTTAAATTTTTAAACCATATTAACATTTTCTGATCTAATAAATATGTTGATTTGGATCAATTAGATTGAATTTACTTTTTTTGGACATAATTTGTTAAATTAACTTTTAATGTTTTAGTTATATTTTTTTGCTTGATTAAAAAGCTGATGTAGACCAATTAAATCAAGTTTTTCCGTCCTAATCTTACTTAACATTTTTATTTAATGAATATGCTGATGTGGACCAATCAGATTGAGTTTTTTTAATCCCATGTGGACGCTTTCAATGCACTATGCCATCAACTTTTATATATTATATGATGATGATTTATTTGATTTCTAGAGATGTTATGCTTCTCAAGACTCGTGTCAAAAATTTTTTACATAATTTTTGTTGATCCTTCTCCTTATTGAAATTTTGTGAGAGATTCTATGTGTTTATATAGATGTGAAATATATATATATATATTTTTAAATTAGTATTTTTTTCTGTTTCCAAATTGAAATATCTTCTTTTATTAACATTTTTCCAAATTGTATTTTCTTTTTCTTTTTATTTTAGGATTAATATTTTAAGTTATTTTTTCTAAACTAATATAGAGATTTTATTTATTTTTATTTTACTTTAAATTTAATCGTGACAGATGTCAAAATCTGATTGATTGACTTACCATGTGTTACAATCGATATAATCGATGTGAATTACTAACTTTGACACATTCAATATAAAATTAATTAGATTCAAGTGTTCCATGCAAAAGTTTGAGAAAAAAGAAGAATTGGGTCAAACGTCAATTTTTTTGCTGAAACAGAGGATATGGAAGTTAAGGATAAATGTGTCTGAAGCGGGAAAATGTCTTTGCTGTGCTGAAATGAAAACTATCAGTCATGTGCTCACCGCTCAGCCTCACGACAAGGTTCATGCATATTATAATATCTCTCAGTTTTTTTTTTTTTTTTTTTTTTTAACATAAACGTCGTTAAAGCCGAAGGAATAAAACCCAACGCGTTATTACTAATACATCCCTATCTTCGTTTGGCATAGGTAAAAACAACATACCAATACATCCCTATCTTTCAATACTGTCATGAAGACGGAGGAGAAGCATAACCCCAATTCTCATGAGCGTCTCGGACGAATAGATACACCCAAATCGTGGTCCGATCTTCCTTTAGATCTCTTGAATTTAGTTTTCAAACTCCTCAGCTTTGCTAATTTCCAGCGAGCTAAATCCGTATGTTCATCTTGGCACTCCGCTTCAAGACAATGCGTGCCCAGAAGCAAGCATATCCACTGGCTGATTCTCTTCCCCGAAGATAACAACGACAACAACAGCAATTACTCTTGCATGTTGTTCAATCCCGAGGAAAAAGACAAGCTTTACCGAATGCAAGATCTGGGTTTGGAATTTGCAAAGAGTTATTGTATTGCAACCTATGGAAGTTGGCTCCTTATGCAAGATCCTCTGCGTAACCTCTTCATTGTGAATCTGTTTACTCACGAGAGGATCAATCTATTGAAGTTAAACTTGATTTTGGGTTAAGCTTAATTTTGGGTTTATAAAATAATCATTAGTTATTAGATTATGCCCAAAATTAAGCCCAAGTTCTAGAATCTCTAGAAACATCACTAAAAATCATCATCTTTCTTAAGTGTTCTAGAGAATTCTATTAGTTAAATATCTAGATAATTGTATAGATAATTGTAGATATTGTAGTTAAAAAATCTAGATATTATTGTAGAGAATTCTAGAGATTAGGAGAATGTTTGTAAGATATTTTGTAATAAGTGGAGCCTATAAATAACCCACTACTCCATCATTTGTAAAGAAGAGAAGTTGAACAAATAAAGAAAGAGTGTTCTTCATAAGTTCTCTTATTCTCTCTAAAGTTCCTTCAAGTTTTCTCTAAGTATTCTTTCATCTTATTATTCATACTTAGAGGGTCTTTGTTTCTTTCGGATCTCTCGGGTATTACGGTCTTGGGCTAGTGCTTGGCACTATCGGTGTTTTCTTTACATGGTATCAGAGCCATTCTGATCTGGTTCTTTTCAAGATCGGATTAATTGAGATCTCAGCTTTCTTCTAAGTATGGAGTCAATGGGTCGCGTTGTTGGGTTGGGAATGGAGATTCTAAACCAATCCAATTACCGGTTATGGAAGTCATGCATGGAGTCATACTTGGTGAGTGAGGACTTATGGGATGTCGTCGGCGGCAGTAGCACAACACCACCAAGGGGAGCTGCTGCGACAGCGGAAGCGACAAAGGAGTGGACACGGAAGAATGCCAAGGCGGAGTTTGCATTGAAGAGGTCAATATCCTCGGGAGTCTTTGAGCATGTCTCAAGTTGCACATCCGCTAGTTCGATTTGGCAGACGTTAGATCAGTTGTTCAACAAGAATAATGAAGCTCGACTACAACTGTTAGAGAACGAGCTGGCGAATGCAAAGCAGGGGGAGTCTTCAATTTCAGAGTTTTTCATCAAGGTAAAGAATCTTCGCTCAGAGATTAATACTCTAAATCCGGAGGAGTCAATTTCGGAAGCACGTTTAAAACGGTATATTATTCGAGGTCTACGACCTGAGTATACACCGTTTGTGACTTCGGTTCAAGGATGGGCTACACAACCTTCCTTGGAGGAGTTCGAGAACCTGCTAGCTTCGCAAGAGTCATTAGCTACGCAAATGGCAGGAGTCAAAATCCATGATGACTCGGGGAACGCCTTTGTAGCTCGGAAGCAACAGAACTTCAAAGCCAAATCCAAGTACGATGGTGCAAAGAACATCGAAAGACCGGAAGGATCTTCTACCGGAGATAAGAAGCGATTCAAGTGCTACCGGTGTGGAAAGCTTGGGCACTTCAAAAAGGATTGTCGAGTCAAGCTGAAGGAGACAAATATGGCAGAATCAAAATGTCATATTAAAGACGAAGAATGGGGGAAATGCTTCACGGTGGAGGCTGCATCTTCAGGTATATCCACAACTAAAAATCTTGGAAATGATTGGATTGTGGATTCGGGTTGTAGCCACCATATTACCGGAGACGAGAAGCTATTTTCTAGTCTTCAGCGCCATGACGGAAAAGAAGCCATAATTACCGTGGATAATTCAGTTCACCGGGTCGAGAAGGAAGGGACTGTTGTCATTGAAGGAGAAGATGGAAGCCCTATCACCCTCAAGAATGTATACCATGTCCCTGGAGTAAGGAAGAATCTTCTCTCTGTGGTGAATGCAGTAGACTCAGGTAACTACGTTTTATTTGGCCCAAGAGACGTCAAATTCTTGAAGAATATTAAAGAGTTAAAGGCGGATGTGGTTCACACCGGATCGCGGGTTAAGGATCTATATGTCTTATCTGCGTCCAACTCATACGTGGAGAAGATGAGTACAAACGACAATGCCTCTATATGGCATGCTCGGCTTGGTCATATAAACATGACTAAGCTAAAGGTTATGGTGAATAAGGAGTTGGTAAATGGGCTTCCGAAGCTGAAGATCCAAGATGAAGGAAAGCTTTGTGAAGGTTGTCAATATGGAAAATCACATAGACTTCCATTTGACAATTCTACTTCACGGTGCAGTGCTCTGTTGGAGAGGATCCATAGTGATTTGATGGGTCCTACAAGAACACCCTCATATTCCGGGTTTCGGTACATGTTGCTGTTCATTGATGACTTCTCACGGCACACTTGGGTATACTTTGTGAAGGAAAAATCAGAAGTATTCTCCAAATTTCAAGAATTCAAGGTTACCGTGGAAGGGGAGCTGGGTCGGAGAATCAAGACCTTAAGGACAGATAATGGAGGGGAGTTCATGGCCAAGGAGTTTCTCTCTTTTTGTCAAAAGCATGGAATAAAGAGAGAGTTTACTTGTCCGTATACACCTCAACAAAATGGAGTAGCGGAAAGGAAGATTCGACATCTAACTGAGACGTGCAGAAGCTGGCTATATGGGAAGGATCTGCCTAAGGCCTTGTGGGCGGAAGGCATGAGATGCGCAGCGTACGTCATAAATCGGATGCCACTCAGCCCAAATAACATGAAGTCTCCTTATGAGATGATTCATGGGAAGAAGCCGTCAGTGAAACATCTCAGGATATTTGGATCAGTCTGTTACGTCCATGTGTTTGATTCTCAAAGAACCAAGTTGGAGGCAAAGGCGAAGAAGTGCATCTTCGTTGGCTATGACGAACAAAGAAAAGGGTGGAGGTGTATGGATCCAGAGACACACAGGTACGTAGTGTCTCGAGATGTTGTTTTTGATGAAGTTTCCTCATTCTATGGGCCACCTCAAGTTTTAGTTGAGCAAGAAGGTGGGAATTCCTCCAAGAGTGATAAACCAGCTCTGAGTAAGGAAAAAAGTCCTGAAGAAGAGATGCAAGGTGAAAGGGGGAGCACTGATCAAGAGGAGGATGAGGAGGAACATCATGGTTCCACGGCTAGTCAAAGGCCTAAAAGGGACATCATTAAACCTGCTCGGTTCAGAGATCCAAAGTTTGTTACTACCTTCTCGTGCTACTTTGCAGCTCCATTAGATGAAGATGAGCCAACATCTTATGATGAAGCAAAAGGTGTTGACGAGTGGGAAAACGCAATGAAGGAGGAGATGAATGCTCTCATGAAGAACGAAACTTGGGATTTGGTTCCAAAACCCAAGAATGCCCAACCTGTTTCTTGTAAATGGGTGTACCGGATCAAGCGCAAAACAGATGGAAGCGTTGATAGATTCAAAGCAAGGTTGGTTGCTCGGGGATTCTCTCAAAAGTATGGAGAAGACTATGATGAGACCTTCAGCCCTGTAGCCAAGATGACTACGATACGTTCTCTCTTATCTTTGGCTGCAAGTTTTGGTTGGAAGTTATGGCAATTAGACGTGAAGAATGCTTTTCTATATGGAGAGCTTGACAAGGAAATCCTGATGGAGCAGCCACTTGGTTTTATATCACGAGAGCATCCTGATTATGTGTGTAAGCTGAAGAAGGCCTTGTATGGGTTAAAACAAGCTCCACGAGCCTGGTATGGAAAGCTTGCTCAGTTTCTTCAGTTCTGCGGTTATGTGGCATCAAACTCTGATCCGAGTCTATTCTTCAAGAAGAATGAAGGAGTCCACGTGGTAGTTCTCCTTTACGTGGATGATATGATAATTACCGGGAATGATGATGCAGAAATTACTCGTTTACAAGAGGATATGTCGATAAGGTTTGAGATGAAGAAGTTGGGAGAGCTCAACAACTTTCTCGGTTTGGAGGTGGAAAGGGTAAAGGGTGGAATATTCATCGGCCAACAAAGCTATGCAAGAAGAATCGTTGAGAAGTTTGGAGTACACGAAGGAAAGACATGCTCTACTCCAATGGACGTCAACATAAAGCTTAAACGCGATGAAGGGTCCTTGCTACCTGATCCTCGGCCTTATCGCTCTCTTGTAGGAAGTCTTTTATACTTAACCATTACAAGACCTGACATTGCCTTCGCGGTATGTCTTGTAAGTCGGTTTATGCAGGCACCAAGGAAGCCACATCTAGAAGCGGCAAAGAAGATATTGAAGTATGTGAAGACAACTCTTGGCATGGGTCTGGTGTACAAGTATAATGCCAAGGTCTCTCTTTATGGCTTCACGGATGCTGACTTTGGTGGAGATCTTGATGATCGGAAATCAACTTCAGGCTATGTGTTCCTATGTGGGGACACAAGTGTCTCATGGTGCAGTAAGAAGCAAGCAACGGTGTCGTTATCTACAACTGAAGCAGAGTATAAAGCTTCAACTCTAGCAGCTCAAGAGTGTATCTGGCTTCGGAGACTCCTTGAAGATCTGTTCGAGCCAATCAATAAGCCAGTTGCAATTTATGGAGATAATCAAAGTGCGATCAAGCTGGCCAATAATCCGGTGTTCCATGGGAGGACTAAACACATTGAGTTAGAGCATCACTTCATAAGGGAGAAGGTGCTTGATGGGACAATTGAAGCTTTGGAAGTTCGAAGCGAGGACAACGTTGCGGATATCTTCACCAAGTCATTACCAAAAGGTCAGTTCGAGTTACTTCGCTCGAAGCTCGGGATGACTGACAAAATCAAGTTTAAGGGGGAGTATTGAAGTTAAACTTGATTTTGGGTTAAGCTTAATTTTGGGTTTATAAAATAATCATTAGTTATTAGATTATGCCCAAAATTAAGCCCAAGTTCTAGAATCTCTAGAAACATCACTAAAAATCATCATCTTTCTTAAGTGTTCTAGAGAATTCTATTAGTTAAATATCTAGATAATTGTATAGATAATTGTAGATATTGTAGTTAAAAAATCTAGATATTATTGTAGAGAATTCTAGAGATTAGGAGAATGTTTGTAAGATATTTTGTAATAAGTGGAGCCTATAAATAACCCACTACTCCATCATTTGTAAAGAAGAGAAGTTGAACAAATAAAGAAAGAGTGTTCTTCATAAGTTCTCTTATTCTCTCTAAAGTTCCTTCAAGTTTTTCTCTAAGTATTCTTTCATCTTATTATTCATACTTAGAGGGTCTTTGTTTCTTTCGGATCTCTCGGGTATTACGGTCTTGGGCTAGTGCTTGGCACTATCGGTGTTTTCTTTACACAATCTACCTCCTACGGAGTCACAAACCGGAATGATCGCGAAGCTCGAGCGAATTCGAACATTAGGTGCTCAGTTTCGCGTGACAAGTCACAACGGAAAGGTACAAAGAGGCTTTAACATTAGATGCCCTGTGTTTTGGGTTGATGACAAAACCAAAGACTATGTTGTCTTCTGGGGGCTTCGAGATTTGTGTGTGGTTTATTCCAAGAAAGGAGATACCTCGTGGAATCAAATCCCGGAAACTTCAGATTGTCGTAACATGGTTTACAAGGATTCCATGCTTTACATGATAAGCTTATTCTATGGTTCTGTCATAATCTTCGATTTCTCTGGAGAGGTTCCACAGAAAAAGTTTAACCGCTTTCTTGCTTTTAGAGCTGAGAAGTATGGTATCTTTCGAACTTCACTTGTAGTCACAGTAACCGGAGATGTCCTCACGGTTGAAAAAATATGGAGACAAAGGTTTAGTGGGAGACCAATAAAATGGGCACAAGGGTCCTTCCGGGTTGTCAAGGTTTGTTCATCAGGATTCGAGAAGAAATACGAAGTGATTCATTCTCTGGGCGACGAGTCAATGCTTTTGGATCAAGGCATCACTGTGCCCGCCGATGACAATGATGGATTCATTAGAAACTCCATCTACTCCAGTGCTAGTACTAGTGGAGAGAACACAGAGAAGATCCTTCTTTCTAATATCGAGACAGGGCAGACAGAGCCGGTGCACACATTTGATTGTTTTTCGGTCCACTTCTCTAGAGCTCGGTGGTTCTTACCGAGTTTTACGCGAACCTGATTTGACCTCAACTGTGTTTTTCTCTTCTCTTATTATCTTTTTATTGTTCTTCAGTTTAGTTCTCTAGAGCTCAGATATTGTCAGATTTGTAGTGTTGGGTTGAAAACTATTTGTCATGTACTGCTCTTTGGATCATTGGATGCACAGTCGCAATGTCCTGAAAATGGCTTCTCATTGAATTCTCTAGAGGTAAGTTTTGGCTATCTTCTGGATGTGATCAACAATGCAAAGCTGCCTCAGCAAATGAGAGCTACAATTCTTTATAAATTCTATGACATTTTGATATATATATATATATATGTGTGTGCGTATGAAGATACTAGTTTACAGGCTTTACAATTTGCATCAATGCATCATTAAACGTGAAAATATATTCAGAGTGGTTGTTGTTACTTCATTGCAAGCATTTAGACCGCTCTACCTCAGCTCAATTTGCTGAAACAGAGGACATGGAAGTTAAGGTTAGAACCAAAGATTTAAGTTTTTAGTGTGTCCAAAGCGGTAGATGTCTTTGAACGCCTCTAGTCTCATTTTTGTGGTGTTAGAATGGAAATTATCTGTCATGTGCTCTTTGGATGCACAGTTACACGACAGGTTCATGCATTAGCTTTATATCCCCTGTTTCTTATAATTGCTTCCCATTGACTTTACTTGTCAGGAAAATTACAAATATTGAGAACTCAACAGTAAAGTCATGTATGACGTTAGCTTATCAACTTTTTAATGCTTTTGTTCAGAATCCACGGAACAGAAACAAAAACATAACTCTTATCTATGTTTTTTTGCCAAATTACATGCAATTTTATTGAATATTTACTCTAATCAAAGAAACTCTACAACGATGGAATACTGATTAAGTTAAGCAAGAGAGAAAACTCTAAAATTAGGTAAATCTCCCAAACCAAAATAGAAAAGGAATGGTTAATGATGGGGTTGGTGGGGTTTGAAGGACTGTAACCAGTTGTTGAGGCGGTCCATAGCTGACAGATCCATCTTCTTGGGAAAGTTGGGGAGAGTAGCGGCTTTGGGTTGTGGTCGGACCACCACTCGAAGCTTAAGCCCAGCCGCACAATGACCCGGCTCTGAGCTTATGAAATAATGAACTCCTGGTTCTGTGAGCCTAACGAGATCATGTCCTGTCTTGTGCACGGCTACAGGAGAAGTTGGGTCGCAGGATATGAATTCAAGATCACCGCTGATTTCAAACACGTCGTTGACTTCCTTGTCGTATTCGAAAAGCAGAACATCTCCCACGTTAAACTCTTTCTCCTCGCTCCACTTGGAATAGAAGTCGGTGTTATAGACAGTCCATCCTTCTGAGTCACCGACCTTGTAGGTCTTTCCGAAAGGAAGGATCTTGCTCTGTGGTGGTGGAGGAGGAACCGGAAGTGACGGGTCGTGGACGACAAGAATGTCGAGTCTCTGTCCGGATGCGCACTGAGCTTGGTTTGAGGTGATGAAATAGTAAAAACCTGGTTCCGTGAGAGTCACGACATCGTTTCCTGTGTTGTAGACGGCTTTGGGATAAGAAGAATCGCAGAACTCGTATTCCAAAGCACCGGAGACTCGAGTGACGTCGTTGACGTTGCGATCGTATTCGAAGACCAGAGAATCTCCCACGTGGAACTCCTTAAGCTCGGCCCAATCGTAATACACGTCGTCTTTGGTAGTCCATCCATCGGAGTCTCCGACTTTGTATATCGTACTCGCCGAGCAGCAACCCAAAAGAACCGTGATCATAACGAACAGGAAGCAGAAGATACTTCTTGCTGTCGCCATTATTGATCCAGGACGAACAAGAAAGATTACAAAGATTATCGAAGATGAAAGATTTAGGGAACTCGGTTATTGATGAATACGTGTTGTGATGAGATAAAAGAGAGTCCCGTATGTCTCTCCTTTTATAAGGTTTTAAAAATCCTAATCCTTGCCTTTTCAGGATTTTACTGTGTACGTTTTTTTCTTATTTGAAGATTGAATGAAGACTAAATCCATTTGAAATATACAGTATATTCTTTTTCCTTTTTAATAGTACCTCTTATCTTGAAAACAAAAGTAAATAACGCGTAAAGATCCTTAATATCCGCTTCTATAGATAATAACTAGAAACACTTATATGGATGGGATTCTCCTCCATTCTCTTTCAATTTTGCCATGGAGATGGAGAAAATGCAAAACCCTAATTCTCATGAGCGTCTCGAATCGTGGTCGGATCATCCTCTGGTTCTCTTGAATTCGGTTTTGGAACGCCTCAGCTTTGCTAATTTCCAACGAGCTAAATCCGTATGCACCTCTTGGCACTTTGTTTCAAGACAATGCGTGCCCAAAAGCAAACAGATCCATTGGCTGATTCTCTTCCCTGAAGACAACGACAACAACAGCAACAACAATTATTCTTGCAGGTTGTTCAATCCCGAGGAAAAAGACAAACTCTACAAAACGCAAGATCTAGGTTTGGAATTTGCAAGGAGTGATTGTATAGCAACCTATGGAAGTTGGCTCCTTATGCGAGATTCTCTGTGTAACCTCTACATTCTGAATCTGTTTACCCTCGAGAGGATCAATCTACCTCCTACGGAGTCACAAACCGGAATGATCACGAAGCTGGAGCGAACCTTAGACGGTTGGTTTCGCGTTACAAGTCACAACGGGAAAAAAGACAGAGGATTTAGTATGCGATACCCTGTGCTTTGGATTGATGAGAAAACCAAAGATTATGTTGTTCTATGGGGGCTTGGAGATTTGTGTGTGGTTTATTCCAAGAAAGGAGATACCTCGTGGAATCAAATCCCGGATACTTCAGGTTGTCGTAACGTGATTTACAAGGATTCCAAGCTTTACATCTTAAGCTTATTCTATGATTCTGCCCTAATCTTCGATTTCTCTGGAGAGATTCCACAAAGAAAGTTTATCCGTTTTCTTCCTCTTGAAACTGGGAAGTATGGTATCCTTCTGGATTCACTCGTAGTCACAGTAACAGGAGATGTCCTCACGGTTAGAAAGATATGGAGGCGGAGGTCTAGTACCTGGTCTTTCCGGATTTACAAGGATTGTTCATCAGGATTCGAGAAGAAATACGAACTGATTCATTCTCTGGGTGACGAGTCAATGTGCTCGCCGATGACACTAATGGGTTCATTAGAAACTCTATCTATTTCAGTGTTGGTAGTAGTGGAGAGAACACAAAGAAGATGTTTCTTTTTAGTCTCGAGACAGGGAAGACAGAGCCGGTGCACACATTTGGTTGTTCTTCTTCGGATCAGTTCTCTAGAGCTCGATGGTTCTTACCAAGTTTTACGCATACATGATCCATGTTCATCTCAACTATGCTTCTCTCATTGAATTATCTAGAGGTAAGTTTTGGCTATCATCTAACATGTGATCAACAATGCAAAGCAGCCTCAGCAAATGAGAGAACAACACTTATTTGTGTTCTCTGGATAGTAATGGAAGAATATGAATATTGAGAACTCAATAGCCAAGTCATAGGTGACGTTAGCTTATCAACTTTTTAATGATAATTCTTATAAATTTTGTATAATAACCTATTCTTAATTTGCTTGTAATAATTTAAGAAGATATTGTACTTGTTGAGTAATCATGTGAGTTCTAATCATGAAGATAACACAAATGGTGTCTTTTTCTTTAATCTCGAGACATGGGAGACGGAACCGCTGCACAAATTTGATTCTTCTCCAGTTCAACTCTCTAGCGCTCAATGGTTCTTACCAAGTTGTACGCATACATGATGTTGATCTCAACAATGGTTTTTTTTTTTATAGTCAAAACGTTAATTGCTTTACTCTAACTAATGACGATCACGTGCTAGTTTTCTAGTTAAAAGTGATGTACACACAAAGGTTAAATTGACAAATTTAACCAATTGTGTACAAGACGATATGCTTAAGTGAGCTTTTATTATTGTTGGGATCTAAGTGTTTGATTAAGAAAGCTCTTTTGAAAGTTAACTTTTCAACATCAAACTATTATAGATTCCGAAAGCTCTTTTGAAAGTTAACTTTTCAACATCAAACTATTATAGATTCCATCTATCTCAGTATTTTTGTTTTCAATGTTTCTTCTTTCTGTTTTTATTGTAATGGTTAAAGTCTGGATTGTATTTCTTTTCCTTTAAGATCCACGGAGGTTGGGTATATGGTTCTCTACATTCTACCGAGGTTTTTTTTTTTTAAATATATATATATATATATATATATATTTTTGTTTTTTTCCTAATAAACTTTTCTTCTTTCTCAAGAAAGGGATTGTTTCATTCTACCGAGTTAGTGTTTGTGTTCTTCTTGGTATTGTAAGTACCTCCTAATTTAAAAATGTAATAATCTATACAAAACTCGATCGTTGACAAAATCTTAAAGTCCTTCTAATAATCTACAAACCAATAAAACCCTCCTTATAAAATCCTTAAGCCAAAAGTATATTATTGTAATTTGAAAAGAAAAAAAAATACATTGGATGATCGACTAGCTATATAGACTGGGCCGGAAGCCCATGTAAAACCCTAGGCGTCATTACTCATTACCAATGCAACCCTATTTGAGGTCAGGAGTAAGACGGAAACTTCTTAGGTAAGGCAAAACATTCAATCGTCGATCTCTCTTTCTGTTCTGCCATGAAGATGGAGGAGAAGCATAACTCTAAATCGCGTAAGCGTCTCGGACGTAGAAGAGAAGATACACTCAGTTCCTGGTCGGATCTTCCTCTAGATCTTGTGAATTTGGTGTTGGAGCGTCTCGGCTTTGCAGATTTTCAACGAGCTAAGTCCGTATGTTCGTCTTGGTACTCCGCTTCGAGACAGCGCCTGTCCAAAAATAATCATATCCCTTGGCTGATTCTTTTCCCCAAAGAGAACAATTATCTTCTTTGGTCAAAAAAAGGAAAAAAAAACTATGATACTTGTTGCAGGTTGTTCTATCCCAAGGAAAAAGACAAACTCTACAGAACGAAAGATCTAGGTTTGGAATTTTCAAGGAGTGTTTGTATGAAAACCTATGGAAGCTGGCTCTTGATGCGAGATCCTCTGAATAATCTCTACATTGTGAATCTTTCTACGCAAGAGAGGATCAATCTACCTCCTACGGAGTCGCAGCTTGGAAAGACAAAGATGGAGCGAACCAGGTGGTGTGTGGCGGCAGATATGCGTAAAAAGGATATAGTAGATGGTGTGTGGTTTCGCATTGACGGACACGAGTACAAAGGTATTAGTATAACATGCCCTTTGTTTTGGATTGACGAGAAAACCAAAGACCATGTAGTTATTTGGGGACTTGCAAGCAAATGTGTGGTTTATTCCAAGAAAGGAGATACCTCGTGGACACAAATCCCGAAAACTTCAGGTTGTTGTAACATGGTTTACAATGATCACAAGCTTTACTTCTTAAGCAACTCTAATCGTTTCAAGATCTTCGATTTTTCTGGAGAGATTCCACGGCAAACCTTTCAGCGTGGCTATAATAAGGACGAATATCCACGTATTGGACCTATTATTTCGACAAAACTTGTAGTCACGGTAAGAGGAGAAGTCCTCAAGGTTGTTAAAAAACAGAAACGGGGGTGTGGTTGCTTCAGTACCTGCTGGTCCTTTCGGGTTAGCAAGGTTTTTTCATCAGGATTCCTCAAGAAACACGAACTGGTTCATTCTCTGGGTGATGAGTCATTGCTTTGGGATCAAGGCATCACTGTGCTCGCTAATGACACTGGTGGATTCATTAGAAATTCCATCTATTTCAGTGACTGCAATGGAATAAACAATATCTTTCTTTATAATCTCGAGACAGAGAAGACAGAGCAGCTGCACACATTTGGTTCTTCGTCAGTTCAATACTCTAGAGCTCGATGGTTCTTACCAAGTTTTAGGCATACATGATGGTGATCTCAACAATGCTTTTCTCTTCAATATGTTGTTTTTCGTTTTACTCAGTACGTTTGATTGTTTTACTCTATAATTAATGATGATTACGTGCTAGGTTTTTACGTAAAAGTGATATGCACACACAAAGAAAAATTAAATCAATTGTGTACAAGACGATATTTGCTTAATTAAGTGAGCTTTTGCTGTGGAATCTAAGTGTTTGACAATTTATCTTGAGTGGAAAAACCTTTTCTGTAAGTCTTGAGAAAAAGAAAGTGCATAGAATTATTCTGCAATGATCTGAAACCATTTTCTGATGCCGTTCTGATAATCATAAACCAAAGGTAGGAAATGCTGAATTAGATTTTTTTTTTTTTTGTGAATCAAGGGGCATCAATTTTTTGGTAGCAGAAAAACGACAATTAATCTAGTGTTTTCTCACAACTAACAGATCGTCAAGGGCAACAAACAACTTATGATCATGCTTTTTAAGAACAGAGAACAACTTCGACAGCTCCTACAAATTATTCTGCGTAGAAGAGAGTATAAATTGACTTAATTTTTGTCAAAAGCTTATAAAACTTGATCAGCAAATAGGCACGTAACTGATCGGCTTAGGTCTACAGTGAGCGAAACTGAATGTTACTATTAGTAACTTACTAACCAAGTATACAGAAAGAGTATAAACGTACCGGAGAAAGTGCTGGCTTCTCAATTTTCAGCTTCACAATCATATTCCGATTCTTCTTTTCTCGACAGAACCTAACTCTAAGAAAAAAAAGAAATCATCCTCAGGAGAACTAAATAATGCATTTTGTGATTTTTAACTCCTAAAATTTTACAGATAGAAAGAGCGGCTCAAAATCCATTGTGAACGGTACAAATAAATAATTTCTAAATCATCTAAGTTCGGGTTAAGCGTACCTACATCAGACTAACATTGGCACAGTAGACATCAGAACAATTTAATTAATAGAGTGTTTTACTTGTGATTCGAAATCTGCTTTGTAATCAATATTTCCTAATTTCTATGTCAATTTTTTGCAGATCTCAGCAACCAATCAAAGCCAATGGGGCGTCAGCAAACAAGTTCAGGTCAAATCCTCCATTAAGTTCTAATGCAAGCAATCAAAGTGTTCCTAACCTTGAGGTAACTTATCTAGTATTAAGCCCTAGATTGTACAAAAGTCTTATAAACATAAAGATAGCCACTTTCATTCACACTATAGAGCTTCGTCGTACAAACTAACCAATCCTTTAACAGACAAAGAGAAGTCGGCCCGAATACAAATTCTGTGGTTCAAGTACAAAATCTCTCAGCCAAGGTAATAATTGTGAATCCAAAGAAACTTTAGTAATAATTATAGCTTGATCTCCAGATTCCAATAAAATGACTTGTTCAAGGCCCATGGGCCAGAAGTGATATCTAATGGGCCACATTCAATGAATTGGAAACAAAACAACCAAAAACTGGCGACACCGATTCAGATAGCCGGCGGCGTTTCAGATCTGCTCCATCACCTTACATTCTCCGAGGAAAACCTAACTTTTAGCTACAAATCTACGCTTCCATCATCAAACGTAAACATTATGTGTTTTCATTTTCATTCGTAAAGCTCTTTCTCGTTGTCCGTTTTCTTGGCCAGTCTAACCAAAAACAATAAAAAAACCGTGTTTTAATTTGACATTATTGGTTTGACCATTACAAATGTGTTTTAACTGTTAAGCTATTTCTAATAATATATCTATCTAACATATCGTTGCAACGTTCGATGTAGTTTCAATCTCAAAGTTTGTTAAATGTTGGTTTTCCTTAAAACACCTGTTAGAAAGAAATTTTTTTCTTTGTGTGACTATTGTATAACACATCCAAGTTTGATATTATATGATATCATACTCATACAAATATCAAAATTACTCCGGCTAACTATATACAAACAATAATCACAAGAAAAAATGTATATTACATCACTTATAAAGTATTATTAAAATAACAGATTCTATTTAGAATCACTAATTAAAAATTGACACTAGGTATAAAATTTTACATCAGTTTTTTAATTGATACTAATCTTAACTTGACTAGTATCAATTTAAAATAATTGATATTAATACTAACTTGATTAGTATCAATTAAAAATAATTGATACTAATACTAACTTGATAAACATCAATTAAAAAAAACTGATACAAATCTGTATTTATTTATATCACTTTTGAAAAACTAACACAAATATATAAGTTTGCATCAATTATATAAATGAAGCATATGATCAACTGTCATTAGCATCAATAATAAATGATGCTAATATTTTTTTCAGTTATAAATGTGATGCAAATAAAATTTCCACTAAACAACAATTTGTCCCACATTGCTAAGAATGATGAAGAGCAATAGTTTTCTCCTCTATAAAAGAAATTCACCAACACTAAATTTTTTTTTTATGTTAAATCATATGTATATATTTTTATACATTTCTTAGAATAATAAATATAAAATTATTAGTTATCTTAAATTTATAATATTATAAAAATTAACAGAAATATTTAAATTAAAAATAATTTTAATATCTCTGAATTTTAATACCTAATATCATTTATTATAATTGATAGTAAATAATAATATCATTTATTTTAAGTGATGTAAATATTAATATCATTTATTTTAAGTGATGTAAATATTAATATCACTTATTGCAAATGATATATATTAATATCAATTAATATAAGTGATGAAAATAGTTGCATCATTAATAATATTGATGTAAATAATTAGCATCACCACTTCCAGAATCATTTAATTAAATGATGCAACTGAATTTGCATCAATAAAAAAATGATATTAACAAATAAAATAAATGATACAACACACTTGATTTTTTGTAGTGAATGGTTCAAAAACACTCTAAATACACGTACAGAATCAATTTTGACAAGTCGTGAGTTCTTAGTCTAGCCATAAGCCATTGTATATTGATCTTTGAATTAGTATAAATTTCGATTTTGGATGAAGTTGCTAATATTATTTAAATTATAAACTCAGTAGTTAATATGCATTTGCAGTGATAGGGTCATCTGACTCATCTTATCACATTTGAAAAAAATCAAGACAACCAAGGTGACATCAACCCAAAAAAATCAGGACAACCAACGATTTTTTTGTAAGCATTAAACGATATATGTTTTATCACATTTGAAAAAAAAAAGCATCATGTTTACAAAATGACTTCGACAACTGAAAATAGCTAAATGTTGAGAGACCACGCTTTTAGTATCTTGTGAAATTTGGTATTAATTAGGTAAGCCATTTAGTAAACATGATGCTTTTTTCTTTTTCTTTTTTTCTCAAAAATTGTAAACATACATTTTCAAAAGCTATATAAATAGGCATTGGTACACCAAACCAAAACTTCCAATTTATATTTGATACTGGAAGTGTGGATCCACCTAATAAACCTGAAGGATAGGAACGGCCAAAATATGATTCCACCTAATAAACTTCCAATTTATATTTTATTAACTTATCTAAAGAATGGTACGACTCATTTATCATGAGTTTTTTTCTGTCTCACACTGATCAAGATTATAAATATTGATCAGTATGAGACGGAAAAAACCATGATAAATAAACCATACCGTTCTTTAGATAAGTTGATGATTTGCTGGAATCATATTTTGGCTGTCCCTATCCTTCTATGTGATATTGACGGTTTCGTTAGTACAAATGATGTAACAATAGGTAAAATGATTGTGAAGAAACAAGTATGACTCATCATCATCCATACTATGAATATTTAATTTCATCTATACCTTACCTAATTAATGTTTTTTCAATCTTCAGGATTTCATAGAGCGTACCGGAGAAAAAGCTAAAGGAACTTTCTTTGATTTTACATCTTACGATGGTATTTTTGGGTTGGCATTCCGACCATGTTTGGTAAAATTTCATTTCTCTATCATTGTTTATATTCATTATTCAAGTAAAACTTGTTAACTCAACATTGTCGTTTGGTGGATGGTCAGATTAATCAAGCTCGTGGGGTGTATGATGAGGAGTTAGGATTCGTGAACTGCCATAAGTTTACTCTCTCTACGAGAGATGTAAGATCAAATTAATTACAGTATATATGGCGGTGATTCCACTTCATGCGCAATCAAATTCAGGGTCTTGGTATATGATGACGATTATTATCATGATGACCAGATATGGTTCTTATGATTTTTGCCATTGGATTTACTAAAATGTATCATTCTCATCATTTTACTTATTCATAAAAACTATAAATAGCAGTTTAGTTTATAAAAAAAAACAAGGATACAGTCTTAATAAATGTAGAAAAACAAGGAAACTCATTTTAGTTGGTAGTAGAATGTTTGTTGGTAATTTGGTTTAGTGTTTATCGCATTGTCATATTGTATTTTTCTATTTGAAACTTCAAAGCTAAAACGGTTTACAAGTGGAAACTACATCGCAATTAGAATTTCTAATTTAGAAATACTGAAGAAAGATCCAAATTGAGTTTTTGGAGAAAGTAATATTGAACTCGCATGATTAATTCAACAAGTTCAAATCTCCTTAAATTATTAAAAGCAAATATCATTAAAAAGTGGATAAGCTAATGTGTCACACATGACTTGGCTATTGAATTCTGAATATTCATATTCTTCCATACTATCCAGAGAACACAAAGAGTTGCTGTTCTCTCATTTGCTGAGGCAGCTTTGCATTGTTGATCACATCCAGAAGATATATAGCCAAAACTTACCTCTAGAGAATTCAATGAGAAGCCATTTTCAGGAAATTGAGACAGTGCATCCAATGATCCAAAGAGCACATGACAAATAGTTTTCATCCCAACACTAAAAATCTGACAAAATCTGAGCCCTAGAGAACTAAACTGAAGAACAATACAGTTGAGGTCAAATCATGTTCGCCTAAAACTCGGTAAGAACCATCGAGCTCTAGAGAAGTGGACCGAAGAACAATCAAATGTGTGCACCGGCTCTGTCTTCCCTGTCTCTAGATTAAAAAGAAACATCCCCTTTGTGTTCTCTCCACTAGTAAAACTGTAATACATAGAATTTCGAATGAATCCATCATTGTCATCGGCGAGCACAGTGATGCCTTGATCCAAAAGCATTGTTTCGTCACGCAGAGACTTAATCCGTTGGGGTTTCATATCGAATCCTGATGAACAAATTTTGATAACCCGGAAGTACCAGGTACTAGACCTCCGTCTCCATGTTCTTTCAACCGTGAGGAGATCTCCTGTTACCGTGACTAGAAGTGAATCCCGAAGGTTACCAAACCTCGAACTTACAAAAGCAACAGAACGGTGAAGCTTTCTTTGTGGAATCTCTCCAGAGAAATCGAAGATTATGACATAACCATAATATAAGCTTACCATGTAAAGCTTGGAATCCTTGTAAACCACGTGACAACAACCTGAAGTTTCCGGGATTTGATTCCACAAGGTATCTCCTCTCTTGGAATAAACTACACACAAATCTCGAAGCCCCCAAAAAACAACATAGTCTTTGGTTTTCTCATCAACCCAAAACGCAGGGCATCGCATATTAATATCTTTGAAAGTATACTCCTTTCCATCGTGACTTGTAACGCGAAACCGACCATCTAAGGTTCGCTCCAGCTTCGTGATCATTCCGGTTTGTGACTCCGTAGGAGGTAGACTGATCCTCTCGAGGGTAAACAGATTCACAATGAAGAGGTTACACAGAGGATCTCGCATAAGGAGCCAACTTCCATAGGTTGCTATACAATCACTCCTTGCAAATTCCAAACCTAGATCTTGCGTTTTGTAGAGTTTGTCTTTTTCCTCGAGATTGAACAACCTGCAAGAATGATAGTGGCTGCTGTTGTCGTTGTCTTCAGGGAAGAGAATCAGCCAATGGATCTGTTTGCTTTTGGGCACGCATTGTCTTGAAGCAAAGTGCCAAGAGGTGCATACGGATTTAGCTCGCTGGAAATTAACAAAACTGAGGCGTTCGAAAACCGAATTCAAGAGATCCAGAGGAAGATCCGACCACGATTTGAGACGCTCATGAGAATTAGGGTTTTGCATTTTGCAGCTTGTTCAATCCCGAGGAAAAAGAACAACTCTACAAAACGCAAGATCTAGGTTTGGAGTTTGCAAGGAGTGTTTGTATGAAAACCTATGGAAGTTGGCTCTTGATGCGAGATCCTCTGAATAATCTTTACATTTTGAATCTCTTTACCCAACAGAGAATCAATCTACCTCCTTCGGAGTCGCAGCTTGGAAAGACAAAGATGGAGCGACGACGTTACGGACTTCGTATAAGATCCCCTGTGTTTTGGATTGACGAGAAAACCAAACATTATATAGTTTTCTGGAGACTTGGAAGCAAATGTGTGGTTTATACCAAGAAAGGAGATACCTCGTGGTTTCAAATCCCGAAAACTTCAGGATGTCGTGACTTGGTTTACAAGGATCACACGCTTTACTTCTTAAGCAAATCTGATCATTGTTTCAAAATCGTCGATTTTTCTGGAGAGATTCCTCAAGAAACCTTTCAGCGTAGTGTTACTGTGAGAAGTCTCTCACAGAATTTTCGGCTTCTTGAAACAAAACTTGTAGTCACGGTAACAGGAGAAGTCCTCATGGTTGAGAAATGTTCGACATCCTTGTCTAACAGATGGGCCTTCCGGGTTTCCAAGGTTTATTCATCCGGATTACATAACCGACACAAACCGATTTATTCTCTGGGTGACGAGTTAATGCTTTTGGATCAAGGCATCACTGTCCTCGCCAACGACACGGATGGATTCGTTAGAAATTCCATCTATTTCAGTGCTACTCGTGAAGCTAACAGACACTGCATATTTCTCTACGATCTCGAGACAGGGAAGACGGAGCGACTGCACAAAATTAATTCTTCTTCAGTTCAATTCTCTAGCGCTCAATGGTTCTTACCAGGTTATACACAAACATGATGTTGATCTCAACGATTGTTTTTCTCTTCAATTTGTTTTTCTTTTTGGTTTTTCTACTCTAATTAATGATGATTATGTGCTAGTTTTTTTTTTTAAAGTTAAAAGTGATGTACACACAAAGGTTAAAATGACAAATTAATCGAATGTGTACAAGACGAGCTTAACTGAGCTTTTGTTGTGGAATCTAAGTGTTTATCCTTTAAATGTTAACTTTTTTAACATCAAACTATAATAAATTGATGTCTATCCTAATCGTGAGCGTGTGGGTAGTACTAATTTGGTATTAATGAGGTAAGCCATGTAGTAAACATGATCCGGTAGGTACGTAAGCCATGTAGTAAACAACTAAACATGATCTGGTATTAATGAGGTAAGCCATGTAATAAACATGATTTCTCTCCATTTTTTTCTTTCTTTTTTCTCAAAAATTGTAAACATACATTTTCAAAAGCAATATAAATAGATGAACTTTTACTAATTAAACGGATCACACACCAAATTGCATCTATGGGTACGCAATAAGGCCTGATCCAGCTAATAAACCTGAGGACGGACGGGGACTGCCAATATAAAGATAAGTGTTTAATATATAAGACTGCTGTTAATCAATTCTCTGGAACCACTTGAGCAAATCCAAATTTTCTCTCTTCAAAGTCGAAAATTGTATGGTAAGGCCTTATAAAAAGTGTTTCCAAAATCCTGCATTCATTTCATGTATGAAGCCAATTGGTTTGCTGCTACATAAAATGAATGAAAGATATTGGAAGCATCTGAGGTTTTACTATACTGTTTTTGATTTCGAAGAGAAAAAAGATTGGATTTGCCCAAACAGTTCAAAAAAAATAATTATAACAGTCTTAAAATATTAAACATTTTATCTTTTATTTTTCTGTTTTTGTAACTTTTTTTATTTCGTATTGTATATTTCCAATTTAAGAATTAGTATAAATACAATTGTTGAAAGATAATAATAATATATATGGTTTTTTATTCTCTCTATTTGGACCACTTACATTCATATTATATTTTCAATTTTAACTTCGATTAAATAATTGTAATTTTACATATATTCCCATAGATTAGACTTTGATTAGGCACAATTTTAATATTCATTCTTATACATTTTAACTTTTTATATTATCATAGAATAGGCTTTGTGTAGTTTATAATTTGATATTTTATAATTTGTGAAAAAGAAAGATATAAAAAATAAAACCAGACCACCTGTAAAATAAAATAAAACAGACTCAAAATGTAATATTTTTATTAATTATTAGTTTTCTTTAATTAGTTACAAATACAATGGCTATTCCTTTGTTTGTCTTTCTTTTCAATATTATTTACATATTTTGTTTTTCATTTTTTTGTTACTATTGACACTTACAATTTGCGTCATTTCTGCTTATAATTTGCTCAATTTTTTTACATTTATTTTGCTCATATCTCTTTATATTTACACTGTTTATTAAGCTGTTATAATTTGAATATTTGATATGTTTATGCATATGCAATAATTTTTTAATAAAAAGCTGAAAATGAAAGTAATATATGTATTATACCATTCGATTTTCTGATGTGTTAAAAAGGCTTTTAACATGTATTATTTACAAAAAAAAAAAACTATAGAAATGTGAATTAGAATAATTTCCTTTTCGTGGCTTTCGATGTTGGTGTTCTTATTAGGCGATGAAAAGATAATAATAAAGCCAGCATCAAAATTAACCTGAAAAGAAACAAACTGAACTTTATCTTCAACGTAAAGTAATTAATTCACCATATTTAAAACCTCGTATAATGCTTAAAAACCTTGGTGATATAACTTATCATGGTGAAATGGGCATGAATACACTAAACCCTCAGGAATCACCTGTTCTGGTTGTGTTATTGACGATTTCCTTAGTACATATGATGTAACAATCGCAAACATGATTGTGAATAAACAAGTACGACTCATCATCCATATCATAAATATTTTATTTCATTTGATTTAACCAATCCGATGTTTTTTTATCTTAAGGAATCTATAGAGGGTACTAAGGAAATATATACATGAATTTTCAGAATCGTACGATGGTGTTCTCAAGTTGGCATTCCGAGAGTGTTCTGTGAGGGATTCAGTCCCCGTCTGGTAAATTTTTATTTCTCCAATCATTTTTTTTTTTAACGAATATCCAATCCAAATCTTTCTACTAAGTAGCAAGTAAACATTTTTAAGAAAAGGATGGGTCGCAAACCGAATTCGTGTCTAATTAACTCAAAACACCACCCCTACTAACAACCGTGAATTTAAAGACGAATGAATTGATTATGGGCATTCTATATTTTATTCTATATATATATAACCATAGGGGTTTCTGTGCCAGTGCCAACACACACACACACTCGCTTCTTCTTTTTTTTTTTTTTTGTTAAAGGATTTCACACACTCGCTTTCTCACTTAAGAAAAATGGAGGGTTTTTTAGGAAGTTACAAATTGGCATTTGCTTTGTTCCTATTGAGTTTTCTTGCATACGTACTAGGACTAAGGTTTATATAGTTTATCTTGGCGAAAGGGAGAATGATGATCCCGAACTTGTTCTCCAATCATGTTTATATTCATGATAAAGTAAACTAGATTATCTTTATATATAATTTCACTAGATTATTTTTATATATTATTTCACTATGATAGATCACGTTGACATCGTTTTTAAGCACAATATGACTGAACTGGATTTGCAATTTGAGGAATAAAATTATATGGAATGGTTTATTCAGCTGAATTCCACATAAATGTTACCATTTAAATTGAATAATTTTTTTATTTCATTTCTTTGAAATAGGTAGAATAAATGGAATAGTATAAAAATGTATAGGAATAGATGGAATAAAGATAATTTCAACAAAAAAAAATATATGTAACTAAATTTGTTCCATTGCATTCCTCTAAATAATTACTATTTGAGTAACAAAAACAAGTTTCTACAACTATTCATTCCATTTTTTTTAATTCCATAACTTCCTTTATTCCATTATTTTGTATTTCATTTTTCTCCTCTGATTCATAATATCCCTAAAACTGGTTGTAATTCATTTCATAGTTGTAAGATTATTCAAGTCAACATGGACTTGTTCTTAAAAAAAAAAAAAGCCAAAAGCCAAAAAGTTAGCATGACCCTTTTTGGGGATTTGATCTTAAAATCAATCTTGATCGTGGCATTACTAAGGTGGGGGTATTGAATTGAATTGAAAGAAATTAAAGTTTTCATTAAATATCAGTGTTATTCAATAATATATTTTATCAATTCTTTTAAATATCTGTGTTATTAGATTAAATGTTTCTATTCATTCTTTCAAAATTCTTTAAATATTATTGTTATTCAATATACTAATTTTTCAATTCTATTAAATATATGTGTTATTCAATTTTGTAATAGTTTTGATTGTATTATCATTTGGAAAGAATTTAATAGAATCTCACATAAAAATTGTTATGAACCAATTCCTACCATTTTTACTAGGGTTTTGATAGAATTAGTTTAAATTCCTACAAAATACTTTAAATTACTTAAAAATCAATTATTTTTGAATTTTTGTACATTCTATTAAATTCAATTATCCAATAACACCCCCTAATATTCTTCTGCGCAATGAGAAGACCATAAACATAACTGTGAAAATTAAATAAAATGTGATCAACTATATGTATGTAAAAATGTATTTTAAGAACAAAAAAAAATCTTGGTTTTTACTTAATTTTATAATAAACATTTCATATGTAGTTTCTTTAGACAATTAACATGCCATTTTTTCTTTGTTTTCATGTTTAAACTACAAAAAAAAACTGATTTTTCACTTAAAAAGTTGTACAAAAGTTAGTAGATACATGGGAATCAGATTAATGTTTTGGGTTGAGTTGCTTAATAGGTTTAGCTGTGTTAGTTAAAATATTTAACGTTGTTGTTAAGTGCAAAACACAAGTATCTATTAAATTTATTAAACTATTGAGGAAAAAAAAATTTGTTGCTAATTTTTCTTGTCATGGCCCATAGGTCCACCGGTTTTTTAAACCCAACATGGGCCTTTATTTTTTGCTCATAAAAAAACATGGGCCTTTATATACCTCGCCTGCCTTTGTCTGGTAATGTTTATTTTTCAACACATAATCAGTCTTCGTAAGTTGGTATACTGATGGTTAACTTTCTCCCAAACCCAATACCGTAAAAGAGAAAATAGTTACATTAAATATCATATAAAACGCATTTCTTAATTTACATACCAACAAATAAGAAAATCTGCCCAAATACACACATCGTACTAGCAGAAAAAGTAGCAAATTAAAAAATAAACATGGACCCTCGAGACTATTAAGAGGGTTTGACAAATCGAACGTCTCTCAAAAGATTACTACAGTATAATACAAAAACGAAAAAGTCAATGAACTTTCTTAATGAAGAGATTACGAAAGCCAAATAAACCATTAGGATTAGGATTATTAACATTGGCGTTATTATTATCGTCACTCCCAATGTTATGATTTCCACCCTCGTCGTTTCTGCAGCTTAACCGGCTCCGATAACCGATGCACATAGGCACGTTCAAGTTTATGACTTTTGCTTTATTGCTATCAATCACCGTTTTACCCCTACGCGCCTCGGTAACTTCCCTTTTGCCCAGAACCCGACCCACCGGCTCGGATACCGGTTTCCCGGTCGGAGCTCCACCTCCACGCCGGACTTGCCAGACTGGACTGCTCCGACCAAGATGCACGCCGTTGCGACCGGGACTACTCGGCCATTTCCTCGACTTTGATTCTCCGGTGGAGTTGCTCCGGGAACACGGCGCGCTGCTGACTTTCCGTGTAGTCGGAACTCCAAACGACATTCTTGGTCGGACCACGTTGTTCCCGGCGGATCTGCTTCTTGAAAACGGCCAAATGTTGATATTTAGCTCCGCTCCCGAGCCAGAGCCCGGACCAAGACCGGTCTTCTTCTCTTTCTTTTTCTCTTTCACCTTCTCTTTCTTCCCGGCCGGTTTATTCTCGCTCTTCCTGAATATATCCCTCCACCGTTTCGAAACCGTCGGCTCCCGGGTCAACTCGGATCCTAAACCGGGTTCTGATTCGGGTTTTACCTCTGAAACCAGAGTAGCTGGCGAAGGAGATGGATCCGGATCGCATTCTGAGACAGTCGGGTCGGGTTGAGGTTCGGATTTGATGGAGAGGAGGTGAAGCGGAAGAAGAACGCCGTCGTGAAAAAGCTCGTCGGCGGATATGAGATCTGATTCGGTCTGCTGAAATGAAGAGCTTGTTAGACGCCAGAACTCGAACTCCGGTGCGTTCGAGTCGCAGCTGCTCCTCCGTCGTTGGCTACTGCACGGAGGGAGAATCTCAGGTGGTGGTTTACTTCGTATGCTCGTTGGACTATCCATGTTGCAGAGAGAGAGAGAGAGAGAGAGAGAGAGAGGGAATTGGAAGGTTGAAGATAATAAATTAATGAATGTAGAGAGAGAGAGATGAGCAGGTGCAATGTGACCATATATGCAGAGTACATAAATGACGGAAAATTATGTACCAAATACTAATTTTTTATTTTTTTCCTTTATTTTCCGATTTGTACTTGTTTTAGTATAATTTTAAATTGGAAAATGATGGGGTGTTGTTGTTGTTTATAATTTGAAAAATATCTCTTGATCGATCACTTAAATTTTATCTCTTGATCGATCACTTAAATTTTATTATATTAGTTTGTACTGCTGACTTTCAGATATATTTTTTACGTAATATGTCTACACTATTGTTTCTAATCTCTCTGCTGTTTTAAAATCTGTAACTATTCTAAATTTGATACACGAATTATGAATACTATGAAAATCCGTTAGTGTGAAGTTTTTTTAATACCAGTATACCACAACCATTTTGTCGAAAAAGAAAACCATTTCTCAGTGTTTTATTACACTTACTACAAATATGTTTGTCATTAGTCAAGTTGGGATAGTGATTTCATGATTAAATACAGTTTAACTATATAGTTTTATGATATCACATGAATGGATTGTTGTGTAAATTATTTCACAGTAAAATCATCGTAAGCATTTGTCCTTTTTATATATTTTTTTTCCTTTGCTGCACATTATTTCTTTACACTGGTTAATTCACAATTGATAATAAATCGTTAACACCCATGAAGCTTTATGTCTCCTCTCCATCTATATAATATACCACCCAACTCATTAACTCTCCTCACCAAACTTGATTTTAAGCAAATATAAAATGTATATGATTCACTTCTATATTTGAAGGGACAATGCTAGGCAGATTATAATTTTTAATAAGTAAAATGCCAAACTGTTGATAAAAAAATCAACACATGATAAGACTTTTCTAGCAAAAATTATGCTAAAATACGAAAAGTTAAGTGGGAATTTTTTTTTGGAAACGGAGAGTATATTTTACTTATTTTGTTACACTTTTCCAATACAAATTATAAACATCAAAAACAAAACCAAATACTAGTATATCCTTGTATTGTTGTTTTTTATGTTTATATTATCTTTCATATTGTATTTTGCTGCATATAGATGGAAGGCATAAAAATGAGATGGAGAATATTATTCCCACTCGAATTTATTCATGGACCCCTCGGAAACTTGTTATTTTTTTCCGTTTCTTGATTAATGTTTCGCAAGAAAATAGCAAAAGATAGCTAAACTTTATGAATTACAAGAATAAAATTTGTAAATCGAAGTTGACCCATTTCATTTTTAAGATCTTCTGGAGTTATCATTAGATTCATTACCCTGAACCCAAAAAGTCATTTCGTAAAACATTTTCGTTTTTGTTTTTCTTAGTTCTTACAACAGAAAATTATTTGCTTTTTTTCAAATATGATGTCATTGTGATGTTGGTTATATCAAATTTCAGAATTTCAAAGTTTTAATCTATCATGTGGAGTATCAATCATTACTTAATTTGACTAAAATAATTAGAGGAACAAACCACATTCCTCGACCGCATTTCATGGAAAATAAAATAGCAAATACTGAAGAGTTGTGTTTAAACTGTAGATACAAAGTCATCGACGTATACGCAGACTATACATATTCCGATAGGTATGTACAAGCCTTTCTTGTGTTATCAAGTTTCACTCGATTCTCTTCCAAGCAAAAAAGCGACAAAAAATCAATGTTTTAGTTAATAGTTTACGAAATAGTCAAATTGTTACACTACGTGATTTTAATTTTTTTTTTAAAATTTACAATAGGGTGGCGGATCTGTCCTTGAAAACCAAATGATCAAACATATAAATTCTATTCAAATAGTGTAATTTTCTTTTTAGAAATCAATTATCTTCTCCACCAACTAAAAAAGGTTTCAGACGACTGTAATTTATTAAGTTATATAGTTTGTTGCTATTTCTCTTTAAGTTCACGAATAATTGTATTCTTTTGTTCTGTTATGTTTTTCTTTTGTCTTGCCAAGTTCATTTTCTTTTTCTTTTTCTTTTGTCAACCTTGCAAAGCTATAGTATATATATATGTATGTAATGTTTACGACACGAATATTGTTATACAGTATGATTAATATTAAGACTCTAATAAAGGAAATCAATAATTAATGATTAATGCAGTCCCAAAGTGTACTAAAAAAATAAAAAAAATTTAGCGATAAAATGCAGCCGTAAGAAGTAAACGGGCCAAACGAGGCCCATTAAAAGCAGAAAACAAATAGGAGTAATTAAGAATGGGACGTGATTCAATGGGACCTACACGTATTAAACCACAAACGGGTTCACTAAGCTGTGAATTTAAGTATTTTTCTTTTTAAAATACTTGTAAGAAAAGAGAAAAAAATATCTAAAAACTCAGAGAACCAAACTTGAACCTGAACTGAAAGTAAGATGATAATCATTCATTAATTAATATTTAATGAGTTGATTTTAAAAAGTGTCATTACCAAAAGGTAATCTCTTTTAAAAACGAAAAATAAAAAAGAAATAAAATAAAAAACATAAGAAGATAGAAATAATAACAAAGAGATTTTGTTGGTTCGTTTATGTTTGGAAAACAGACAGAGATAATGTAAGGCCATGTGACGGATAACATTATCACACACTCATTTAATGACGTGGGGTCTCTTGACTGCGAAATATCATAAATACCCTTAAGCCTCTCTCCTCTGCACGCCACGCAACTTCGACGTTACATAGATTTGGTATCTGAGGTTTCCTACATTTTCCCATCCGTACACTGCCCCCATGTTACGACTTACGAGCAATCTATAAGTCTATTAAAGCTCTGCACAAGCACAAGCACAAGCACAAGCACAAGCTTTTATTTATTTAACCTTCCAAAAAGTCAGTTTTTTTTTTAATTAATTTAAAAATAGGTTCTCTCTCATTTGGATATATATAAATATAACTGATAAATGCTAAACGAAACCAAAATTTGGTAATCGACGGGGGCCATGCATGATTTATAAACGGAGTGCCTTTTCTTTGTAGGTCCTGAAGACAGCATGTTCATGGATTTTTGTTTAATTTTATTGTCAACGACTTGTACTTATCAAGCTAATCACAAATCTAAAGATATACTAGTTTGAATGTTATTTTGGTTCTATATTCTTGGCCATTTTATATATGATCATCCGAAGTTCTGAATAATACTTTCTCATATAACATTTACATGCATGTATATTTTATTCAGAAATAAATCAGCTTTGTTTAACATTTTTATTCGTTTATCATCACTTTCATAATTCTCTTATTCACTCTATTTTTACTTTTTAAAAAAAATGCAATGTTCATCTTAAAATGTTCACTCCGCCTTCGCTAGTTTTGCAATATTAAAATTCCGATGATTAGGAGAAATCTAAGGGCCAATAAACTATTGATGTTTTGTTGTTTAACTAATATTTGTGGGATAAACTGAAGCTGAATTACTATAAATGTAAGGTATGGTTTTGGAGTGTGTCCAAACTTACAAGTGGTACAAAAGGAAGTCGCATCATATATATAATTATGGAGTCATTGACAAAGAAATATCATAAATTCATCACGTGATCATTCTCTTCACTTTAACGACTATTCCATTATACGAGAATAAAAGATTTCTTCCCTTGAAAACAAAATAACGTGTACAACCTCAAAAATACGTTCCAAATTAATGAAACTCAATAATAGCATAGCATGTGATACTGATACTACGACAGTCACGTCACATTTTCATTTATATAGAAACTTTAACCTTGTTAAAAAAGTTGATACAGTAGTAGACTAGTAGATTACGTTTTAATATATTTAAAACTTATTTCACGACCTTCTTGTCAACTGTTTTTTTTTTTTTAAAGAATTAGTTAACTACTTTTTTTTCATTCAATATGTTATTTTTTTGTAACTAGATTCTATAAATATGTTATTTCTTACACTTTTTTGGGGTCAAAATGTTATTTCTTACACTATAGTATATTATTTCTTACACTTCTTCACCAATCAGCAATAATATATTTTACATCCCACTCAAATGAGGGCATACAAATTTCACCCAATTTGTTTTTTTGAGTTACTCCATTGATTTCATTTATATTTCAGTTCAAGCTAGATCTCATACTTTTTTAGTTTTCTAAATTAATTTATTTTCCACAAAGTAAAGCTTGTCATTATCTCTAATCACTTCAATACTGTCAATCTCAGCTCCATCTTCATTCGTCACCATCATCTCACTTCCATCAAACCCAAACTTTTCTCCTATTTTATACACAAACGAAACAATGTTAATAAGGAAAAAAAAAAGAACACAAACCAAACCCGGTCAGCACTTTAAACCAAAACCAATCAGAACCGATTCAAGACCAAAACTAAACCGTGAGGTGGTGTCTGGAGTTTGAAGTCTTGTGTCCCAATTATCTCATGCAACACCAATAAAGACCAAAATCTAATTCTAAAACTTGGTTTTAGGTTTCACAGACGAAATTTGTGAAAATTTGAAATTTCAGATTTGTGTGTGTTTACCTGCAATTTTCTTGAGGTCATCAAGTAGAGGAGGAAGAAGAATAAGCTTCCCAGCTTCATTGCAACTCCTTTCTCTCCTCTCATATGGATGTCCTCTGTAAATACTCACTCTTCCTCGTTCTTCATCTTCTTCTTCTTCTTTCACAACTCTCAGCTTCTCCAATGGCGTGACACCAACCACATCTGCACCGTTCATCTTCAAGAGATTCACCATATCCATTTGGTTCCCCGCCATAGCGACTTGCAAAGCCGTGAAGCCATGGTGGTCTTCTGTGTCGACATTGATCCCCTCTTTCAGAAGATCCATCATTACTTCTACATTGTTCTGTTTCACTGCTGCACAGAGAAGATCTCCAGCTATGTGCGGATCCGATATGGCTGCGAAATGGTACAGGATTCTGAATATCTCATAATGCTTCGTTGAGATTGCTTCCCATAGAGCCGTGTTACCACTCACATCTGCATGATATTTTCACAAAATCTTGTGCTTAAAACATATCTGCAAATACATTAAAAAATTTAACGGCTTCTTAAGCATGATGTTGCTTACCTCTTATGTGGATGTTGCATCCGTGCTTTAGGAGTACCAAAACACAATCTTCATATCCTCTTGAAGCTGCTATATGCTGAAACAGTAATATAAAGACATATATTAATGACTATGACGATGAGTATTGGTTTTAAAATGGCTTTTGGTGAAAGCAAAACGTTACCAATGGAGTTTTTCCTTTCGAATCTGCAATGTCAGGGTTTAACTTAGCCTTGAGAAGCTCATCAAGAAGAGCTGCATTGCCTGTGGCTACAACAGTGATAAGATTCGAGGCAATGTTGTGTGGAACATCATCGTTTCTTCCGTTTTGCTGTGCCCTAAGATCACCAATGTCTATATCACTCAGCTTTTTGTGATGCTGCAAGAAGTTCTTAAGCATTGTGGCATTGTCTTGTTGTTTAATCTGCATCGTCTCAATAAGGAAAGATGTTTTGATCCGGAGAAGCTGTGAGAGAGACTTGGTTTGAAAAGTGTAGCTCTGAGGTCTGCAACAAAGAGCTCCAACTTCTCCAAATATGTCTCCACATCTTAACGTGCCTAACACGCTCTCTCTCTCCATCTCTGAGTCGATGATCTCAACTTCTCCTGATACGATTATGTAAACATCATCGGGGGACTCGTTCTGCATTATGACATCCTCTCTTGGTGGTATATACTCAGCCTTCATTTTGGAAACCTAATCAACCAATACACATTATTAGGAGAATACTTATGATACAAGTCATGCAAGCAAAACAATAACTCACCAGGAGAAGAAGTATCTCTCTTGAAATGCCTTTGAAGAGGTAAACTTTTTCAACTGATGGAAGAAAAAGATGTTGACAAATGCTCTTGTGGATGGATTTTGGGAGCTGGTCAATAAGATGCTGCTGGTTCAAGCTCTCTGCCTTAAACCTCAAACACATGTAAGCTAGTATCTGGTCTTTCAATCTAGGAGGCAATCTGTTTCTGTTAACAAAGTTCGACGCTGCTTGAATGCTATTCCTCTGCAACCACAACAACAACAACAACAAAAAGTTCCTTAAGAAAACAATACAAAGAGAAAAGTAAAATGTAACCAAAGAGTGAGACTCACAAATTCCATGGTGCGACGAGTCCCTTCCACGACCAAATTAGTCATGTTACCAATAAGGTAAGCAGTGAGGCCGAGATTGAATAACATGTAGACTATAATGAACACCATCTCAATAGTGTTGCTCGCATGGAGATCTCCATATCCAACAGTTGTCATTGTTGTGATGGACCAATAAATGGCTGCAATGTATTTGATGGAAAGACTTTTGTCTCTGATACTAGGGATTGCGTCGATCCATGTCCTTCCGTGTGGATATCTGTCTGCTAGTAGGTAATATATGCATCCAGCACAATGCACCAGAAACAACGTCACCTGTAAAAAAAACACTCAAATCTCATCATGTTCTGTAATTACAATGTATAAAAGATATGATTTTGTTTCTTTATTATTTACTCACGCATAGAAGTCGAATGCAGCGAATCCAGAAATAGCAGAACCTTATGTCCTTCTCAAGTCTGAAATGACACCTTTTGTTACTACTTTCTCGAAAACGTTTTCGATAAGAGACATGACATGGAGTCAAATGTGTACCTTGTGAATAGGTGTTTAACGCGTCTGAGTCGCCAGAATCTGAGCAATCCCAAGAGATTACAAGTGAGATTCAACTTGCCTGTGCCAGTGACTAAGTATCCGATTGCATCAAATGGTATAGTTGATGCAACATCCATCAAGAACCACGTAGAAAGGTACCTTTAATTAGATATTAAAATAGCAATGTTTAGCAAGAACCAACACGTTTATTATATAAAAAAAAACTCTGTTCACCGAATATTAAAAATGGAATCTTTCTGTTCTTTCCATAATCAGCAATTTATCTAACTGTTGGTAGGGAAAAATTAAAGAATCACATGGTGTGTGGGCACAAGAGTCACCTAAACCTTGTCGTCTTCCACATTTAAAAAAAAAAATCAGATCTTTCATGAACAACAAAACACTGACCTCACTGCAATCTGTTTAGGTTCACGGACAAGAAGATGTGTTCTTTGGTCTATGTAAGCAACGAAAAACGTCAAGACAATGTCAACGGCGAAGAACAAGTCTACGATGTTGTCAGCGATACAAAGATTTCTCTTTGGTGAGGAATTCAGAAACGCAACTTCAAAAGGGTAAACCCACGCAGAGTATGCAACCAAAAGCACCATGAATGATTCCCACCACCTGAATCAACCACACATCTCATCATAACCACACCATTTAAACTTGTTTACGTTATCTTCGAAAGATAAACAAGTTAATGCATTATCACTAATTCTAGCATCATTTTATGTCACTGAGAATTTCCTTAATACGTGATGAACAGAGCATAAAGAATGCGTTTTTCAGATACACTATGTTGCTTTGTTTGACAAAATATCAAACAGAGATATAAAGAATGTTGTTACCTGTATCTTGAATCCATGGGTGAGATGATCCATCCACTAGAGATGATGTGATTCTGGTTGAAGCTTGCAACACCAAGTGGAGGAAGAATAAGCTTTGAGAGGTTGTTCAAGCTGAGAGAAGAAGCATCATACACTTCATCATCTCTCCCTTTGCCTCGTTTCTGATGATGAAGACGCCGGTTCTGCTTCATGTCTAAGGATAAGTTGAAGTGATGAGATGGTCCATATTTGAGGTCCATTATATTTTCCCTGAGCAAACAAAATTGTTTTTTTCTTCAACTAAAGAGAGAGAGAGAGAGGGAGATAGGAGAAAGAGAGACGTTTTGGTGGATGATATAATAATTGCAATGAAGAGTGAGTTTGTGGTTTGTATGGGTGCAAACCGTACGTGGTGGTGGTGGTCCTTTTTGTTAAGATGGAAGTGAGATTGGGGAAGCTTTTGTGGGGAACACGATTTTTAGTTTTGGAGGATCAGTCACAAGAAATAAGGGAAATGAAAATTGATTGATTTATGTTTTGGAAGATAAGGTATGAAGTGTGAAAGATGGGCCCCCTCAAAAGATAGAGTGGTAATGGTTGAGACAGAGAATTATGCAAAACGTGGCTTTAACGAGTTTTGTTGAGGGACCCAATGTATCTGTCTCATTAGAAATAATACTTTAAACTCTATATTGGGGAGATTAAGAGAAGATTCTAATGCTTCATCTCTCCACATATTTCTTAAGAGAATGTTGTGTGTACTACTAATAAGCATTTTGACTAGCGGGTATATGAAGCAGAAGAAAATGAGATAAAAAAAAAGAAAGAATTAGATTCCACTTAGAAATTATAACAGGGACCAGTTTTATTTAGGCGAAAAAGGCTATATATATCTCTATTCGTGTAGTCGTCTTCGGTATAGTATTCATCTAGATTGATCATATATTCTTAATTTGGCTTTTGAGGCAATCACATGGTTAGCCCCAAAAAAATAAATACAAAAGGACAAAGTGAAAGATGTTGTAACCGACCTCTTTGTACTTTGTTATAGGAGAGATGTCATTGAGAAAAGATCCCATAAGGAATCATCACACTGCCTACTTTACTCATTCATCATGTTGCCTAAGTGCCTCTAAGTTGGTTTGCTTTTTAAGATCATCCATGAAACTTGCCAACTTCAACAAAATGTCACAATGAGAAAACCAGAGCTGGTCTCTCATTGAAGAGGACTCAAAATTAATGGAGATTTTACTCAAATTATACATCAAACCACACAACTTACGTACCAAGTCTTTTGGTCTAATGAGGAAATTGTTCAGAACCAAAATTTGTTTGAGAAATTGTTAAGTAATAAAAGAAACAGCCATTGGTAAAGCAGTTAAAAACGATTGAAATCATGGTTTATCGTGGATTTTTAATTTCGGAACTGAGTGATCCCAAAATAAAACCTAGAAAATAGCTCCCGATACTAGAGTCAATTCGAGTACTTAAACCTAAACCTAACCAATAGACTTGACGATTCCCTAAAATGCTATCAGTGACGTCTCGACGATCGGAAGGAAACAGAACACCGGATAAGGACACGTGGAAGCCTTAGGTTCAGTAATTATCATTATTCTGCCATTCACTTGGAAGTCAAATTATTTGGGATTGCTTAAAAACCAAAACTCCATGATATAATCTATTATTCCATCTCTTTCATATTACATGACTAGCTAGATTTTAAATTTTCAACGTGAAAATAGTTTAAGTATTGCAACATGTAAACATACTTTACATAAAGTAGTTCTAATGAACACAAACGAAAGAATTCAGTAATAAGGAAAATTTTAGAATAGGGAAAATAAAAACATGGCCATTTTTAATAAATATATGAACAAGACGGTATTCTGGCATGTGTAAATATTTTAGCACGTTAAATGTATATTACATATATCTATAGTTTAAAATATTGTGCAGGCCGGTCACGATGGTAAAATATATATGCATTTGTTGAAACTGATAGGCTTATAAGAAGTATGAGGGGAAACTGATAGGCCACCATGCATGACGACGTTATGAGTCTAAAAAATGAAAAAGATTAGTTGAAGAAGAATTATTAGTGTTAATCAGAGCCCATCATCCATTGCTATAAATTTAGTAAACTAATGTGTTGTAAATCCCCACAAAGAGTAAAACTAGACATAAATAAAGAGATAAACAAGAAAAAGAGAAATCGACGGGTAGCCTGAGGTTTACAGTTGTTGTTGTTGCTGCAGTCATTTTGCTCTCCCTTCTCCTCGCGTCTCCAGCAGGTAAGTCTTCGAAGTAAAACCAATACGTCCCCTATATACATCTTTAAGCTTTTTATGAAATAGCAAGAGATATAAATATTACACATCTAAAAAGATATGTATGTGGTGATATGTGTTCATGGGACATAAGTGGAGGGAGGCGAGTGCAAATCAACCATGGGGCCTTGTAGCAGTTCTGATAGTGAAACCCGTGGACCATGCTGGGATAGATGCGTTCTATATTTGGGTGACGTAGTGGTGTGGACCACATGCTTACACCACCTCCTCCTTACTGGCCTCCTGGTTCCTCCTCCCCCATCGTCCTGTTTATGTTACTATACCTGTGACTCTGATCCAACCATGGAAGCCATGTGATATATGGATCCATCTGTTTCTCCCTATCTCTCTTTGTAACTACCTTGGTGTGTGTGTGTGTGTGTGCTTTGTTTCTTTTAAACAAATAAAACTTTATGTAATCTTTGCTTATTTGCCTTTTCCTTTGGAAGTCAAAATGTATGCAGATCATTGCGTAATACATATCTTTTGGTATCTTGATCTGTTCTGATAACTATATCATCTATTTTGTGTCTTGATATAGTTTGATAAACTTTCCTTCCTAGACTTGTCCCTCTCATGATTCTTAAATCTTGGTTATAAAGAAGTATTGAAACATATGTTTTACATTAATTTCTGAAATATTGGCATGCCGATCGCGTTACGTATATTATATTATTGATGTTACAAAAGTTTGAAAACATGGCCATTTTATTATAGTTAGCCTGTCTAGATCACGAGATCGGCATAAATGAAGAAGTCATGTTCACTATTAGTTGAGGAGAAGTCAACTGAAGATAAGTGATAAGTCGGCTATAGACATTGGCGAAAATATATAATGCATAAGCAAAAAGAGATGAAGCATAAGGCGAGTACAAAAGCTGTAAAGACAGTCCAAGTTTTAACCCTAATAACAAGTCACAATAGTTTCAAAAAATTTCGTTTGATTGAATACCACAGTTTTTAGCCATGCCTACATTCCCTAATTAGTAATTACCTCACAAATAACAATAACACAATTGCTAGAAGGCCCCCATCCATTGCTATAAATACAGTAAACTAGTGTGTCTTGTAACTCTTTACAAATAATAAAAAGATCAAGCGATGGGTAGCTTGAGGTTTACCACAGTTGTTGTTGTTATTGCAGTCCTTTTTCTCTCATTTCTCCTCCAATAGGTAAGTCTGTTGCAGTAAAAACTAATACGTCCCTATTGAAACCGTCTATGAAATAGCGAAAAATATAAACATTATACATCTAAGAACGTATATATGTATTAATGTATGTGGTGATATGTTGCATGGGACTCATATAATTAAGTGGAGGGAAGCGAGTGCGTACAATGGTTGGGGTCTTGTACGAGTGATATCGCAAATACAGTATAGCGATTTGTATCTTGATCTATTCTGATTACTAAATCATTTGTTTTAATAAAAAACTTTCCTTCCTAGATTTTAATCTCTCAGGGGAGGATATGGCCAATTCGTAAAAAAAAGGGATGCATATATTGGTTATAGATACATATAAATATTGCCAGAACCATAAGGGATGCATATATTGGTTATAATAAGGTGGTGGGAAGGGTGAGAATGGATAGGACGAAAGAAATAGGAAAGATATATACATTAAAAAAAAAAAACAAATTATCTGGTCAGTGTTTGAGCTGTATACTGTATATGTTTTAAAATATTACCCTCTTTTTAAGAATATTAAAATAAATAAGAAGATTAGTTGAAAGAAGAGTAGTTCAATGTAAATGAAAGTTGATCTTACCCTCTTCCCTCCCCATCCATTGCTATAAACATATATTATATTGGAAATGGGATAACTAATGTTTTTTTATTTTTGTCAACAATTCGAATTACAAGCGAGCTGGATCACGTGGAGACTGGAGAGTCTTGATTAGTATAGTGAAGAGTAAATGATAAAATAAACTAATCCTTGGGTTCGAGATCTGTTTTTCGTTCTGCCTCCTCTAAATTCTTTCATTCTTTGATTTTCTTTGTGAGTTGTTTCTATTACTTTCAGCCAAGTTACATTTGATTCTAAAACGTTTATTTTGTTGCATATAATTTTTACATTACCAAAAAATAAAGAGTTAATTAGGTGTTTGATACTTTGATTGAGCGTCACTCCTCTAATCTCCAGTGCTATAAATTAAAACCCGTTATGCTAATAAGATCACAAAGAAAGAAAGAAAGAAAGAAGAGCAATGGAGAGCATAAGGTTGAGCAGAGTTGTTGTTGATGCAGTAGTAGCCGTTTGTCTCTCTATCCTCCTCTTATCGGCTAGAGGTAATGTAAAATCAAACTGTTTTCTCTAGATCTAAAACCTAGTACGTAAAGACATGTTTAATTTATAGATGAGTGTGTTTTGTATGGATTGGACAGAAGCGGAGGGGGAGTGTGATCTCGCTAACTTTTACTTCATAAGCGGTCCTTGTGTCACCATTGACGATTGCAAGAAGAGTTGCATGGAGATCAGTTATTCTGATATCGCCTGCCTTGGAGAAGTGGGGTATTTACCGTTTTGTTACTGCTGCTCTTATGATGGTAATGGTGCTGAAAACTAAAACAAGTGAATCCAAAAGATAGAACCGACGTTATTTTTGTGTATGTGTTTGTGTTGCATGTTTATCTATCTGACATCTATATTCCACTGCTTGCCTTCTACTTTATTGCACCCTTGCTAGCCTTCATCAGTTTGTTTTGCGTTGAGTTTGAAATATTTTTAGAGTTATGTTAATGCAGTTTTATTCTACTAATAGCATTAGCAATACATGATCACATGCCATAAGACCGTCTTGCAAATCTTGTTAATATATGTATATACTTAATTACAGCTGACATGTAATATCAATATCTGAAAATATGGTAGTGCATGTGAAAAGTGAAAAGAGAAAAAAGAAAAAGATTTCCTTGCATACGTAAATCATCAAAAATATTGTAAACATTGTCACATATGTTATATATGCATATATATTATTATTGCTTGGGTTGCTGTTGAAACTGATAGGCCACCATGCATGACGACGTTATGAGTCTAAAAAATAAAAAAGATTAGTTGAAGAAGAATAATCAGTGTTAATCTGAGCCTACCCATCCGTTGCTATAAATAGCGTAGTAAATTAGTGTGTCTTGTAATTCCTCACAAAGAATAAAACCAGACGGCATAAAGAAATCAAGAAGAAAGAGAGAAATCGATGGGTAGCTTGAAATTTACCACCGTCGTTGTTACAGTCCTTTTTCTCTCCCTTCTCCTCCAGTCTCCAGCAGGTAGTCTTCGCACTAAAACTCTATATATATATATACATCTTGAAACGTTTTTTATGAAATAGCAAAAGATATAAATATTATACATCTAAAAAAGACATGTATGTGGTGATATAAATGTGTTCATGGGACATAAGTAGAGGGACGTGAGTGCGTAAGAGGCTTGGGGCATTGGTGTGACGGTTATGATAGTGAAACCCGTGGACCATGCTGGGATAGATGCGTTCGAGATATGGGTGATAAAGCGGTGAGGATCTCATGCTTTATACCACCTCCTCCTTACTGGCCTCCTTCCTCGCCTCCCATGCCGGAATGTTTATGTTACTATACATGCGACTCTGATAAAGCGGAAGCCATGTGAAAGATAGATATCCATCTCTCCCTCCCTACCTCACTTTGTAGCTACCTTGGTTCCGTGTGTGTGTGCTTTGTTTCTTTTAAAAATAAAACTTTATGTGATCTTTGCTTATTTGCCTTTTCCTATGGAAGTCAAAATGTATGGAGATCATTACGTTACACATATATCTATATGGGTATCGATCTTGATCTATTCTGATAACTAGATCATCTATTTTTGTGTCTTGATCTAGTTTGATAAACTTTTTCCTTCCTAGATTATGCCAAGACTATTGGGCGACGCAAAAATCACATCGACTGTTATTATTATTCATTGCCTAAATAGATAGCCACGGTTTTTAAAAAAAAAAATGTTTAGAGAGAATTTTGTCAGTTTGTTTTTTGAAAAAAATTTCTAATATATGGCGTAAAGTGTTAAGATAAATTTAACAGCCTAAATGTTTTTTGTTTTTGTTTTTTTTGCCACCAATTAAGCGACCAAAGAAAATCAGATTTAGAATAAACAAAAAGGAACGAGTCCCTTTAATTCTTGTTCGACAGTTTTTGAATAACAAAGAAATTCGAGAGTTTCCTCTCATCTACCTGCTTTCTTGGATTACTCGAGTTGACCTAATTTACAACCCCACACACACAAAGGTTAATAACATCGTTTTTTATCTTTTGGAATCACGTGCGTTATTTTTGACCATCATATATATAGAAGAACAGTAGTAACAAAACGGTAAAAACCCCATTTAAACAAGAAAAAATCCGATTGATGACGGGTTTGAGCGCTTGCACCTTGTATAAAGGTTATTATAGAGATGATGATATAATAGACTCGTAGCAGATGAAGGAACCAATAAAATCCAGTGCTATGGATGCATGCATGCATGTGGGTTAACTAATCATGTATATATAGTCAAACAAAAAACGACTTTTTAATATAATGTTAATAACTTCAATAATATAATATATGCAACGCCAACCGCGAGCACATTACTAAATTTATTATAATGATTAGTTGTTTAAGCGTGTGCTTAAATTAAAGGAAGGCAACATGCATATCCACGATCAAACACATTAAGAATTAATATAATAATTGGAAGAAAGAAACAGAAGATTAGTTAGCGTCAATGTGAACATTCCCTCCACATCCTCTTCGTTGCTATAAATACACATAACCAGTTTCTTGTAATTCCACACAAAGTGAAAGAGATCAATAATCATATAAGAAACTAAGAAGAAGAAGAGAGAAGATAAAGAATGGGCAGCCTAAGGTTTACAAGAGTTGTTGTTGCAGTCCTTTGTCTCTCCTTTCTTCTCCAATCTTTCGCAGGTATCATCTAAGACCTATATGCTCTTAACTATATATTCAATATCTTTTTGTACAACACCGAAACATAAGACGCATGCGTGTGAGGAACAGATGCGCAGCCGCCGGGGGCAATATGCAGCGATAGTATCGGGCAATGTGCCAGCGAAGAGAAGTGCGCGGAAAGTTGCAAAGCAAAAGGGATTCGTGATATAGAGGAAATCGTAGGTAGCAAATGCGTACAAGAAGCTTTTCTGCTAAGCGTGACCAATGTTTGTTACTGTGACTATATCTGCGAGCTTTCAGGAGCCAATTTGGGTTTTTTCCCTCCCCCACTACCTCCTCTCCTGCCTCCCCCCCTACCTCCCCTCCTACCTCCCATCATACCTCCTCCTTGATCAACTTTTTATAACCTTTACTGAATCTGCTACCAAGCGTGATCATTGCTTTCACTTTTTCTGTGTTTTATGTATTTCTTTCATATTTTTTATTATTTCGCCCCGGCTACTTGATGTTTTCGATTTTTTTTTTAGATAAAACCTTGTCAGTTGTTTTGTATACGTTATATGTATATTGTTGCCTTCTCATGTGAAAGTTTCCCGAATGCGTAAAAGTATATTCCATATCCTAAAAGAGAAATCTCTAAAGAACACAAAAAGTTAGTCTGTGTGTTCCAAAAATGTATCCTTCCAGTTGGTTAATGAAAATATTCTGATGACAAAAAAAAAAAACACAAAAGTTAGTAATCATGTTTTAAAACCCAACCGGGATAATGAACTGGAATACCTTCCGGATCACCGGATTTCTGGATCAATTTAGTTTTTAATTTAATATTACGAACAATTCAACTCTTCTCTTTCTCTGGGCCATCACGAACGAAGGGGGTAAGAGAGAATGAAGGAATGAGGAAGCACAATGCCTTCGCAAAAGTATTTATAGGAGAACTGATAAATGGAAAATTATCACATTACCGTTTTAAAAAAAGAAAATATATGTAACTAAATTTACTCTTAAAAAAAGGAAATATCTGCTACTTAAAAAGGAAATATCTGGAATATTTTTCCTTAATTATATGGTGTTTTAATATTTCTTCGGTAATATTTGATCTAACAACAACAAAAAAAGTTAGGATTTTCCTGGGCCGTAGCCCACACGTGGTGATAACAAAAAATGAGACATTATGTAATGGGAAACTGTAGGCTTGTCTTTACTACAAGATAAAAATCTCACAAAGAGGGAAACCATTACCATTACAACAGATCAGTGCATAAATAAAAAAAACAGCAAAAACTAAAAAGAAGCAATAGCAAATCATTCTTCTCATATGTTTTATTGTCAACAGAGTTTATTCAAACTACTTAAGACTTGAAACTTTAGAAACATACCATAGGTTGTATGTATCTCATCTTCTACAACTCCCCTGTTTTTCGACATCATATACACATTATGGTATAAACATCAAGCAGAAGAAATTCAAAAGCCTATGCGGTTTCTCCAGCTGCTGCAGCGCCGTTTGTTTTCGCACGCTTCTCCTTGTAGTCTTTCACAGCTGCCTTGATGGCGTCCTCCGCCAACATACTGCAATGGAGCTTCACTGGTGGGAGAGAAAGATGCTTCGCAATCTGACTGCCAACAAAAAAAAAAGATCAAAGCAGAAAACATTAAACAAAGACTTGAGCTATTGAGAAACTCCATGACAAAAAAAATCACAATGCTTAAGCTCTTCTCAAATAAACAAGTCAATGAAGTTTTTTGCTTTGCCATAAACAGAAAACTTTGATGTAACATACCACCAGTAACCAATAGACTGGGTTCCTCAGAACAAATATATGTCAACAAGTCACAACAAATTATGTTCATGTCTACAAAACGTGAATAGGAACAAAATGCATTCTTTTCTTGGGAGATATAATCACATCAAAATGTAAATGGCAAACCACACGGTACTTACGTGTTCTTGATGGTCAAGACTTCCTCCATAGCTTTGCCTTTCACCCATTCAGTGGCTGGAAAAACATAAACCAATCAACATTAGAAAACTGATACATGTTCCCTCACTCAGAAAGCACAAAGCAGTAAACTTTAAAATCAAATCATACATGACAGAGAGAGGATATCGAAAAAGGGATAATATTTCACAACAATCCTTAACAGCGATACTAATTCACGATTGAATATTAAGAAACGTATCATTTCAATGAACGCAACTAATGTGTTAGCTCCAAATCAATCCGAAATTTGGCATTTACAGCACCAATCCCCAAATTCGAGAAGAACTAATCAAAATTCCTAATTGAATTCGTCGTAGCTCAAATCCTCTAATATCTCTAATTCATTCGTCAATAAAACAGAGCATGAGAACGAATACATGAAAATTTTCACCAGATATATCCCAATCGACGCTAAAAACAAAAAAATCAGAAGAACATACCGACAGATGAAGAAGCGATGGCGGAGCCACAACCAAAGGTCTTAAAGCGAGCATCAACGATTTCACCGGTCGTCTCATCGACCTTGATCTGAAGCTTCATGACATCGCCGCACGCGGGAGCTCCGACGAGACCCGTGCCGACGGTGGGGTCGTTCTTATCGAAAGACCCGACGTTGCGGGGATTATCGTAGTGGTCGATGACGTTCTCGTGGTATGATCGGAAGACACCAACGGACCACGGCGTTGATTGACGTGAGGTGAGCCCTAGAGCCTTCTTCGCAGCTTGCCTGAGCATCATCGTTGATTAGGGTATCGAGTACTTTTTCTTCCGCGGATATTTGGGATGAGATCGAAATTGAGGGTTTCCTTTAAGGGGATACGAGGGAGGCGGTTTGGTTCAGACATAAATAGAGACACGTGGACGGTTTAGATGGTTCTATGATATTTGTTGTTGCGTTTTTTTTTTTTTTTTTTTTAGCTAACTTGAAACGTTAACCTCAGAAGTCGGAAATATCTGATGAGATGACATTTTTGTTTCAATTGATTCTCGGTTTAAGGTCGAGGACATCTTCAACTGAGTTTGGTTATCTCGGATTCAAGTTTTTAAGAAGAAGAAGAAGACTCTCTAATTGGTAAGGAGGTTTCATAAAAAGCAAAAGCTTCTTCCTAAGATAGGAAGGTTTGGTATTACAACACCTCTGATTTGTATTTGTGAGAAGCTGAAAAACACGTCTCAGCAAAAGAAGCTATTACAACATCTTATTTCTTAATTTCCATATCATCCGAGTTAATAATAACGATTAAGAAGTAGACCTATAACAACAATAGTATTAAACACTTAGTTTGTATTTTAAGATAAGAGTCTGGCGAGAGTTCAAGGGTTTAAGAGAGGGCTTCCTTCTTTGATAAGGACAAAGACGCTTCCACCGTCACCTCTAGAGATCCTAATGTCTTTGTCCAGATAAGTCGTGAGCAGCCACGACTGTGCATTGTCCCCTGGCAAGGAGAACTTCAACGGCGGTTGGCTCGATATGGTTCTAGCCACCGACGAGGCCGTGTCTTGTACCGACGTAAGCAACCCTCTGATTGGGTTAAGATCAATCTTTTGACCAAGAACCTCTACATACTCCGGGATCTCAATCGAATCCGTTAGCTGAGGAGTCCCAATCACACCTTGCTCGAACTTAATCTGCAAGAAAAAACCAATCCAAAATGTTACTGAAACGTTTTCAAACGTGTTAATTATCAAGATTTTGGTTGATGGATGGTGAAATTTACCTGGACGCGTTTGGGACTTCGGATTTCGAATTTGGCGTTGGTGCTAATTGAGGTTGTGGCTAGAGGACCAGCGAAGCGAACAGAGTTCTGGACGGTGAAGTTGTCTGAATCAATGGTCTGTGAGATCTCGTCGACTTTTACTAACGGCACGATCCCTCGTGAGAGCAACGGGAACAAACCGACGAACGATGTGTACCTGCGAAAAAGACTCATCCAAATTAGGAGCAGCACGAGACTTTACTATAAAAGAAGTTCGTCGTTTCACAAATCAGTAAATATTACTCCCTAGTGTTTATACTACGAGCTCGTTTTACAGAGAAAGCTAACAAATCTTCCCCGGAAAATGAAAAACACAGTATAAAGTTGCATAATCGGAAAACTTACGCGAGGATCCATTTGCCGTTGAGAAGGAAGAGAGCTTCCGTCGGAGCTGGGGTAGGGTTCCTCGACTCGAGCTGTGTGATTAGGTCTCCGATTTCGGCTCTGGTCTCGCTCGAAGCGTTCAAACCCCGATCTGTTCCGTACAGAGAATCCGTCAGTGCCCTCTTCAGCACCTCCGTCTCCTCCACGGCTTCGATTGCTTCCTCCGCCACCAATAGAGCCGATCCTTTCTCTCCCGTCTCCGGACCCCACTCGTCTTCCACATCCGTGGCTCGGACTCTGAAATCCGCCCGGGAAACAGCGAATCCGCCGGTCGAGAACACCGGACGGCGAGTAATCGAGCTCATCGGCACCAGAGTCGGAGGCTTGGAGAGGGAATTCGAGTTTGCTGAGCTCGAAACTCGGGTTTTGCCTGGAAATGGGCTGAGCAATTGTACCGTCGCCATTATTTTATTTTCTTTCTCTTTCGACAAAAATTTTTGAAGCTAGTGAACAAGAAAAGACCCGTACTAATTTATAGCCATAGCCATTGTAATTGAAGTGAAAAAAGACGTAAAGGTTCTCTTATTTCAGTAATCTTAAACCAAACCACGTGGGGTAGTAACGACTTTTGCATACAGATCAATACAATCGATTAGGATTTTGCCACGTGAGGGTAAGATCAACGGATGAGAATCGACATGTAAGGCGACGGTGTGAGGCGATAATTGTTTTGGTTTCTTCTTGTTTATGGCAAAAAATCCAAAATTTTATTCAATTCTTTTAGTATTGGAATTTTTTTAATTGTTTCCATATATTCTATTTATATAACTTTATTTAAAAAACGAATTAACCATAGAGAAAATTTACGGTGTAATTTAGTGCTATAAATTATGAATGTCTTACATATAAGGTAACTCATCAGAATTTAATGGTGTACTCTACGGAGTATGTGTTTTTATTCAGTTTATAATTTGAAGCGTGTTAAGCAAAATATCTTTTGAACGTGTGTCTATTATTTTTAAAAAAAACTGAAAATGGAAATATGATGTCAATATTAATATAAAAAACAAAAAGTTAAAAAATGTATATTGATATAAAAATTGTGTAGGAAAGTAATTTTCTTTATCATTTCTGCTAAATAAGCATAAGCACCATGCAAATGTCATGATCAAATGTAAAGGGGCTAGAAACTTCCGCAGTGTACTATTTTCTGGCTGTTTATAATCATCGTCCATTGCCAACGACTTTGGATGTTCGAGATCAGCTACGATTCGATAAAAATATCTTGGAAGGTTTAGTAATCTCTGCGGCCAATCGCGTTTTTTGGCGTTTGTGACCATTATCACGATTGAGAGGTAGGAACATACAAAATATACGTGTAGTGGGCTGAAACATACTAAAATGGGCCTTGTGAACAAAAATCTCTCGTATTTTTTTTTTGCATTTACATCATCATTCTGCCATACCAAAAGAAACGTACAAAGTACAATACGTAGGAAGAAACTGTGTGTACGCCTCATCTCACTGTAGTCACGTTGATCGAGAACTTCAGCCGTCCGATTCGATTCAAAATATGTCAAGGATCTCGATAATCGGACGGTTGCAAAGAGGACACGAGCCTCGGTTCAGCCATAGCTCTCTGGAGCACACTCTGCAAAAAGTGTGTCCACATGGGATAAACGCCGAGCCTTTCTTTCTTCCCATACACACGCAGCACACCGAATCATTGCCCGTTAACGTCCCAATAGACGCCGTTGATATCTCCGTCTCTCTCCCGTCATCACCGACTCTCTCCGCCGTCTCTTCCAGCAGTCTCATCAGCGAGACTCTCGTCGGCGTCATGATTTCTGCCGCTTCCGTCGGATCTCCCCGGTTATATCTCTCTGCCTCTAACGCCGTCGCGAGATTCATACCCGAACCCGATCCAAAGTCCGATTCATGAACGAATCGGGTTTCAGTTTCACCTTGCTCAACGATTTCGTCCTCTCTTGAGCTGGGACTGTGAAGAGAAGCATTGTTTGTTAGACGGTGACGGAGACCCCAGGTGGGCCCACAGCATCCGATGCATTTGAATCTCAACCGTTCTTTCAGAGTCCGCTTCCTCCTGGTGCGATCGGCACCGCTCATCTGGCGTCGGAGCAAATCGAGAAACGTCGTCGTACGATGTGTCTCCGTCATCCTCTGACTCGTTCCGAGATCGAGTTCACTCATGATCGATTCAGTTATAGAAATTATTGAAAAATATTATCCGATGGCGAAACAGAATCAGCGGTAAAACAGACGGATTAGCTCCGCCATGAGTGAGCCCAGAGAGAGAGAGAGAGAGAGAGACTGTTTAGATCTTTGAGTGTCGCAGTGATAATGATGATTATAAAGGAATTTTCAGAGCGCTTTTTTTTTCGTTTCACATTTCTTTAAACGAAATTATTCTATATGGTTTTTTTCCAAACTAGTATTATTATTTTTAACACTTTTAATCAATTTAACTTATAACGATTCTATTCGGTTGGTGCAGTCCTTCTAAACATAAAAAAATAAAATTATCTATTATAATAAGGGAATCAAATATCATCGAATAAATTATCTGAAATTGATATTTTTCAACTTACCATAGCTTGCAAATTTCAATGGAATCTTGATGGCAAAAAAAAGAAACGTGAGTGTATATATTCCCAATTCTATTTGCTCGTTTATTTTCAAGTAGATTTTACAGATCATTTAGTTATACGGTATCAATTTTTCAATAGACCGAGTTACCGACTATTGTTTTTACAAAGAACAGAGTTGTTAAGAAGGCTTATCAATGTATGATGACCAGACAAAGCCGTACGTAATGATGCAACTATAATGTTTAGTTCTTTTGAATCTCTGATGGAAACAAAAGTTTTATTAACCCAGAAGAATTTTATTCAGCGAAAAAGTTAATGCTGTTTCTGTAACTGTACGACTTATTTTTTTAATTAAAAACAAAAAAGTCTTCAGGGTCTCTCTAATAGAAACAAAATAGAAGAATAATTAAAATTTATATTACCAACAAGAAAGTCCTTCATCGAATGGCAAACCCTATAAAAGATTAAATAAATCATCCATCGAATAAAGATAGATTTATATTCCAAACTAACATGACACTAAAATCTGAAATAAAAGCGATAAATGTAGTAGTAACAGCAGATTTACCAGGCTGATGAAATCTCATACCGTCCCGGGGTAAATTATTTGGCGGGAAAATTTGTCTTCGTAATAAACCGGCGGAAAAATAATTTGAAAACCGAAAGAAAAAAGAAAAAGAGAAACAAAAGAGGAAATTAAAGAGGGCGCATGTATCAAGGCTTTTCCCACGTGAGATGTCCCCAAATACGACGTCGTCTTCGCGCCACACTTTCCCCAACAAAACCAATAAAGGGAAGAGAGAGATTCTAACGCTAATACCAAAGAGCTTTTTGAGGAAATGATACATTCAATGATTCTGTAATCTGTACTACTTTGCATTTACGATATATCTTCTGATAATAATCACATTTTACAAAATTACAAAGAAATGACAGACATAAAAAACAATACTACTCGTTTATTTCAACGTTAAACTACAAATATTGTTCAATCAAAGAAACGACTGTTTTAAGCCTGTAATTTGCAACTTTTTTAGAACAATTCTATATTATTAAACTTGTGCATACAAAAATGTTCTCAAACGACTAAAAAGATGACATTAAGTAGTTAAATAAAGTAATTTAACATCATAAGGGAACCAGATTCTCTCCCACATACAACGATAGGAGTTTCAAAACTTTCCTTTATTCCTAAGTATATAAAATATATCTAATTCTTCGACATATATATATGAGTTGATACAATTAATTCTTTTTTTTTTGTTCCTTTTTAATTATTTTAACTTAATTCGTAATGGACTTCTTGATGCAGTCTACAATACCTTCACAATGAGCCTCAGGAACAACACAGCCTGATTCTTCATTACAATCGTCGTCTTCTACAATGGAGTGTGGAGAACGAAGACTTCCCAGAGTCTGACAAGCCCTCATCGTCTTGCAATGTTCTGCTTCATCGTCTCTTATGTTCACAAACACATCGTATAAATTATCTGCCCCAAAGTAATCACAATACAACAAACAAAGTTTAGAGATCCTGAAATCAAACACCAAAGTAAGTCGCAAAACTGATATTAATGTTGATTCATATAGATCGAAGACCAAAGCTTATAATCCTTTACAGAATGCAGACTCATAACCATGGATAAATCATTAAAACCTTTTTTGCAATTTGTGGTTGGACGTAAGAAGCTAAATTGTTACCTATTTTCGGCCTTCGAGTATTGGGAGCTCTGGATGTTTGGAACTCATCTGGAGACAAGACAGAGTTAGCTTGAGAGACTCTGGAACTGGAGAATATTGACGAAACCCGAAAGGACAAAACTTACCAAACAAGTACAAGTCGCCTCCGGTGTAGTATTTTACTGCGATCTCGGGTGCAGGTGAGTTCTTCAACTCCTCTGATCAGGAGGGAAACAATTCAGAATGTAAAAAACCATTGAAGAATAATCTACTAACGTACTAATGCCAAATGGGACAGAAAATGTTGGAGAAAGATGAATCTAATCAGCTTTGAAAATGTTAAACCAACCTCCATTGGTCTTGAGAAATTTATCGTAAGTCTCATATGCATGACTCTCCACACACTCCGAAAAGTGATCTGCATCGGTAACAAACAGTCGGTGAAGTCACGAAGGCCAGAAGCTGCCATTTCTCTGTAGCATCAATCACGGCATGATTATAGTCTTTAAAGCGGAAAAGAGAACTTACATGCCATTCTAGGGCTTATGATATACAAGAACACGGTCATGAAGTAATAAAAGGTTGCTATGTGCTGGGCCAGAAAACGATCAAACCACCATGAATTTCCACCCAATTCCTGTGATCAGAGACATGCGTTTTTTTTTGCTTTTTAGCAACTACGTGAGCAAAGAGTATGAAACTCGTAGAGAAGGGAGATTATTGGTTCTTACTTCCATTATGAGCAAGTGGTGCATCTCATTCCAGCTCTCAGCAAAATGTACTTTTAAATAATCTGCTCTCCTCCACCAACCAAATGTCTCATACATGTGTAGGACTGACATAAAGGCTGCAAGGAACACACAGAAACTAATATTATGTTCTACCAAATGAACAATTCTCTTTTGGCATTCATATCAATATATTGATTAGATCGCCTTTGAGGTTGGAAATGCATTATGCTTCTAATGAGATAAGGAAGAGGTCTTATATATATAATATATGCCTCCGAAGACTATTCTGTCACTCTCAAGTGACTTTCACAATCTTACTGTCTTATGAAGATTGTTATGAAGAAGAATACAAACCTAATGACTACACCGTAAACACTAGTAGGCTATACGTTTCAAATTTATGAGGAATTGAAACTACAAACGGATGCACTTACCAAAATACGGCACTCGAGCAATTGTTTCAAGAACAAAGAACCTTGGATAGGTTCGGTCACGGTACAATGTGTCAAGTATCTTAATCACCGAGTCCTGATGGAAAACAACACAAGACAACGATTACTAAGACGCACAGGATAATTAATTTGAACACACAACTGCTCGAAATTTCTAGAAAAAAGGGTCATAAAACCTTACTGTGAGGAAGACATTCACTCCTTGCTCGAGCTTGATGATCCAAGCCTCCATAGCACTAGTTGAAGAGCTCGTATTCGGCTCCTCGAGTGGTTCTTCACCAGGAAAAGTCTCGGCTTTAAACGATTCCTCCACCACCACTTTCTCTTCATCGTCTTGCAAAATCGTCGCTTGGACTCGATGAGTGTTCCTGAAATGTTCCAGTGACAGCACAAAGTCAGAAACTAGAAAATAAACAAACCGAATATCACCCATCATAAACAAAATTAAGCCCTTCTCAACATCACGCGCGATGACCGAAGCAAATTGAATATTTAGCTGTTTATTCATCATCCAGAGCTCTCTAAACATGGGCATATATACCTGAAGAGCAGGCGAGGAGAAGAGAGAGGACGATGATGAAGCAATCGGTGAGAAGTATTGTACGAAACAGAGGATCTAGAGCGTCGAAGAGCAACCAAAGGCCGTGAGGAGATGCCTGAAATCGCCACCGTCGCTGCCATCTCCGTCAGAGGACCCCAGATTCTAACACAGAAGAGAAAAGTAAAAGGTTGGAGATTTTTCGTAGAAATGGAGAATTTTTGGGAATTTTGTGGGGTTTAGACGAAAAAAAGGGATTCCCAAGGCGGGCGGATATTCTGGGTTCTCCACTCCTTCTCATGCCCATCGACAACGACGCGTCCAACAAATCACGGCCGGAGAAAATTTCCTACCAAATAGGATCCGATTATGCCAAATGATCCGACCCGGTTTATATTCTGGGCTAAGGCCCAAAGGCCCCAGAAAGTGGGACACGTCAAAAGTATAAACTGATTTTATAGCCCGTGAAAGTAACTAACATTTCGAACTACCCTATGACTAGAAACTGAAATTTATTAATCCCGTGAATTCAATAACTTTGCTAATTTAACAATAGAAACAAAATTACGAACGTGAAAAAAAGCTTGTAATAGTTTTTTTGAACGTAGGAGCTTGAAATAGCTACTAAATTCGATTTATATTCGTAGGAATACTGGAACAGGAGTAAAATAATTAAATGGTCTAACGGCGTTTTATGGCTACGATTTGACTATTTCTTTTAGTTAGACCATTGAAAAGAACTAAATCTATTTCAGCATAAAAGAAATAAAAAAATATTAATTAAAATTTTGAAAGTTGGAAATCATCTGTTTTTTCTGTTAATTTGATATTTTTGTAACCAATTCAGCTGGAAACTACTCACCATCTAAAGTCAATAGAGTCAAATTAATAAAGTAAACATCCACTATACCGTTTTAAATTATTTTTTTAGATATTACACCGAAATGCTAAAAAAAAACATCATTTCCATCTAGTATCAGCCAAATTAATGAAACCACATAATATCTTAAAATTAATAAAATAACAAAATATATAATCCGTATTAACAACACATACGTGTGTGTTTAAAACGAAACATATATAAATCTGCAAACTCTATTATTTAAACAGATTACAGGTGGCTTTCAAAACCAGAAATCGACGAGACTTTATTTTTTCGCCTTTTTTCCCTCTTTCTTTCAATCACCCCAAATTCAGCAAAAATCTCTCTGAAAACTTCCAAATCCCGAAATTACCCCTTCATGGAGAACCCATCGGAGCAAGGATCTCGGGAACATCTAATCCCCAGGGAGACACGACCGAGCGCGATCAACAAACCGCCGGAGTTTCCGGCGTCGCGGTTCACCTTCATGAGCATCGTGCTCTGGTTCGACCAGTCGAATCGCTGGACGGCTCTGCTTTCGTGGTCCGTCTTCTTCCTCCTCGTCGTCGGCGTCCCGATGATGTCCCACTTCTTGCTCGTCTGCTCCGACTGCGATTTCCATCACCGACGTCCGTACGACGCCGTGGTACAGCTTTCGCTGTCGATTTTCGCCGGAATCTCGTTCGTTAGCCTCTCGCTCTGGTCGAGAAAGTTTGGGATGCGACGGTTTCTGTTCCTCGATAAGCTCTGGGAGGCTAGCGACAAGGTCAGGATCGGGTACGAAGCAGAAAGTCAGGTACGAGTCTCCGCGAATTTTATAATAATTGATTAATCTAATAAACCGATTTAAAACGGTTCTTAAATTCGAAATTAGAGAGTTCGTAAAAACCTAAAAATTCCAGAAACCCAGAACCTTTACCAAGTATACCAACTACAATTGTACGATGTGACGGAAGCAAGAAACCGACATATATTGGTTATTTAATTTTCAGTCCTCTTTATTCTTTTTAATTATTCCAGAATTTAGTAAACGCAGCCAGTAATCAATTTGCTAATAATTTATTTTCAAAAATACATTTTACTATTTCAAAAGTTTTGAACTACCACTAGTTTCCGTTTCCGAATAATTTTCTTGTTCTTTGAAAATTCCGCTGATTTAATTATAGATTTTTTAAAAAGAATTTTGAATGTTGATGCTCTTCCAAAAAGCTTGAAATACTCAATAAATATCTGAATAAAAGTCACTAAATAGTTAACAATCTTTTTATTCTGTGACGAAAAAAAGAAAAAGCTAACAATTTTTATTTCTGGCCGACAATTTTCGTTTTTCTTGTTGTTTTTGACTTGTTTTGTACTTCTGTTAAAGGGTGACGCTACAATGGCAACATTTTCCTTTTTTTCCTATTTTTATTAATTTAAAATTAATCTTGGCTAAAATTTAAAACAAATCCGACCTGCCGGAATCGAACCAGCGACCTAAAGATTTGCTGTCACAGACTACAGTCTTCCGCTCTACCAACTGAGCTAAGGTCGGATGATGCTAACTACGGTTTTTAATTATTTATTAATTAATATTTTCCTCTGTTTCTTCTTAATAATGCAGAGATCACTGAAACGGCTAATGATCTTCGTCCTACCATCACTAACACTAGAAGCCATGTACAGAATCTGGTGGTACATCTCTGGCTCAAACCAGATCCCTTACATCATCAATCCCGTTCTAAGCAACGTCATCGCCTGCACTCTCCAGCTCTCTTCTTGGCTTTACCGTAACGCCATCTTCATCACCGTCTGCATCCTCTACCAAATCACATGCCATCTTCAGACTCTCCGTCTCGATGATTTCGCGCGCTGCTTCGCCTCTGAGATCACCGACGTTCGCTCGGCTCTCGCCGAGCATCAAAAGATCCGTCGTAATTTGAGGATTGTGAGCCACCGTTTCAGGAGATTCCTTCTTTTGTCGTTGATTCTCGTTACTGCTACTCAGTTCATGGCTTTGCTTACGACCACGAGAGCTAGTATCGCAGTTAATATCTATGAAGTTGGCGAACTCGCGGTAAGAGTTCTATTAAGTATACCCTTTCAGAACATTACAAGATGCTTTATACCGTATACTAATCAATGTCTTTTGTGATGTTTTGTGTTTACAGTTATGTTCGTTGAGTTTGGTTACAGGAGTGTTCATATGTTTGAGAAGTGCGACAAAGATAACACACAAAGCACAATCTGTGACCAGCCTTGCAGCTAAATGGAACGTTTGCGCCACTGTGGACTCGTTCGATAATCATGATTGCGAAACTCCAACAGCTTCAATGATTGAGTCCCAAATTTCCCCATGTGGCAATTTGATGGATACATCTGATGATGAGGAAGGAGAAGGAGACGATGATCTTGACAATACCAAGATTCATCCCATCTACGCCAATACGATTTCTTATCAAAAGCGTCAAGCTCTAGGTAAGAACAGAATTTGATATAAACCATTCAACAAATAACAAAATTTTAGACCACAAAAGTTTGATATCATCGGGTTCTTGATTGTTGTGTTTTGCAGTGACGTATCTAGAGAACAATAAAGCTGGGATCACTGTGTATGGATTCCTTGTGGATAGATCATGGTTGCATACGATTTTCGGCATTGAACTTGCTCTTCTCTTATGGTTGCTCAATAAAACAATCGGTATATTGGCTTGAAAACCGGTTTCTCTTTGCTTCAAACAGTATCTTGTTTTGCCAATTTTTAACTTGTGTTTCTTGTGTTTGGTTTTTGGACAGTGAACATACCATGAATAAAGTGTTTGATAAATACATTATAAATATAGGATTGAATCGTTTTGGCAATGATGTTTCTCTCGAAGATTTGATGAAGAACGGTAGACATTTTTCACGGTGGCGATGATATGTCTCTCTTTGTTTGACTACAAATATGGAGACATGACAACTCTTTTTGGTTCATCTATATATATATATATACATATATACATTTTGATACAAATACTATGTAATGTGATTATAAATATATATGTATCTACCAGTAAAAATGTCTGGTATGTTAAGCGTTTCAGTTCAAGATATGCATAGAACCAAAAGTAATTAGTTAACTCTATATGTATGCCTTTGTAGTGTAGAATGATGAATAAAAAAAATCGCAATATATGTTTTGATGTCTATTTGGAATACTTTAATTTTGTACCCAAAACAAAATAAAGATGATATTTGTGATAAACAGGAATGGATAAAAAGTTATAATCACCAACGTCGGTAAAAACTTTATGACGGCATAATCCATTAATCCTTATGTCTTTGTTTTTGATTTATTATGGGCCATGTTGGGCTTTAAGATTTGTACCCGGGATGTTGGGTTCCGTCGCCGCTTGTATAAATGGACTCGTATCAATTGCCGACCAAAAGAAAAACAAAGTGTCAAAAACCACAAAGTACGCTCCGTCCTCTCCGTCCAAGTCTCGCCCTCCTCTGGTTATTGTTCTACTCCAATTCTTTGTTTCTTCGGATCCCAAATCCATCGGAATAGATTCGTTCGGTGTTTGCATCGCGATATTAATTATCGACTATTATAAATTGAATTATCAGTTATGTGGCGTTCAAAAGTTTTGACAGTATGGATTGAATTATCAATCATGGGTCTGGGCGAGAATTCGTTTTTGTTGAGAATGCTTTAATTTCAGATTCCGCAAGTGCTTTTGATTGATTTTTTGCTGGTGGGTTTGCCCAAATTGATGAAATTTATATCTCTTCAGATTTTTGCAGAAGATATCGTCGTTGAAAGCTCTGTTCATACCCGAATAGGTTTATTAGGACTCGTGGGGGGTTTTTCGGTGAGGATGGATGTGATCAACTGTTTCGCAGATGAGATTATTTGCCACATTCTATCTTTCCTTCCGATAAAAGAGGCTGCTTTAACATCTGTCCTCTCAAAGCGATGGCGTAATCTGTTTGCCTTCACGCCGAATCTTCATCTATGACCGACCGGGAAAATACCGAATAAAACTACCAACCGTTGGAGTGAGAACAACAGGCACCGTAATGGTGGAGATGGTGGACAAGAATGGGCTCCATTTCTCAGACGAATTCTCTCTGACTTTCCATATGTATTATTACAAGCTCCTGAAATGGCTGCTTGTCCTCCCGATGCTCGGCATGTTCGGCCTGCTCGTGATACTACGGCCTCAAGAAGCCGTACCTCTCCCGTCCTTTTCCCGCAACACAGACTTGTGATGTTAGGTACTGTCCGTACACCGGGAGCTGTTAAGTATCGCCTTAAATACCTCGTCTAAAGTATCCAGGGACAAGTTCGTATTAGAATTTTGGGGTTTCTGTATCTTCGTGGATAATGTGTTGGACGTGTCAGGCAACTTCCCCATGAGGAAGATCTCGATAAAGTGTCGAAACAGCATCTTCCTCTACACGGGTCCTGTCACCCGCTGGATGGCCGACGCGGTGAGACACGGTGTGGTGAATCTTGATATAGACGTGGTCGCTGAAGATGTGGTTCTGGTGCCTCTCGAGATCTTCACTTGCAAGACGATGGTCGAGCTGAAGCTAGCGAAAGGATTTGAAGCTATGATCCCTGAGGATGTTTCTCTCCCATCACTCAAGAGTCTCTGTCTTGACTCGGTTTATTTCTATAACAGTAGCTGTTGTGTTTTGGAGAAGCTTCTTTCTGCTTGCCCTGTGCTTGAGGAACTAACCATTCGTAGTGGGAGGTGGCAGGATCATCGGAAATGTCGTCGCAACGTGTCCTCTTCCACACTTAAGAAACTTACTATCGAGTGTCTTGAGCCTTATGATTTTTGGGACATGAGTCTCGACACTCCAAGTCTTGCCTACTTGGAGTACTCTGATGAATTAGTTCCAAGAGAGTATCCGGTTGTGAATCTCGACTCCCTTGTGGAAGCAAAGCTTGATCTTCATTTAAGCGATGGTGCTAGCAATCCAACAAATCTGATTAAGGGGTTAAGAAATATTGAGGCCTTGGAGTTATTATCTGTTGATACTTGGCAGGTAAAAACATAAAAGAATCATCTCTTCTCTTTTATTTTTCTTTCTCTATAATAAGATATATATTGTTGCGTGCAAGTCAAGTTAAAGGTTTTTTTTTTACCTTTTGTTTCAGATGTTCTGCGTTTTCCCTGAAGCAATCCCAATTTTCAGAAACCTGTTTCGTTTGACTATTACAATTAATTTCCCTGCCCACGATTGGAAGTTTCTGCCAATACTTGGAGAAAAAACTCCAAATCTACATACCCTCGTCATAAAGGTAATAACCAAATTAAACCCCCGGAAGTTTATGTTGGACAAACTCAAGTCTCTAACCTTTCTTCCTTATTGTGTTTCAGGGTACGTTGTTCGCTTGTAAATGTGAACGAGAGTACGGATTGTCATGTCCCGTGAGAGTATTGGAGATAACCGATTATGGAGGGAAAACTGGAGAGCTAGAGCATATGAAGCATTTCCTAGATGATCTGTCATGTCTTGAGCTTGTCAAAGTTCGTGCTTATGCAACAAACGACAAGGAAAAGTCTCGGATCACCAATGATCTGCTAATGGTCCCTAGATCGTCTAACTGCAATATGCAGATCAAGTTTTGCGAGAAAACTAAGTTTATGCGCGGAAAACAAACTTTGAATAATTAAGTTTCTGTTGGGTCATAAATCGGATTATGTGCATATGGTTACAGTTGCTCTGTGGTTTATCTTTCGTTTGAAGTTCGAACGTGAATCGGAAAACAAATCTCTCAGTCTGCAACTTTTTAACTTTCTAGCTATACTTACTTACCTGGTGATGGTGACAGATGGTTGACAATATGCGATCATTGCACTTGCACATCATGATGATCTTTGTGATATTTTTCGTCTATGTTTCACCATTGATTTTTGTTTTTGGGTATATGAATGGACATTATGTCGCGTGTTTGCGGAACTTACCAATGTTGGACAGGAACAAGATGCTCTCCATGGTCTCCACGAGCTTCAGAGCTTGGCAAGAAACCACATGGAAATGTTACTTTCTCTGTTGATTTGAGGAGGGGCAAGGTTTGCCAAAGTTGGACTGATCCGATGCAGAACAGCTCTTGAGATATTGCAAACCAAGTTGGAAGCATTATATGCGGTTAGTTCTCCTTGGACATCGCGATTGTCAGCATTTTTATTGGTCAAGACTGGTCATGCGAAAGTTTATTGGTTAAATTCACTGTGCATTGATGTCCTGTAGATGAACAGTAGATGAAGCCTTCCAGTTCTGTAAGCAGTGACCAACAGAACTTCGTAGGCTTTGCGAAACAATGAGAAATCATTGGGCAAACCATAACAAATACAGAGACCAGAAGAACCGGTCCTTTGTTTCTGGCTTGCTATTTCACCAATTCCATCCATTCCAGGGCATTATTTCTGTCGGAGCCGGTAAGCCTCTAGCAGCTCTTCTTCTTTCTTTATAGCAGCTATGCTTCATAGCTGAATTGTTAACTGATTGGTTTATCCTATCCTCGGTTAGGTTTCAAGAGGTGTATGGAGCTGTGCAACTCAGGAGGTCAAAAGCTTTTGTTGGATAGAATTTCCAAATTCGGTGCGTCTTTACCATTGTACTTCTCCCAGTATGTTCTCTTTGGAGAAGTTTGCTACTCTGAGGCTGCTTCAACAGGTAAAAAAAGTACACTCATGTTGTTGACGTGATGTATATATTTCTGCATGTAATTACAAGTCTGTGTTGCAATTTTTTTTTTTTTTGGTGTCCTGAGATATATCAGTTCGACTTCTCAGCTGTTGAGAAGATATCAGTTGACGCCGTGGAAAACAATTTTGTTGCGAAGGAAGGTGATCCTGTTATCATTTTTGGAAATCTGCTTTTGCGTCTCTGGTGCTTTTTGCTTTGGCACTGCTTATATTAGTCAGTCATCCCATTCTGCAATCTAGTAGCTTTGCTATAATTTTTTTGATAGATTTGGTTGTTGTATGAGGGTATTGAGTCTGATGGGCTGAGAGATCGTCTGTCTGTTTTAACTGAGACTCTGAACAAAGTAAAAGCGATGTTCAGCAATTAGAGATGGGCTTCTTTTTTTTCCAACATGAGTCGAAGCATCATCATTCATACTTCATTATCATTGGGTCACTTGAGCAAAACAGGTCCTTATAGTCTCTTGTGTTTTGTTAAGCTCAGCAGGGAAGGAGTGAGATGATGGAGAGAAACAGGCTGGCCAGAATGTAGGATAATAAGTCGTGTTTTCATATGTTTTAAAACACTTTTCTGTTCTTATTGTCAAGCAACTTATCTCGAATCTACAACATTTTGAAAGTGCCACTGAAATGATTGTTTAAAATGTTAACCTTGCATGTCTGTTTGGATTTACTCTTTATGCAGATGCTACGAGAGTGTAGAAAGGAGGAGCTGAAGGGAAATTGCTGAAAGGTCAAGGCAGAGAGAACAAGGGGCTTGAGGCAAGAAGCCCTGTTGAACCAAACCTATGCACTACCTTGGCAGTCACCTGCTAAATATGTGACTAGTCGTTCTCAGTATAAAGTTGTTGACTTGGATTAGGCTTCTGATTCTCTCTGTCTCAGGTTGTTTCTGGAGGAGTTAATGAGAGAAGGTTTCTGTTTGTGTTGTACATGATGATTCACACCAAGCACAGGCCCTTGTGGAGAGTAGTACCCATATTGGTAAGGGAGCAATGTTTAGAGACAAGATTTTGTTCATAGATTAGAATGAGATGTACAAGATTTTGTTCATTGGGCTTATGTATCCGTGCATCTTGCTATCTTTTATACATAGATATCGATGGTTATGATGAGGATTTACAATGTGGTAAAACAGTATCAATTATCGAGGGTGTTGCTATATACTACATTGTTTTTTAAAATTAAATTGTGTTTAAATTTGGATTCGCTTTCTTTCCAAGAGCTGGTTATAAATCTGTCATATTCTTCAAACGTCGTACATGAAATTCTATGAACAGAGAATATGACAAAAAAAATCTGACCAAAAAAAAAAAAAGAGAATATGACAAAAAAATATATTAATTTAATTCAAAATCCTTGTTTATATAATTTCAAACTTAATCCATAAGAAGACCTCAAATGAAATTCGGTTTGGAGCCAGGTCAGCGGGGTCGTTAATTAGTTGATTAACTCACTAATGATGCTTGCGTATAAATATGTAGCTATATATATATGATGCAGTCAAGAGTCAGTCTCTCACAATTTACAATCATCTTCCTCCTCTCTCTACTTTTTTTTTCCCTCTCACTCGTCGTAACAGAAAGCTTTTATGATTTAAATTGGAGATTTGAAACTAGATGATATGGTGAGACTGAGTGATTTGAATTTCTTCTGCGTTCAATTGTTAACTGTTTTATAGGCTATCTATGACGAGAGCTCCGAAACCAGCCGCTCATCAACCTACCTGAGGCCATTATGTCAATCCGTAGCAACTCTATTGAAAAGTCTGCTGCGAGGTTCCTCAAGAGCAGCAGTGAAGAGCCAAAAGCAAAAACGAACAGCAGCAGCGACGAAGACGACCAAGATGGGACAAAGATCAAGGAGAAAGCCTTTATTGATGATGATGATGAAGATGAAGATGATTAAGCAATTGATGATGATGAAGATGAAGATGATTAAGCATCTACAGGTATTACTTTAGTTCTAGGATCACTGTGTATGGATTGCTCCTCTTCTATGGTTTCTCTTTGTCTTTTTGGCTTGTTTCTTGTGTTTGGTGTTTGGGCAGTGAAAGTGCTCGCTAAATACAATATAAATATAGGATTGAATCGTTTATGTTTTGAGTATCAATTCAAGATATGCATCGAACCCAAAGTTACTAACTCAATATGTATGCTTTGTCGCAATATATGTCAGACCTGATACGATAACGGCACAACAAGCTAATTTATATTACCATATTCGGTTATCTTCAATCTTCATATCCTCTTGAGGCAGCTATATGCTGAAACAGTAACATATGACATACATTAATGACTATATGCTGAAACAGTAACATAAGACATACATTAGTTACTATGGGGATGACGAGTATGGGTTTTAAAATGGCTTTTGGTGAATAGCAATACGTTACCAATGGAGTTTTTCCTTTCGAAATGCAATGTCAGGGTTTAACTTAGCCTTTAGAAGCTCATCAAGAAGACTTGCATTGCCTGTGGTTACAACAGTGATAAGATTCGAGGCAATGTTGTGTGGAACGTCATCGTTTCTACCGTTTTGTTGTGCCCTTAGGTCACCAATGTCTACATCACTCAGCTTTTTGTGATGCTGCAAGAAGTTCTTAAGCATTGTGGCATTGTCTTGTTGTTTAATCTGCATTGTCTCAATAAGGAAAGATTTTTTGATCCGGAGAAGCTGTGAGAGAGACTTGGTTTGAAAAGTGTAGCTCTGAGGTCTGCAACAAAGAGCTCCTACTTCTCCAAATATGTCTCCACATCTTAGCGTGCCTAACACGCTCTCTCTCTCTCCATCTCCGAGTCGATGATCTCAACTTCTCCTGATACAATTATGTACACATCATCGGGGGACTCGTTCTGCATTATGACATCCTCTCTTGGTGGTATATACTCGGTTATCTTCAATACTCCCACGGGACATGACAATTCGTACTCTCGTTCACATTTATCAACGAACAATGTACCGTGAAACACAAGGAATTAGCAAAGATCTGCTAATGGTTCGTCCTAGATCGTCCAAGTGCAATACCCAGATCAAGTTTTGTGAGAATTAGCAAATACCAAGATTAAGTTAATGCATGTAAAAAAAACAATCTTTGTCCCTTCCTAGTTGAATGTTTACGTATGTTGGAACACAACTCGATGATCTGTGTTCCACATGTAACCCAATTGTATCCTCTTCCTCTTCATGTTTGGCTCTTTTTTACGAAACATAATTAGGATTAACACTATTATAGGTGAGAAAATGAGCAAGAAAAAGTTTGTATAATATTATTAATTTTTCAGTTTCTGTTGATGCAGTGAATAGTAGATGGAACATTATAATTATTTAAACTGAGAATAATAGCATTTACAATTTGGAGCTTTATGTACACAAACATAAACCCCATAGAAAGGGGCAAAAAGAACATAAATTTAGAAACAAAGAAAAAAATAAAAGAAGCTAATAGGATCATCGCAAAAGACAAAGCCCAACTGGTTTCCTTTGCAAACCAATTTGGATCTCCCTCTCTCATTCCTCTCTTCTCTCTTCAGTCTCGTGAGCCTAACTCTTTAAGCATTTTATATAATTGAAATTATCGGGCAAAAGAAGCAATTACATACACATTATTGCTACTGGATTCAGACAGGAATGACATCAGCGTTTTGATTATCGTCGCAGGTGATGATTAGTCCATCAGCATAGGTCGGGAAAAGGCACCGCCACCACCGGCAGCCGCTGGAGACTGCTTCTGCCGGTGGAACTATCATCAGAACGTTGTCGTGCCTTCTCACCATCCCCATCACGCTCACCGTGCTTCCTTCTTTTATGTATCTGATCATCACAAACAATCAAATATGAAACCAACCAATGAGCTTTCTTGTGTGCATGCAGCCAAAAAGATCATTTGTACTAAAAACTGTGACTTTTTGGGTCTCACTAGCTTTAGTCACTAATTCAACCTCAACTTCAGACTTATCAACAAGCAGTGATGTAACATGTTCAAAGCCGTATACGTTGACAAAAAAGGACATGTTTCCATCACATCTTTTTCCATTCTTGTGACTTTTAATGTGGAATCAAATCCATAGGTACCAGTCAAAGTAAACGCCTACATCAACAGGTTTCAGTTTTTTTGGCTAAGCAAAGATGTAAAGATGTGGGTGGAACAGAGCATACCCTTCTTTGAGACGCATGACACGGTTATCAGATGAGAGGTTGCGGTCCGATAGCCACTTGAGGAAGCTAGGAGATAGATCTTTGTTCTGAGTCGTTACATTAGCCACTGTCGCCGGTTTCACGAAAGGAGAAACTTTTGATCCATAACCAGCTTTCACCAGCGCTCGCAATCCAGATTGAAAATCTGAGATGTAGAAATCCGAAACGTATTTCTGCAAAAGAAACAACAAGAAATCATCAAACTTAACCATATAGTCACTGATACAAAGATTCTATAGTTGTTCACTAGATGGAAAAAAAGAAACTAACCTCTGCATGTCTAGATCCCCATGAGAAGCATCGATGTTTAGGGTTTGCGGATCTTCCACAAAGACCTTTGTACTCGTACAGTTCCGTGGATACATAAACGCATCTTGGTGTTCTTTGGTATGAAGACTCCAGAGGAATGCTTCCACATGTTACCACCTGCAAAACAAAACATAAGAGTTTTTTTAAGCATTTCAAGCAAACCAGCAATACACACCATTTGATCATACTTCAAGATTCATTTCATTTCACCACATCTACAGCAACATTGTTGATTCAGAAGAAGAAAAAAAACGAAGAGCCTTACTACAAAAGCAGTTTGTTTTATCAGAACAATCAACAATCAAGTGACTTACTAAATCTGGAATTTAACAGTTAACACTGAGAGATCTTTTATGACATTTTAAAATTAGGTGAAAAGCTTACCCCTGTAACCTTAACGAACTGTCCATCAATGGCGCCTCTAAGCTCAGCATCCGGATACTTTTTGATGAAACTCAGCAACCCTTTTCTTCCCCACACACAATTCCACACCAAAACCACTACGGCGGGAAGAACCGCCGCTAAAACCGCCGCAATCACCACCGGTTTCTTCACCGCCACGGTAAGAAAAGCCCCCACAAGCAACCCCATCACCGCCACAATCAGCACAGCCCAAACGACGGCCTTGGGGACTTTAAACCCGACACGAACCGGGTCCGTGCTCAGACTCGTCACCGACGTCCCGTATTTCGGTTTGCTCGAACCTAAATTGCTCACTTGGTGGTCCATTTGACCCGACCTCCTAGACCCGGACCCTATCGGACCCGAAGAACCGAGCGAGCCGGAGGTTATTAAACCCGTTGGCTGAAGCTGAGAGAGTGGACCCGAAAACTTCTTAACCGAACCGGAGTTGGGACCGGATCGAACGGATCCACTGTTAGGGTTTGAAGACGAGGCGGAGACACGTGGCGGCGCCTGCTGCCTTGAGTTTCCGCCGCTGCTGTTTCCACCGACGATGAGCGGCGGTGGTCCTTGAAAAGAGGCGGGGTGATCGACGGAGATGTCGAACATCCTTCCGAGCTCGCCGGATTTCTTTATGTCGCCTCCGGTGTAAGGTACGGCGCGAGCCGCCATTGTCGGTGGCCGCTCTTTAGGTTGCTCGAGCTTCCCCGAAACGTACAGTCCATTAGGCAGCTGGTGGGATTGGATCCGACCTGCCATTTCTAGAGAGAGAGGGAGAGAGAAATGCAGAAAACTTTACTCTTTTGAGTGCTTCAGAAGAGAGAGAGAGAGAGAGAGAGAGAGAGAGAGAGAGAGAGAGAGAGTAATCGCGCGTGTAGGTGTGAGTGGCACAGTGAAGGTGGAGAGAAAGAAGAAGGACGAAGGAGACGAAATGACGGGAATGGGTCACTCAGGATTCCATTATTACGAATTTGCCACTGAGTCCTATAAACAAGCGATTACGTAATCTTTGAAGTAGCCAACGTTTAGTTAGAGGCTTCGTTTTTGATTGGTTCGTTTGTAACAGTAATCCCTACAATAGTTGGCGCTTTTTTTATTTTACACTTTTCTCCTATTTGTATCAATAATTTCCCAAATTACCCCCTTTTATTTGTTTTTCTTCACTAAGTTTCCCCATTTGAAATGAAGGTTCGTTTTGATCCATCAAGTGGGGATATTAAGAGCTATTTTGGATTATGTTTTTTGTATGGATTACAAAGAAAGTATCAATGTCCAATATATTTGCCTCGAAAATTGGCTCGACAAAAAGTGTCGCCTTTGAGTTTGACCCTTGTTACAATACAAGCTTGAACTTAAAATTCGAATTTCTTATTCAAAAGTTTAAATTCAACAATTTTGTTGGTATTATTTTATTAGTTTTGTTGTAAAAGAAGATTATTAGAGTTTTGTTGTTGGATGGAGTCACAAGAATTGATAGATTCGATTGGTGTTAAACAAATAATAGACATCTATTAGGTAGGACCATGTCCAACGGCCCAATGCCAGCGTTTCAATAAGCATAATAAGTTCATACACGTATAGATAGATATTTTTGAGTAAATACTAGATTTTAAACATTATAATTCACATCACACGTGAACTATGTGTAAATAATGCTAGTTTGCATTTTTAAATTCTGAATGATTGCAATAATTGAAGCAGTATAAAAAGATACTACTATGGTACAAATATAGTTAGTAGAATGAAATATTGTATCAAAATTTAGCGGCTAGATCGATCAACTTTTTAAAATAAATTGCTTGGCTATAATTATAATTATATATACACATATTTTGATTAATATATAAACCACTTGTTACTATTCAAAGCCTAAGATAATACAGTAGTTTAATGATTATTGTTTTCCACTATGATTAAATCCCATTTCTTGAATAAGTTGTGTGTTATTGATGATTACAATTTAAGGGCTTCCTAAATACGTTTCCTGCCAATTTCTTAAACATTTTATGCAACAGTTTGTACATTTTTAGCAAGGACAACTAGTTAAAATCTATAAAATGTAGAAGTAGTCAGATTCAAATATTTAGAAAAGAGACACACATGGTTGGAGATATTGTAGAAAAGAGACGTGTATATATATTGTCTAAACTAAGATTCTTTCTATAGCTGTCACTCTAGTGTCAAGATTCTGTTATATTTGAATTTGTTGAAGGGTAATTGTGGGAAATCATATGTAGTCGGTGGGTGCAGCTGGGAGAATCCAAAGAGATAATATGGGCGCAAATGGAAAATTCTGTGTTTAGACGAAAATACCCCTCCAATTTTAACAGACCCATGCAACTCATTTGGATTTTGTTTTTGTTTTCTGTCGGATCTAATAATAGTTCAGTACTATCTCACTATTTACATATAATTTCAAACTTAGGTATCGACGAGATATGCTGAAATTTTATTTATTAAAAACGTTAATTTTGTTCATAGGAACATACTGTTAAAGGTTAAAACTATAATATGAGCTTTTATTATCTTCTAAACACTCACTTACCAGAAACATCACTATTATATGATGGACTCATTTGCCCGACATAATTGTTTTTTTTTTTTGAACATTCGCCCGACATAATTGTTATATCAATTATTAAGTCAGTTATTAAGTTGAATGAACGCAAGCAAATTCTAAAGACTTGTATTTTTTGTTTGATGACAAAATAAAAGATTTGTATTTTTTTGTTCTTTTATTGAGTACCGATATCTCACAAGAAATCTACTGTTTAGATATAAAAAAAGGTTTTACAAATATAAATTCGAGTTCAGTAAAACTAACTATATATGTAGTGTAGGTCGTTTGATATGTATCAAACTGATGTCATGATTTGTTAATAAAATAAAGAAAAATAATAGAGTATGAATGGATTTGGCATATAATTTTTCAAATCAATACAAATCACATAAGATGTTGCTACATTATATATGTATATACTAGTTAAGTTTTGCTTAATAGAAGAAATAAACTCTAATATCATTTTTTTTCGCAGCACAGGGAGTTGAATCTCGATTTACAAACCGTAGATTAAAAAGTCACAATTATTGATACAAGAAGTACGTAGAACCAGTAGAAAAAGAAGATATGCTTTTTATGGTAACCATGAAGAAACCAGAGAAAAAGAAGATATGCTTTTAACGGGTCGATGTAAGATGATTCATTGTATGCTTTGGGCCTAATAAAGCCCATTTAAAATTCTTGCATGTAAAGTCAGTCGAAATCCAAGGAAAGAAAGAAAGACGAAGTCTAGGGTTTCATTCATCTAAAGCTCAGAAGCGATTCGTTTCGAGATCTTGTAAAACATCTCGCCATGAAAAGTCTGAAGCATCATGAAACACAATCTGCGAAATCCGTAAGTAAAGACTCAGACTCAATCCCAGTTGATCTACTTATCGATATATTCTCTCGAGTCACGGGGAAGTCTATAGCTAAGTTTCGTTGCGTATCGAAACTCTGGGAATCCATACCTCGTCTTCCTTATTTCACCGAGTTGTTTCTGACCAAGTCTTACACTCGTCCACGTATATTTTTCGCCTTAGAAGCTAATCACAAGTTATTCTTCTTCTCTTCACCTCAAAAACTAGATGAGAACTCTTTTCTTGTAGCCACGCGTTATTATACGTCTTTTCCCAAATATTTTCCGTATGAGATCTGTAGCACTGTATGTGGATTGGTCCTTCTTCAGGGATATGGAAAAGTAAAGGTACTAGTGATTTGCAACCCTGCCACGGGAGAGTTCATAACCTTACCGAAAGTGCTTATAAAAGAAAAAAACTTACCCAAAGTGAAAGGTAAGAGTAACCCCACGAACGTTGCAGGAATGTATCTCGGCTATGATCCCCTCGGCAAACAGTTCAAAGTGTTGTGTATGACCTCGTCACGTGATGAATGTCCCAATACTCATTACGTTTTGACTTTGGAGCCTGGAAAGCGAGTGTGGCGAGCGATCGAGGAATGCAAGTTCCATTTCTCGGAGAATGACAGAATCAGTGGTGACATATGCATAGATGGTGTTTTGTATTTGGGAGATGGGTTCGGTCCGGTCGGAAAATCTTCTGTGATAATTTGCTTCGACGTTAGGTCTGAGAAGTTTGTCTTTATTGAGACAGCTGAAGGCATGGACGTAGGCCATTCTTTGACTTTGTTCAACTACAAAGGTAAACTTGGGGCACATCCGGGTTCTCGAGAAGTTGGGTTGTGGGTTCTAGAAGATGCTGCAAAGCATAAATGGGTCATGCATGTCTGGATAAGGATGCCTACTTTTGTGAATAGCTTGCGCTTTGTTGGAATAATCACTGGTACATGTGAACTGGTGTGGTCGTCGTACTCGGACGACGATTTTTACATTTACTTCTACAATCCCAAGAGGAACAATTTAACAAGACTCAACGTTCAGGGATTTGAAGAGTTTAAGCATCATCAACGTTTAGTTATCAACACCTTTCTCGAGTATGTGGAGAATATGAAGTTTATAACGTAAAGTGTGTTCATGGCTTTAATTTCATAAAGAGAGCTTTTTTTCACTTTCACTCAAAACTCAGAAAGATTATGGTGTGTATTTGATATTTGATATACTATTTTTTCAGATCAATACAATTTCACAAAAGAGATGTATTTTTTAGTTTTATAATTAAACTAAAATGTTCACAAGTCACAACCAATGAAATGAAGTTATCATTGTTCTGTGATATAGGTAAGAATTTAAGAAGAAGAAGAACTCTGCATCCGTTGTTTGATCCATGACTCCAGATACTGCAGCTCCTTATTACTGATTGAGTGTCCAAGATCCGGATAAGCCTGCAAACAAAACAAATCTCTTCAGAAGATTTACAAACTCAAGAATTGGTTTATAAGATCTTTCCATGTGATTCAGTATCTGGATTTGACTGCTCTGTTACATGATCAAAAATGAGTGTTTTGATTTGATTATTAATAATACCTTGAACTCACAAGTCACACCAGCTTGTTGAAGAAAAGGAAGAGCTGCTTGACCAGCTTCGAATAGTACAGTTTTGTCATCAATGCCGTGAGACCACAAGATTGGTGTCTGCACAATGCAAATTCTGAAAGACTCAGAAACCCCAAGAAACAGTGACTGAAGAAATCGAATATATATATACAAGAAACCGAAAATGAAACCTTTTTAGCATCTTCGGTAAACTTATTGATGGTTGAAGAACTAAATGGAACCCATCCGCTAAAGACTGCACCTCCTCCAAGAGCTTTTGGGTACAGAAGAACACTAGCCAAGGCTAAAGCACCTGCAAGAAAGAAAACCTTGCTCAGCCGTCGCGATGCAAGAACATCGACACATTGTAGATTTATATATACGAAAACTGAAAGGTAAATCAACGGAGAGATCACCACCTCCTTGGCTAAATCCACAGATATACACGTTTTCTGGGCTTATTCCTCCTGCAATCTCCTTATCTATAATGGCTTGAACGTTCTTAACTGCTTTAAGCACACTGCTTTCATCATTCGGAGAGCCCTAACACATAAAAAAGATACATACTTGATGACACAAAAACAACCTTTGAATACAAACCTAACAATTCAAGAACGGTTCTGTTCTTTAACCCTTTAAAAGCTACTTAAGCGAGTGATGATTGGCCAAGTAGAGATACCAATTTAGAAACTATTGAGAGTGTTGGACAAAGAGAGAAATGTGTTACCGCCGTAAGAGGAAGCTCACGGATGTCAAACCAAGAAGGCATCACCATACCATCTGCACAAGAGGAGAAGGCACAATCATTAGCAAGGACCTTAAGATTCTCCAGACATTGAGACACACAATGATCTTCATTGGACTACAGTGACTATTAATCTTTACTTTCAATTGTGTATTGCATTTATTTAGCAATCTCTTTGGCATATAACTCAAGTGGAAATCTCCTTCACATCAGAGGCAAATCATGCTAAATCCAAATGCAAGACAGAATAAATTACTAAATTCACACAACTAACTTCTCACTATGAAATAAACCAAATCCCTGAGCTCAATCAAAATCATAAACCATGTTCAAGCTTAACAGAAGAACGAAATCCACAATACTAACAAAACACCTCCACGATCCCCCAAAAGTCAGAAACTAATAAAAGGTTAATCGTACAATTGCAGGAGACTGGATTTGGTGGAGCAGAAGGGAAGAGCCACTTGGTGTTCCTAAACTCCGGCGACTTGAAAACTGTCTTGATGGGTTCGTTCGCAGGTCCAGAATCGCCAAGCCCGTGAAGCCATAAGATGAAGGTTGGAGCCATGGAGTCTGGGTTCCGCGAAGAAGAGGTAGATGATGAGTAAGGTTCGTTTTCGAAGAAGATTACGAAAAAGAGCACAGTGCTCAATAGTGCGATCGTGAGAAGAACGATCGGTTTACTCATCTGCTGCCTTCACCATTTTACTCTCGAGGTATTTTTTTTTCCCGAGACTTTTGAGAAAGGTTAACCAAAAATAAAAAAAGAGCAAGGAGATCATGACTAGATAATTAAATGACTAAAATACCCTCGATGTCGAAGTATTCTTGTGGGCTTTTTTGTTATATGTTCTTCTTGATGTTCAGGCAACATTTAATTCAATGTTATGGAGAATTTAACTGGAGAAATCTCTCTTCTAAATATTTTTTTACATGTTTTACCGTGTCTGAAATGAGAGAGGTTTTGCTAAATTTGGTTCTATCGTTTACTTAGCCTAATCACTCATCATGGTTAAATCCAAAAAAATAGAATTGATGAACATAATCTAAGCAATCGCAGTAAGTAACCAAATGAATTTCTCACAAGATCATCAACAACCTTTGTTTCTCAACCCTTTATAAACTCAAATTGAACTTAACCAGAAAACAATTCAATCTTAATTTATGTACCAACCAAACCAGATAAGTAAAACCAAATATTGACTTCTCATGAGTTTTCATTGACACATGAAACCATCTTTTCGTATCTCTCAATATCTCTCAACAACAATAAGTAACCAAACAAACACTCGTACCTAATGTCTTATTTACTTATCTTTTATTTAAGTTCTCGTCATTATTTATTTCTCAAACATAATATTTGAACGAGAACTTATATACTTAATATATATATATATATATATATACTTTTGAGATATAAAAGAGATACAAATAAATAAAATTTAGGTTGAAAATGGGTAAATTCTTTTAACTTTGTTATCACAATATTCTAATAAATTTATTTGGATAATCCAAACTAAATACATTAATATAAATTCATAAATATTGTTTTCACATGTGAAATTCATTATTCAAACTTACTGATATTTTATATTCAAGACAAATTTTGTTCAAATAAAAGCAATTTCTTCGGTCATATAAGCCTAAATAGTTGAAACAATATACACTATTTTCTTTATTTCTAATCATTCTCTCTCTTTTGGGATTTACAAACAGAGGATACATTATTTTCTTTTTTTCTCATTATTCTCTTGCAAGCAGAGAATGTTAAGGTCCTTGCCTAACCGATGGACTTGTGGGGTGCTAACTTTCTATAATAACTGCTAATGGTGGATATTGCTGTAACGATCATATTCTCTCTGTTAATTTTTCTCAACAAGGCAGGCCGTATCATTGCTTTGGAGGTCAAATGGAGGCTCTCTCTACTGTGTTGCTCTCGTCAACATATAGCCATTAGATATGTAAGGCATGCAAGATGAGGTAATTTTGAATTCTTTTAACCTCATCAACACATATACTCTTACAATTTTTCTCTGATATCTCTTATTAGCAGTTATGTATTAGAGTTATCTAGTATCGCTTCAGCATGATGTGAGTTTTGACTTGCACTCCTCCTTCTCATAATGCCTATGATGGGAAAGACAAGTTCTTTAGCGTTAAAAACAAAAAAAGTTCTTTAGCGTGACAGACTTGGTTTAAATTACGGCTTTTGTTTACAGAAAACTATTCTTAGCTTTTGGCTATCTTCTGTTCTTCATAATTGCAAACGTACGTGTTTCCAATGATTGCATATACGTAAAGTTGTTAGGTAAAAGATGAACCGAAGTTTAAAGATCCGGACAAGCCTGTATTTTCTTTAATGCACCTGCAAGAAAATAATCTTTTTAACACAAACCTTACCTAACAATGCAAGAAAGCTCTGCTCTTTAACCCTTAAAAGCTACCTAGCAAGTGATGATTGGCCCAACTATTGGCAAACTCAGTATCATGAGAATGCTGTTAGATAAAGAGAGAAATGTGTTACCGCAGCAAGAGGAAGCTCACGTGTGTCAAACCAAGAAGGCATCACCATTCCATCTGCACAAGAGGAAAAGACCTTTGTAAACATATTAAGTGGATCTTTGTTTTCACAACTTTTGAAAACTCTCAATACTGTAGTTATCGATTGCAGAGGATTTTCCCTAGCCAATGTCTCGTGTCATCTTTTTGTGTGTTGTTGCTTCAGTCCCTATATTTACCATTTTTTTATATCGCTTCAACCTCCATCCTAGAAGTATGTATAATTATGATTAGATCTCTGTTTAAGTGGCACAATGAGACTCTTTGATAGGTACTGTATATGATCCATACAACCAATAAATACATGAATTCAGCAACAAAGCCACTCAATAACCAACGAAACCCGAAACCGGTTATGACGACAAAGATACTGGAAGCAGACGCCAGAACACCAAATCAGACCAGAACAAGGCTGGAAGAGGATGAGATTAAGTTATCAATGTTCTTCATGTCTTCACAGATTACACATGTAGGTACATTATTTATTTTGAATTGCAAAGATTGCTTTTTAAGCAATTCAAGAAGAAGACGAAGAACTCTGCATCCGTAACTTGATCCATGACTCTATATACTTCAGTTCCTTATCGTTGATCGACTGCCCGAGACCCGTATACGCCTTGCAGATACACAAATCCCTTCAAATTTTTTTTTTTTTTTTTATATAATTAAGGTCTTATTTGAACTAAATTGAGAAAATGAGAGTAACTGATTTGAATGTACCTTGAATTCACAAGTCACACCGGCTTCTTGGCTCCATTCTAGAAGTATAATATGTATAATTATTATTAGTTCGCTGTTTAAGTGGCAATGAGACTTTGAAGGTATATGATCAGTTTGACTTTTTGACTAACTTTTTGTATTCTCTTGCACTTCGAATATACTCTTTAGTGTGTCTTTACATTTGTTTTTAGAATCAACACAACAATAACCTATAAATTTCTCCATGGCTTAACACATCAGCATTTTCAAGCTTTTAGAAGATGATACTTCAACAAAAAAATACCAATAAAAATATTTCATTAATACAAATCATCAATTTATTTTAATTTTTAAATATAAACCCATTAAAAACTCAAATATTTTTTATTGTTAATTTTAATTTTATTTTTTAGTCAAACCCAAGCCCAAATAATAAATAACAGCAAATAAAAAAATTCTTTTATTTTTTTTAACAAACCCAAATAATAAATAACAACAAATAATAAAATTAAATCTTTGTTTTATATTTTTGCCAAACTGAAACTCAAATAATAAATAACAGCAAAAAAAATTAAAATTTCTAACTATGTGTTTGTTTAATAGAGACGTATATGATTGAAGAAAGTGTAGATTCATCATCAACTATGCTTCCATAACAACAATGCAAAAAGCGTTATGTTATAAGAAGCTCACACATCAACAAAATTTTGAACCAATAAAAACATAACAATAATACATATTATTAACACACTAATAAAATCAATTTACTATTTTGCTGACCCATTAAAAAGCCCAAAGTTTACAAAAAAAAATAGAAGGCGAAAGCAAATGAGGAGAAACTCAGACCACCACAGCTTGGAGATTCGCATTTCCACTGGTTACCGAGAACAAATTTTCTTTAGTTTGGCGGAAATAGAGAATTTCTTGGTTTTAATAGAAAAATGTGATTTTCAGTTTTGGTAGAAAAACATAGTTTCTCGGTTATGGCAGAAAAAAATAAATTCTCGGGTTTGGCGGCAAAATGTGAATTTTTGGTTTTAGTGAGAAATAAAAAATTTGATTTTGACGAGAAAATGCGAGAGAAATGCAACTTTTCAATTTTGACAAAAAATATGATTTATCGGTTTTGATAGAAAATGTAATTTTTCGGCTTTTGATGGATAATGTAATTTCTTGATTTTTGCAGAAAATTGTAATTTGACAATTTTGGCAAAAAATACAATTTCTCTAGTTGATAGAAAAACAAAATTTCTCGATTTTGGCGGGAATAAACAATTTCTTGGTTTTGATGGAAAATGCAAATTTTCAGTTTTTGACATATAATTTGATTTTTGGTTTTCGAGAGAAAATATGATTTCTTAATTTTCGTGGGAAACACAATTTCTCAAGAGATGATGCAATTTTTGGTTTTTGCGGAAAATTGTAGTTTATCGGTTTTGGTAGGAAGGCGTGATTCTTGATTTGACGAGAAAAATAATTTTTTTTTGTTTTGGTGGGAATAGACGATTTCTCGATTTTTGCGGGAAAATAATTTTTTGGTTTTGACGGAAAAATACTATTTTTTTTGTTTTTGCAGGAAGATGAATTTTTTTGGTTTTGGTGAAAAAATTGATTTCTCTGTTTTGACGGAAAACACAGGTTCTCGCGGGAAAGTGTGATTTTTTGGTTTTTGAGGGAAAATGCAATTTCTTTGTTTTGGTAGGAAAATGAAATTTTATGTTTGACGAGAAAATAATTTTTTTTTGGTTTTGGCGGAAAATACAATTTCTCGGTTTTTGTAAAAAGATAAAATTTCTCTATGCAAAATTTTCAAGTTATAATATATTTTTAGTAACCAAAATTGAATTATTTAACTTCAACTAAATTGATATTTCAACAGTTCAAATAGAACTTTCTATTTAGTTCTAAAGTAATAGTAATGATTTTGATATGAATGTTATTGATTATAGTTTGGTAGTTTTAGAAACATATGTCTATAATAAATATTTGATAAATAAATAAATTTTATAATTTAAAATAATCATATTAATTAAGATTTTTTTTAAATGGTAATTTGCTTTATATAACTTCAAAAGAGAATCAAGTAGCAATTTAGTAGAGAAAATAAATTACATCTACCATTAGTTTGAAGGTACTTAAAAATGTATTGTTTTATTCTTACATATACATTTATAGATAGTTAGCTAAACAAATTTGATAGTATATTATAATTTTAAAAAATAAAAAATTAATGATATATAATGTTTATTCAGATTTAAATCATATAAATACATAACTTAAGCTAATAAAAAATAAATATAATATTCATTTAAAATATATAAATAATTTTATTATATTAAAAATATATACAAATCTAGAAAAATATTCTACAGCATACCGTAGGTAAATACCTAGTAAACTAGTAATAATAATATTTTTTGTGTGAGTGTAAATTACTGTATGTTTGAAGAGGAGCATGTCTAGAAGAAATTAAGTCGGTTTCTCGATTCAGAGTTATTGTCTTTGTTGGGAATTTTTTTTCTTATATTGCAAGCAAATTTTCGTACGGATTTATTAAAAAACATATAATAACGATATTATTAAAAAAATCGGCAAAAAGGAATAAAAATTATTACAAAAAAAGATGGAAGAAATATTAATCCTGAAAATATATTAATTAGGCGCATTGGTTTATTAAAAAAAAAGTTTCTCTGCGTCGCGTACATAGATGTTGCACGGAAACGTATTCCCGTCGTGTCAACCGTTGGATATGGACTGCAATGGAACACGCTCTATCGGAACTACACTTGTACGCCCCTACTCCCTGGTCTGAGAAGGTTCGAGGAGCCATGGCGTTTGAGTTCCGTGAAGATGAGACAGACCGAGAGAAGAACGATCGGATTCGTCTGTGTATATATTGTCCGCAAGTCAAATTCGCATGTTGTACCTTCACCATTTGTGTGATCTCCGAAAAGTCTCCGGGAGGAGACGACTTTCGAAACCACAAGTCCACTGAGAAAAACGGAAGAATCTGAAATGACTAAAATACCCTCGACTGCACGCTTGGTGTTTAAACGACGTCGTATTAATGCTAGCAGCTGAGTTTAAGCCAGAGAGAGAGAGAGAGAGAGAGAGAGAGAGAGAGAGAGAGAGAGAGGAGAATCTCGGGAGAGAGACAGAAAAGCGACGATTGATTGGTGGAATTTTGAGAAACTTTGGGGAAAGTGAAACAAATTTTCAATGGCGACTTCGAGGCTTCAAGCTATCTGGAATCACCCTGCCGGACCTAAAACCAGTGAGTCAATTCTGCATATTTTCACTTTTTTTTTTTTGTCGAAGATGATAGCTTTTTATTCATCGATTTCGATTTTACTCTTTCCTTTTGAAGATCGAATTTCGTTAATTGAGCAATCCACACGTCTGGGATTTCTTTTCTTTTGTTAGTTTTACGATTTCTAGTTTCACTTCTGGTGAATCCTGATTTGTCTCTGCTTAGTGGATTTTGACTTTCGATTAGTTCTGGAAATGATACAACTGTTGTCTCTGCAACGATTCCGACATTCGACGATTGGATTGATATATTGTTACGATCTAGGAAAATGTAAGAACCTTCGATGGTACAAAAGATAAAGAATCACTCTTTCCTCTATATTGATTGGGTTTTATATAAATTCTGGAGTTTGATATAAGTCGCTGTAACCCAATTCTCAGAACAGAGTATGTTTTTGGCCAAATCGAATCTTAATTGAAATCAAACAAGTGCTTTTTTAGTAGTTTTGATTCAAAATGCTTTTTTCGTTTGGTATATAACCGGTTGGATCATTATGGTGAACTGTGAACAAACAACTCTCATCTGTGTCCTCTTGTCAGTTCATTTCTGGGCGCCAACGTTCAAGTGGGGTATCAGCATTGCTAACATTGCAGACTTTGCAAAACCTCCAGAGAAAATCTCTCTCCCTCAACAGATAGGTATGATGATGATGATACTTAATGGTTCATGTATAAGCTCGCTTTTACTTTACCTTTTTATCTCCAAGTACTGTCTTTGATTTCATACCTCAATGCTCTTAAAGTTTTTTTCTCTGATATCTCTTTAGCGGTTACTTGCACCGGAGTCATATGGTCTCGCTACAGCATGGTTATCACTCCTGTGAGTCTTGCTCGTCTTATCACAATCTTCTCCATTGCTTTCGTAACGATTCTTGGTTTGATTTCTCAGTGCGGACTTTTGTTTACAGAAAAACTGGAACCTCTTTAGCGTTAATGTTGCTATGGCGGGGACAGGCATTTACCAGCTTACTCGTAAAATAAAGTAAGATTCAAGATAACACTTGGACTTACATTACATGTATTGGGTTTGTTTATGATGCTTTCTTTAACTCTTGGAATGCTTGTTTTTGGTCTGCAGACACGATTTTGCATCTGAAGCGGAGCCTGTTGTTGCGAAAGAATGATGACGACGAAGAAGAAGATGATAGAGACGTCAAAAAGGAAAGCTGGATTTCATCTTGCTTTGTGTTTGAAATCTAGTCCCAAAGATATTTTTGATTTTTCTTTGAATTCCCAAATCAGTTTCCAAGGATTTTAAGTGTATTCCTGTTTGTTTATTTGAGCTTGCTCAATTGATAAAAGGAAGTCGGAAGGCTCCATTCACATGCTTTCAAAGTACATTCCTTAGGGAAATCAAATGTCTGAATGTTTAAATTTTTCTGATCTTCAAGCTCAAATGATCAATGAGGCCAGAAGCTCAATTAATATGCTTCCAAAGTACATTATACTAAGTCCTCCACAGAGAAATCAAAATCTTCTGAATGGTTTTAATCAAATTAAAATTCAGACAACAAAAAAACAAGAAATTCTCTATGAATTGAATGTTTAGTTCCGAGATCAATGAGTCTGGTCATGAAGAAGAAAAGAAAAAAATGCCATGAATGTATAAGACCAGATCAAGGATAATCTTGCGTCCATCTCTAACAAATGCTTTCTTCATTCTGTACTGTCTAAGAACCCTTATGACTTTGAGAGTTGAGGACGAGGAACAAAACCCAAGTTGCAGGGGAAGCAATGGTCTCTAGTTTATCACTCTTCTATTGGCTCGTCTCCTTTCGGATTGTTCTCAGAATCCGCATCATTTGCATTCAAGTTAAGTCCTATATCCATAGTGCTTTCGTTCAGATCTTGTCGCACTATTGTTTCTTCCTCCTGCTAAGAAACACATGAGATGTTCAATATCTAAATTTGCGTAACAACAAAAGATCACTTCTTCAAGGAAGTTTCTTCAACAAGCCTGCCAAATGAAATGATACTCTCTCTAACAAATGGTTTCCAGAATCCATCAATGGACAATGAGTGATCAACAGAAGAACAAGCAAATTCACAAGTTTGAGGTTGAAACTTTTACCTGATTATCTTCCATTGGAACGTCATTTATATCAGGTTTTTCCTCAACTTCCATTTTCTTCTCGCTCGGTTCTGCTGCACTTGTGTCTTCATCAACAACCTTGACGTCTTCCTCAACCTTGTCCTCCTCCTCCTCCACAACCTTGTCATCCTCTTCAACCTTATCATCTTCCTCAATCTCTGTAATTTCCTTCTTCTGTTCCTCAAGTACTGCGATCTGCACCATGTAATCACACACCTCGATTCAAATGGATCACAAGGACTATGCTAATCAAGGATCATGTTGGATGATTGAATCATATCATCAATGTTCTCGCTAAACCTCAAAAATTCAGAAAATCTTAGAACTAGACCTATTCCAATGTTGAAACGACGATTATAAACCCTAATCTCTGCTGCAGCAACCTAGCTCTCAATTCAATGCAACAAAGACATCATACATTACACTGAATCAAAAATCAGCAAACGAGCAAATCACAAAACTAACCGGCACGTATTTGAATCTGCGCCGCGGAGGATCTTCTGCCGTCGCCGCCACAGGGTCTTCGCTCGGAGAATTGCTCTCACTCTTACCATCTTCATTCCCGTTTCCGTTTCCGTTACTGGCCTGAGACAATGGCGCCCACTTGAACAGCAACAAATGCGATCCATTACTGCCGTCGGAAGCCGAACCACCGTTAACGACGGAGGTGGTTGCGGCGGAGGCGGATGAGCTGTTGTCTTTCTTGGTGGAGGGAGAGACGTGAACCCACTTCTTCTTCCACTTCCTCACCGGGCCGGTGAAAACCGTTGCCGGTCCATACCGAGTCGAGGACCTCCCTAACCGAGCTCCAACTCCTTCCATAACGACTCGCTATTGAGTTAATTTCACTGATGAGTGATCAAATCCAAAATTCAAATACTAATCGGCTTAGTTTCCAGGTTAAGGAATTTCTGAAAAGTAAATATTGTTTGGAATAAAGCGAAAAAATAGAAAAAAAAACTTATGTTTCGTCTCTTCCTCCGTAAGAACAAAGAAAAAAGAACGCTCTCTCAGATCTCAGCTTTGCGAAGCCCGAGATCTTATTGGTGTTTGCAACCCGAAGACTCTCTTTCGCCTAGAGGGTTTCATTGTATACTATAGAGGCTACTAATTAATCTGTTTAGATTTAAAAGATCGGCGTACATAAGGGGTGGTACAAAAACCAAACCGAACCAAAAATCTAAATCCGAACCGAATGTATAATTATTACCTGAAGGGACTTGAAATTTGTAAACCGAATCCGAATCAAGAGTGAATTTTGTGCAACAATACTGAATTCACCAAACCTTTTGAAGGTCTATTTTTCGATATCCGGAAATATGCGAAACCCAAAAAGACCAACCGAACTAAACCGAGAGCTAAGTGCCCGGTCAACGCTCGCTGTAGATTGATACCCGAGGATCTCGGCTTATCCGTGACCTAATTAGCGCCCTCGGAGAGAGTTTCATCGAAAAGACTTTTATAGCCCCCTTGATGTTCACTCTGTATAAATATCGCTTCAACATGTCTTTTACTATCATCATCTCTTATCCTCGACGCCGACTATATTCAACATCGATTGTTTTTGTTTCTATAGCATATTTAGGGTTTTTTATGGTTTAATATGAATCCAGTTAACGTCGTTTCGCTTGTGTTTTTTTGAATCTGATTGGGGCTATATTGTACCAAGAGAAGGGTTCGATCAAAAAAACACCCTTGATCTTGATTTTGCCAAATCGGCTATAGCTAGATCGATTAGAAGCTATCTGGCCGGTGGTCGCGAGAGAGATTTAGATCTCTCCGGTCGATTCATCTGCTTACCGAGTTTCTTACATTTTTGTCTTGATCTGTTTGGTTTGGTTTTCTAAGTTTTCGTAAGTTTTTATTAGATTTGGAAAATTGTGAATTGAGAGAAGGGATTTAAAAGATAAGAGAATAGCAGATTTAAATTAAATGCCGTTTTCAAGAGACCTTTCTCGTAGATTAAACTATTGGGCTCCTTTCCAGGCAATCTGCTCTTTGTTCGTGTGCAGCAATGCGTCTTAGTGGTGCCTATAAATATATGACATTACTCTTAATCAGATTCACTATCTTTTTGTTTTGTGTTTTATGAACTTGATCCTAACATTTAGACCGAAAAACAAACTTGATTCAATTAATCAATAATCAAATTTAATCATTTATTCACAAAAGATTTCTGTCGAATTATCCCTACGTTTCACTAGCCTATGTGTTCAGACCATTGAATAATGTAAGATGCGTATTGTCACAATTCAGATTCACATGCAGCAGTCACAATTCAGATTCACATGCAGCAAACTAAGGTCGTAGTACCTCTAAAATGTGTTGAACAGAGAATTTTAATAACTGAATAATTAAGTGCCTTAAGATTAAGCCTTTGACATCTCCAATAACGAAACTCAATTTAGCACTTTGTACAAATTACAAACAGGTTTTGAAATGTATATGATCATGTGTTCTAAACAACATCTGTATTACACTGAGGTTTGGGCGAGTGCAATGAATTGGTGGTCACTTATCTAATAACGACGAGTGGTTAAGTCTATCCCGTTAGGTAAAGTTGACGTGAACCACTTTTGAGCCAGTGGAAATTCACATATTGGGCCATATTAAGCCCATGTATAGTCCAAGAACTAATCGGAGAATTATATTTTGTTAAAAATAAAGTAATACTTGTCTTCAAAACAAATATCTGATTACCCAGATTGTAAAACCCTTCGTTCTGCTCTCTCTCTTCTACTCCATACTGAGAGTGATTAGTTATCGACGGAAAAAATGGCGCATCTTCCGATGGACATAGTCCACGATTTATTCCTCTGTCTCCCGGCAACTACGCTGGTCCGATTCCGAGTCCTCTCGAAGCCTTGCTTCTCTCTGATCGACAGTCCTGATTTCGTTGCGTCGCATCTCAATCGCACGCTCGAAACCGGAGATCACGTCATGGTCTTGCTCCGAAGCCCTCGCCTTCTACGCACGGTGTACCTCGACGCACCGGATAAAGTCCTAGGTTCCTCATCCTCTGCAAGCCGGCGGTTTTACTGAGGTCTTCGGTTCGTGTAATGGTTTGGTCGGTTTAATGAACTCTCCGGTTGATATGGCGCTTCTCAACCCATCGACCCGGAAAATCCGCCGGTTACCGATTGAGCCTGTTGATTTCCCGGTTAGTTTGATTACCCCGGAGTTTTTGTTTTACGGACTGGGTTACGATTCGGTGCACGAAGATTACAAAGTGGTGAGGATGATTCAGTATAGAAAAGTCAAAGGTGATGATCTGGTTAGTTACGAAATCAAAGTTTTCAGCTTAAAGAGGAACTCATGGAAGAGAGTCAAATTGCTTCTTGAGATTCAAATGCTTTTCTTCTACTTTTACTACCACGTGCTGTATCGCCGTGGAAATGGTGTTCAAGTAGGTAACGGTCTTCACTGGATCTTGCCTCGAAGGCATGGAGTTATCGCCATGAATACGATTGTAAGATTTGATCTTGCCTCTGAGGAGTTTGGAACCATCGGTTTCCCGCGAGAGCTTTTCTGCGAGGATAGAATGGATATATGTGCGTTAGATGGCTGCCTCTGCGCGATGGGTTACCACGAGTTTACACATGCTGATGTTTGGATCAAGAGGGAATCTTGGAGTAAGCTGTTTAAGGTGACGAAACCGGAGAGTGTAGCAGCGTTGGACTTCATGAGACCTATGCTCTATTCCAAGGACAGGAGCAAGGTTTTGCTGGAGATTAACATTGGGAAGCTCGTGTGGTTTGATTTGGAGAGTAGGAGCTTTCAAACGCTTGGTATAAAGGGCTGTGATGATGGCTCATGGAGCGCGGAAATCGTCCTGAGTAGCCTTGTTTTGGGATGTAAAGGAGACCCTCGCAGGGCTCGAGAAGATAAAAGGATGATGAGTTACATAAGGTGGTATCCTCGTCTTTAGTCTTGCTCATTTTGATGTCTTGTTAAGATTGTAGGAATGTCGAAGACAATAAGGCAAATCTTGAGTCTTAGGTATCTTCATTCCTAGGATTGCTAATGGTGAAATACTGAAATGATTCAACATCTTATGTTACAATCTCAGGGGTGGGTTTCTGTCCAAGGGGTTCAAGCTGAAGCTATGAGCAAAGCAGATGAACTTCGAAGCCTAAACCTACATCTAGGTAAGTGTAATGAATCTATTGGTCTTGAGTGTTTCCCTCAAGTCGGTGTGAGATTTCCTATCTTAACCTAGATGATGTTGGAAGTTGTCGCAAGTGGAACTTGAGCCAACAACATATGTTAAGGTTTACGATGTAGGACAAATCTGACTATTTCAAGAAGCTCTGAGAGTTTGAAACATGGAGTTGCAAATCTTGACTTTGGGTTTGATTTTCAGGTGCAGGCGGAAAAGAAGTGGCTTTAAGCAACTTCATCAAATCCTAATCCCATATGAAGTCTTAATTAGTGCTAATTCGCTAAACCTATGTCGTACGTATATGTCCTAAGATAAGATAGTGGCTTCGTCTATATGTTATTAACTCTTTCGAGTGTAGCCTGTTGACATGGTGATGATTTTCAGTTGCAAATACTCAATCGTAGAATTTATCAATCTGGGTGGAAATAGTGTTACTAAAGCAGATTTAGTAGAGATCACATATTTTATTAAAAGTCTAACTTCTTTCAAATAATCAAAAGTCATATTTTTTATTATAATTGACAAAAAGATCAATGTCCGTTGAACTAATTGCTACGTTTGTAAGATGTGACAATATTACTAAATAAAATGTAAGATGCGAATTGTCACAATGAAGATTCATTTGTTTTGAGATATATTAATGGTTTGCACTCAACTAAAGAATAATTTAGAGGTGTTGTGCTTCTGAGTTTGCTGCAAATGAAACAGAGTTTTCATACAGTGGAAGAACAAGAGATGTAAACGTATTGGGTCTCATTAGGCCCATTTCCAGACCAAGAAGTATCGAAACGATAATAAACATGTCTTATAAGCCCATCCTATTTAACAGGAAAATCAAAGTTAATATAATTTGCGAAAAAATGTTATTATATTAGTGTATTGAAAACAAAAATCTGATTCACCAGATTGTGAAACCCTCTACATCTCTGCTCCATACTGAGAGTGAGAGGGGGTACTTTCCGACGGAAAAAATGGCGCATCTTCCGATGGATATCGTCAACGATCTATTCCTCCGTCTCCCAGCAAGCTCGCTGGTCCGATTTCGAGTCCTCTCGAAGCCTTGCTTCTCTCTGATCGACAGTCCCGATTTCGTCGCGTCGCATCTCAATCGCACGCTCGAAACCGGTGATCACGTCATGGTCTTGCTCCGAAGCCCTCGCCTTCTACGCACGGTGTACCTCGACGCACCGGATAAAGTCTCCGAGGTTCCGCATCCTCTGCAAGCCGGCGGTTTCACTGAGGTTTTCGGTTCATGTAACGGTTTGGTCGGTTTAATGAACTCTCCGGTCGATATGGCGCTCTTCAATCCTTCGACCCGGAAAACCCACCGGTTACCGATTGCTCCCATTGACTTCCCGGATCATTTGATTACCCCGGAGTTTGTGCTTTACGGACTGGGTTACGATTCGGTGCACGAAGATTACAAGGTGGTGAGAATACTTCAGTGTAAAAAAGTTGAAGCCGATGATCTGGTTGATCACGAAATCAAAGTTTTCAGCCTAAAGAGGAACTCATGGAAGAGAGTCAAATTGCTTTTTGAGGTTCAAATTCTCTTCGTATACTTCTACTACCATGTGCTGTACCGCCGTGGAAATGGTGTTCAAGTAGGGAATTGTCTTCACTGGATCTTGCCTCGAAGGCATGGAGTTATCGCCTTTAATATGATTATAAGGTTTGATCTTGCCTCTGAAGAACTTGGAACCGCCGGTTACCCAGAAAAGCTTTTCTGCGAGGATAATATGGATATATGTGCGTTAGATGGCTGCCTTTGTGCGATGGGTTACCACGAGTTTACACATGTTGATGTTTGGATAAAGAGGGAATCTTGGAGTAAGCTGCTTAAGGTGACGAAGCCGGAGAGTGTAGCATCGTTGGACTTCATGAGACCTCTGCTCTATTCCAAGGACAGGAGCAAGGTTTTGCTGGAGATTAACATTGGGAAGCTCGTGTGGTTTGATTTGGAGAGTAAGAGCTTTCAAACGCTTGGTGTAAAGGGCTGTGATGATGGCTCATGGAGTGCGGAAATCGTCGTGAGTAGTCTTGTTTTGGGATGTAAAGGCGATCCTCGCAGAGCTCGAGAAGATAAAAGAATGCAGAAGAGTAACAAAAGGAAAAGGTGGTATGCTCATCTCTAGACTTGCTCGTTTTGATTCCTTGATAAGATTTTAGATATGTAGAAGACAATAAGGCAAATCTGAGTCTTAAGTATATCTTCATTCTTTGATAGTTTAGGATTGCAAATGGTAAATATGTAGAAACATGCTTAAGCATCTTATGTTACAATCTCATGGATGGTTTTCAGTCCAAGGGATTCAAACTGAAGTTATGAGCAAAGCAGATGAACTTCGAAGCCTTAACCTACATCAAGGTAAGTGTAATGAATCTAATTGTTGGTGAGATCCCCAATCTTAACTTAAGTGAACATCATAAGTTAACGTTTACGATTTAGGAGAAATCTGACCAATTCAAGAGCTCTGACAGTTTGAAATATGTATGTGCAAAAATTGACTTTGGGTTTGATTTTCAGGTGCGGGGGTAGGCGGAGAAGAAGTGGCGTCAAGCAACGTAATCAAATCCTAATCACATATGAGGTCTTAATTAGTACTAATTCGATAAACCTATGTCGTACGTATATGTCCTAAGATCAGATAGTAGTGCTCGTTTATATGCCAACTCTTTGAGTTTGGTGTGTTGCAGTTTGGCTTAGACGGTGATTACGTCGTAATATCTAATTTAAGACCTAGTAAAATTTAAAAATTTGGGTGCAAATATTGTTACTGTAGAAGATTTAGTAGAGATCACCATCTTATGATGAAAATCGAACTTTTATTAACTACACGTAAAGAACAATAATTTCAGAATATGTCCTACACAATTATAGTTCACATGATTGACCATTTCTTAAGGTTGCATCATACACAATCTCAAAAGCCGCCATTAATTTCTGTACATTAGCAATTTGGCATGTTTTAAAACCTTAGATTTAATGTGTCTGTAATAATATAAAACTCGTTTTGTAAACTATTTACATTCTCAAACTATTCATTAACTTGTTCTATGGATTTATACTTAAACCATTCGGTCCAGATTCCAGAATATGTCATCTGTAAACGCATTTGCTCGTAGTGTGTCTATGTCAGTGAAGTTGTAACATGCTCTTAAGAGTGGTATCAGAATATGTACTGAAGATAATTATTGAAAAACAAAAGAGCTTAAAGGAACAAAAGAGCTTACAGTAGTAGCCTCATCAATAAAAAAAAGAAAATTAACAGTATGTTAACAACTTACAGGAACGGTTAAAAAAAGCATTTTGACTGGCCTAATTTTCCAAAGATAATTTCTTCTCCTTTGTTAAGAAACAACTTAATGAGTCTTTCCAATGTTTTAAAAAGAGAATTATGAGTTTTAGAATGAAATCTAGTTTTCTTTTACCTTTTAAAACAAATCTGGTTTTTTTAAATGATTTGGATGATAAAAAAGTTCAATGGCTAATAAATCTGTAAGGAACTTTAATTGATGTCTCGAATTAGTACTTTCCTAATCTTTATATATTTCCACATTAAGAAAAAGGAGTACCCCAAAACACAAGTAACTAATTACTAATTTACCATCGCATGTCGACGGTGTTAGTTTTTAGTCTGCGCCGCTCTTAGGTTTTATTAATTTTTTAACTTAATCCAAAATCCCGGCAGAGAAAAAGACGTCAATGCCCTTCAATTGCCGAAACCCGAAAAGGGGAAAGAGAGAGAAGAAGCAGAAGAAACGATCGGCAGAGAGAGCGAGAGACAGAGAGAAAGGTCATCCGAAGATTCGTTCTCATCAGATTCCTCCGATCTCCCATGGCTTTGTTTTGCTAAGGCTAAGAGATTTCCTGGGTTTTGGAGACACTCTGCGAAGGAGGGAGATCGATCTCTTTTACCTCTTCTAGCGTCGCGAGGAAAAAAATAAAACGGTTTGTTTTTGTTTCCTTTGCTGTTCATGTGGATCGGTTTCGTTTCGCGGTAGATTCTCTTATTTTGATTCGAGATCGAAGAGTATTCATATCCTTGACGTCGTGGATCTGATTTTTGACCTGGATCCCCCTTGTTTTGACCTGATGAGGCATTACTCCTTGTTTCTGTGACCTAGATTCGTTGTTTTGGCTTTTGATTTTAGTGTTTCAGTAGTTAATTTCTTCGAATTCTCGTAGGGATGTTTCTAGTAAGATGCTTTGAGCTGGGTTTTCAAAAATTTCAGTGTCTATGATTATTTTCACTCTTTGTGTGTTTCGATACTGTAGTACGTCTGGGTATTGTTTAGATTCTCCTAACTGCCATCATTAGCGTGTTGGTTAATCACATGATTAGTTTATACTTATTATGGTATGTTGCATTTTTCTGCAAGTAAAGTGTTGCCTTCGAATCTATTTTAATGGTTACTTAGGCTGTCCTTTTCACTTTAATCTGGTGAAGGTGATAGTTAGTAAAGTCAATGGTAGAGAGACTCTTGTTGAATGAATCACAAGCTTTTTTCTTTTGGTGTTTGTGTGTGGTGCACTTGAGATGATTCATATGAGTCTTTAGCTCTCTCTGTTTGCTATTTTCAGATGGGTTTTTGATGCCTTAATGACTTTTTGTTTTTGGTTTTTGATTTTCTAATGTTTAGAGGCTGAACACTGTGAGGGGATTAGAAATGGCAGATGGAATATCGAGCTTTTGGGGTCCAGTGACTTCTACGATAGAGTGCTGTGAGAAGAACTACGCCTACTCATCTTACATTGCAGAGTTCTATAACACCATATCCAATGTCCCTGGAATCCTTTTGGCTCTCATTGGTCTTGTCAATGCACTAAGGCAACGGTTCGAGAAGAGGTTTAGCATTCTTCACATATCGAATATGATACTTGCCATCGGCAGCATGCTCTACCATGCCACTTTGCAGCACGTGTAAGTACCCTTTTTTTTGACTTAGATGGGCATGTAGATTTCATCATGATCCAAATTGTTGTGTTGTTGGATTATAACCACTCCCTGTTAATTGATTCGAGCAGGCAACAACAGAGTGATGAGACACCGATGGTGTGGGAGATACTTCTTTACATGTACATCCTTTACTCACCAGATTGGCATTACAGAAGTACAATGCCCACTTTTCTCTTCCTCTACGGTGCTGCTTTTGCTGTAGTCCACGCTTTCCTCAGGTTCGGCATCGGTTTCAAGGTCCACTACGTGATTCTTTGCCTTCTATGCATCCCTCGGATGTACAAGTACTACATTCACACAGAGGACACGGCAGCTAAAAGGATCGCGAAATGGTACGTTGCTACGATCCTAGTGGGAAGCGTGTGCTGGTTCTGTGACCGTGTTTTCTGCAAGACGATATCTCAGTGGCCTGTGAATCCTCAGGGACATGCTCTGTGGCATGTTTTCATGAGTTTCAACTCGTACTGTGCGAACACGTTCTTGATGTTCTGTCGAGCTCAGCAACGTGGATGGAATCCAAAGGTAAAATACTTTCTGGGAGTTCTTCCTTATGTCAAGATCGAGAAGCCAAAAGCACAATGAGAAAGAAGAAAAATGTTTGTGGAAAAGAAAAAAAATCCCAGAAGGAAGATCATAAATATAGTTTTTTGTTCATCGGTTTGTCAGAAGTTTCGATGTCGGTTTTTTTAATTTTATTTTTTGGAAGTGAAAACTCTCTAGATACAGAGTCTAGATTTTTGTTTTTTCTCTTTTTTTTTTATTGTATTAGTTATTGGGGATGATGATCTTATGAAGAAATGATTTTTAATTTGCTTAAACGCTCTTGTGTTTTAGTGCGTCATCGTAATTTGTCTCTATTCTTCTTCCTGCACAATAATCTTTTTCTTTTCCTGAACACTTTATTAGTCCCTAAACACTAATTTATTATGTTTGAGAAAATTCGAAAAAAACAAAACCGTCGAACTTTTTCTTTCACAAAGGCGTATCACTTTTACGATACAGAGGCTAAACCCAAAGTGAAGTTCAAAACGGGAAACACAACTAACATATAAATCTATTGCTTTCTTTTTCTTTTGTATCCAATGATTTTCTGACTTTCTTTGTATCAAGTCCAGAGTATATATATATATATATATATATATATAATATGGTAAGTACAATGAAGGGTTGTGATGATCTAAGATCCAATAGCCTTTTCCTGCAACACTTGGCCAAGCTTCATTAATAGAGCGTGTTGTTCCTCCAATGTTAGGCTTGTGATTATCTGTAACAAGCAAAAGTCATTACAAGCCAAATAAGAGAGAGATCTTCAAATGTGTTGTGTTGGTTCTTGAACAGTACCTGGTCTAAGAGCTTATCTACAGAGAGGCCTTGTGTTACAACAAACGATTGATGATATATATATGCAAAAACAGCCATCACCATCTACAAAAAAAAACCGGAAAGAAACATCATATAAGAAGATACACAATGATGTTACAAAGGAGGCAATAAAAAGAATGCACACATATAATACTAACCTGACAATCCATTCTATCTGTGATTCCGCCATGCCCTGGAATACTATCACCAAAGTCCTGAAGAAATGTAACAGTTTAATCAATCTTTGCATAAAGTTTAGTGACACTAATATATATATATAATATGAAACCAACCTTGACTTTGAAAGCTCTTTTGAAACCACTGGCAAAGAAGCCACCAAAAGGAGCTATTATAGATGCGAACAATCCAAGACACAGCGCATGCCACTGAACTGGTAGAATAGAAATCTCTTTCCAAGGGAACTGCAACGTAAAACGCCTTTTCATATCAAAGCAAGAAACGTTTCTCTGGTCAATTTATTATTTAGCATTGCACTAGAAACTAGCCTTACCCAAACAGAGATCCATCCAGGTAAAACATGTGTCTCTTGCTTGTACAATGGACCCGGATCACAGTGAAGCCAGCCCGTCGATAGATCCTGTACTCATTGCAGCCCAATAACATAAATGGTCACTGTACATAAAGAAAGCAGGACATTACTAAAACTTTTTAGTACCTCTCTGGGACATGTTAGCCACAAGAAACGACCCATTATATTTGCAAGCTGCAAAAAGAAGAAGATGCAAGATTAATAAACCATTAACACTTGCATAAACAACTGCTTATTAGCTTACCAGGAATGCGGAAAACATTGTGGTAATAGATGCTCCAATGAAACCTTCCCACGTTTTCTTTGGTGATAACTTGATCAACGGTGTTCTTCCAAAGAAGAAACCACAGATATACGCAAATATGTCATTGATGACAATAAGTGATGCAGGAAGAAGAAACCTGCACATGAAATCAACATTTTAACAAAGTTAAACTTAAGAATACTGGAAAATATACATTCCTCGCAACATATGTTACTCTGTTAAGTACCAGAAGATTCCTTCGAAGATGTTGGCCACAGTGAATGAGGATTGAGTAAACACAACAATTAAGATCATATGCGTCCATGCGTATTGGCTAAACTGATATTTGTACATCTTCTTTTTCAACGTCAGAATAAACCACACAAAGCCTATAGTAATTCCACAGCAACAAAAGAAAAAAAAAACACAGAGACTGTATAAGCAAAAGCAGTGGATAAAAAATCATAAACAAACCCAAAAGTTCATGAAACATCTAACCCGAAATATACAAGGAGTAACAGATTGCCATGTGGTACTTGATGAGGTTAGTGACCAGTCGATACAGGACTTTGTCTGGAGTCACAGTGTTGACTAGCCGCTGACTAAGTATTCGACCATATACAAAGAGCATTGCTGTGAAAAAGAAATGCCTGCATAAAAAAATACAAAATCGTTTCAGAAAATATAACAAAGCAATTCGAAAGGCTGAGAAGAAGTGAGCAAGTGTGATTGATTACCAATTCAGTAATCTAAAACCAGGGAGCTGTTTATCTTCATGAGTTTTTCTTAGGAGATTGAAAAGTTCACGTGCCATGAATATCTGGATCACAACAACCATGGCTGTGATGTAGAGATGACCAAGGTACACTATAAGAGCAAAACCACCAATCATCCAGAAAGTGGAGTATGCTCTAATGAGAAACGATTTGTATTTGCTACTGTCGTTTACAAGTAAATGGCTTCTTCCATTTGCTTTGCCTGACCCTGAAACTAGCTACAAAACCAGAAAAAAATGGTTGACTTTTCAACCAAAGTAAAATACAAAATGAAGCAACTTCACTTAGACAAGAACAATGTCACAGACTTGCCTTGGGCTGTGTCTCAATAAGTAAAAAAGAATAAGAGCAAAACATACATCACTGTTTCGCTTCCGATGCCGAACACGAGTGGTAGGTGTTGATGGAGCATCAAAAGCCTTCTCCTTTTGCATGTTTTCTGTTTACCCGAGAGACGACCAAGTTCAACGACTATCTGTGAAAAATTATGATTCAAGAAGGGAAATATAAACTGAGACAGACTGAAGAAAAGACTCGTTGACAAATATTCTTTCACTATACTAATATAGCAACTACAAATCGTTGCAAACATACAAATTTTAAGAATAGAATCTACATATATAAACATAAACAAAACTGAAATCAATCAAGAAACATACAAATGATTCACTGAAAGAATTTATTTTCCACATAAGGTAGAGAGACGTGAAACCTGTTCTTGAGCTCAGTTACTGTGCGAGAGAGGTTGGTGATTAGAAACAAGATGGAAACAGAGAATCGACTTGAAGAAAGAAAAATAGAAGACGAAAGGATTCTTTTGTCTTCTCTTTTTTCCCGAATCTTCAATTTTTTGTTTACCAATAAATGAATATTTTAAGGAAGGTAAATGTTCTCCGGAACCTCATTAAAGTAAAAATAAAAGGGAGAATATCACGAACTCTTTTCTATAAAAAAATTATACTATTCTACAACAAGTATTCTTTCAATAGTTTTATACAAACGATAGGGATTTTCATCTTATTCTCCGGAATTAGTTTATTAGAGAACGACAAAAGAAATGTTTTTTTTGTTTGAAAATTGAAATGATGGAATAGAACCGCCAAAAAGACAAATAACGAATTAGATTCTTCCTTTTTTTTCTGTTATAAATAAATAAACAGAATCTTTTCTACTTTAAATTGTAGTAGTATTATCTTTTCCTTTATGCAATAGTGATTAGTTTCGATTTTTCATTTTTAAACAAACAGTAAGCTTCGATATTTTCTACTCAAATCAGATCAAAAACTTATGCAAAGCTAAAACATTGACAAGTTATATCAAGTTATCAACCAAGACCTGTGGACCCAAAAGACACATGTTACTTTCTTCACAATACCTTACAAAGAAATGGTTTTTAAAATCGCGAAATGATGCACAAGACTCATCTTTGCGTCTTTTTAATATATCTATAGCTACTACAGCTTCTCTCTAGCCTTTGATTGGTTTGCATATTCCAAATATTTAAGAGGTTCGAGATTATCTCCAACAAGTTGCGAAACAAATCTCTAATCTCACTCCTCAATCCAAGAACAAAAACTTTGGAAACTAAATCTCAAAGCGATGAGTTCTACCATATTTGTTTCCTGCTGCTCTATTCCGCCTGCTGCTCATATATCTGCATGTATGCTTCCGATAGCTCTACCATTTGGGGAAGTGTCTCTGCAACATGCAAATCCTGCATCTCATACCTGAAATTTGACATTGTCCTCATAAGTCGTATCAACGTCTCCTTCTATGCACACATAACATTGACCCGTCTCTACGTGTTCGAACAGGTGTCATATGAGAACATCAAAAACACTCAAAGAAATTGAAGCTTACCATAGTTCTTGCGACTTCCGCTGCACAAAGACTCTGAAGTACCCGTCCTCAGGCTTACCATCATGTACAATGTTAGCGATTAGATTATACTTTGAACACACCTTCTCGCCTTCTGGTGCTGTAGGCAAGGATGGTATGTAATCTCTCAGCTCCATGTCCTTCACTGGAAAGTTAACTGTGGCATCGACGAAAAATTAAGTTAAATTAATCAGACAATAATCCTTGTAAAACATTAATATCACAAAACAATCAAATAGACTCACCCAATGTAGGGTTCTTCTCCTTGAAGAAGTTGTTCTTCTTGAACCGAACCATATGGAACATCAAGTAAGGAGGAGATTTGGTTACACGATACTTCATTCTGGCTAGCCTAGGGCGAACCACCTCTGTCACAGTTTCTCCATCAAACTTCTTCAATAAATCAAATAGAGCAACCTGACCCAAACATCAAAACATTACCTTCTGCTTACCTGAATTTTGCTAACTAAAAGAAGCCTTAGAGGCTACTCGACGTCCAAACTAAAAAGGACTTAGAGAATTCTTTCCTTCCTAATTCATAAAGTGGATTCCAAAAAGACAGTTTACTCTAGGACAAAGCCACTAATCAGGACTCAGTATTATTGTGACTCAACCAAAACTTAAATTAAAGGTTTTCTAGCAAAGCACCTCACGTAGTATCTTATTTATTATTGTGTTCCCCTATCTGGAATGCATTTTGTAAAAGGGACAGACCGACAGAGTAGGAAGATAAGCAAGGTTTGAAATAGCCAGAACTTAAAGAAATCTAAAGCAAGAAGTGTATACCTGCGGAATTATGTTTTTCTCCATGACGTCTTTGAAAAGAGGAGGCGGAGGCAAATCCAGCCCAAGCATCAGAAAAGGCATCCTGGAGATTTCTTTGTTTTCATTGCCTTGATACTCTCGCACAACCTCCAACTCACCCTGTAATGGTTAGCAGGTTACATGATGAACATGCAGCTTTTTGCAAGAAATTATATCAAACTACATTATGTTGACGTGTCAAAGGACGGACACATACCTGGAAGCACTGGTGGATGATACTGCTGGCGTCCTTTGAAGTTCTAAGATCCATGTGCAAAGTGTTGAGGAGCCACGATATAAACTCCACTGGATCTGACTGTTGACCTATCCTGAATCGTTTCTTGCTAGCTTTCATAACAGCTTGCAAGAATTCATGTGGACTCACCTGTTGACGCAATGTAACTTCAATTAGCAAGGTCCTCAATAGGTGAGGGCTTGAAAAAACACTAAAAAAAAGTGAAAGGTATGAATTGAGTCAAACCTGTCCTTTAAAGTTTCGAGCATGCCAAATCTTTCGGGTGAGTTCCCCAAATCGGTGAACAAGAGGAGACTTGCAATGCTGATAGTTCTCGGGAATAAGGAAAAAGTTCCTTAAGGGAGTAACTCTCATCAACGATTGGATTGTAACATTCACAAACTCTGTCTTTTGAATGTTGTTCAACCCCACCTAAATGTATACATACAAGGTTAAAGTACCTTTAGAAAACAAACTTACTCAAAGATCAACTGTGTTCAAGAAGAGAGGATTACCATTCCTGGAAGATAGTCAGAGCCATCAAGAGCCCTAGACCACTGCCTATTCTTGTCAAGCTCTTCAACTTGTGCCCTACTAAACCTGTAAATGGATAGCACCAACGCCTTGATAAGAAGGAACTGAAAATACAATTGGTAAAAAGAAAGAAACATTGAGAAAAGCATGAAAGAAGAGTTATATGTTCAAGTTAACATAAAAAAAACATATAAAACAGGTGTGGCTAATGATACATAGAACTAGCAAGAAGAAGCTGAGTGAGACAACAGTCAAAAAGACATCCTTTTGCTACTCAAGTGTAAAAGCTCAGACTTTAACAAATCAATGCAGGTAGGAAAAGAGTTTGAACAAGGCACGCATACACATACCTTGGGTTTAAGACATGTCGAATGTCATCCAAAGAAGGGTCATTGATCTCGTAGCTATCAGGAAGACAATACACTTTCTCAGTCAAAAGATTGATGTAAACGTGGTGTCCTGCTTCCAAGCTATGTGTATAAGCATGAGACTTCTGGCTCCTTCCTTGGAAGTACTTCCCGCAAACAAGACACGCATACACATTCAAATTCGACAATGACACAGAGCAAAACCTCTCGAAATCGAAATCCAAGACCTGGAATTTTTTAGATCATAAGAGATGAATTTTAGAAGCTCAAATCCCAAAACAATAAACATGATGAGCTCGGCAGAAACATAATCGTCGATCATAGATTATATATACATTACAAGTATCAAAAGCGAGATAATGGTTCACTAGGATGATTTACCTGACGATTAACGGTATCAAGATAAGGGCAATCACGACGAACTTCAACATTGCGTAAATGTTTTCCACGACCCTTCGAGGCCTCATCTTCTTCATCATCTTCGTCGTCATCGACCTTCTCTTGACCTTCTTTGTTCCCATTTCCCTCCCCTTTCGCAGCTCCATTTCCCTGCTCTCCACTGCCAAGAGCTTGCGATTTTCTCTTTTCGTCTTCCACTACCTCATCATCGTCATCGTCTGCATTCGCCAGCGGCAACAGAGGGTTACTGAAACCCAGTGGTGGAGGTGGCGAAGCAGACCGTTCCGTCACTCTCTTCCGCTTCGCCTCTCTCTCTACCTGAGAATCACCATTCTTGACTTCTCTCTCACTTTTCATCCTCAAAATTCCTTTACACAACTTGCTTCAAAACCCTAGAACACAGGAAAACCAGCGACACAAGAAGATCCTCAACCAAAAAAAGCAATGATTCTTCCAAATCTACGCCCTATAAGACTAGACTTCAAATCACAAGAGTCGATTGTCGTCAATCTAATCGAGTGTATCCCTCATACACAAATTTTCCCGAGAAAATTCTGAAATTCGCCACTATGCATCTAAAACCTTCAAGAGCCCGACTCTAATAATCTCCGGGCAACAGATTCACTCGCTCTTCTAAGGCTTTATGTTACTTATTGGGCCTTATTGGTCTAGCCCAATATCAATAGTAAAGTACAGATTAATATTTAGTATTGTTTTTTAATCCAACATTTACTTATTTTTTGTTAAGACAGATCATTTTATTTGTCAATAAAAAATCTGCATTTTTGTTGTCAGATTCACGATCCGAGATACTGATCAAATTTCCATCAACACCCTCAAGCTTCTCGAAACAAACAACAGTAAACGCGTCAAAAATCACAGGGGATATATTCGACATTTACGTCGAGTAAAGAGATGGATTAAGTTACAGCCAGCTGGCTTAGGAAGTAAAAGCAATCATATTATAAAACGACGATAATACCCTCTACCAATAAGCCTTAAACACCATGACTCACAAGGGTAATATCGACATTAAACCTCAGTTGATAAAGCAAAACCAACCTAGAAGGGTATATTCGTCATTCCTTAAGTTATAAAGAGAGAGAGACAGAGAGACGAAGAAGAAGAGAGAGAAAGAGACAAGGGTAGAGAGAGAGAGAGAGAGAGAGAGGAAGCAAAGGAAAAAGGAGAGGATAAGAGAGAGAAAGAGCTTTTTGTTGTTGTTGTTGTTGTTGTTCCTGTGGGGTATTTGTTTTTTTTTTTTTTTTTTTTTCTTTTTTTGTTGTTCCTCTGCTATATGAAAAAAAAAAGCTTTGAATTCTCTTCTTCAATGGTGTCGGACCAGGATCTAGCGAAAGGAGTCGAGACTTTGCTCCGGCAATCCGACCCTAGCTCTCTCACATCTGTAAACAGTGTTGTTCAGCAGCTCGAGGCCAAGCTAGGGTTAGACCTCACGGAGAAGACGAGTTTCATCAGAGACCAGATCAACATCCTCCTCCGTGCTCACCCAACAGCCTCCGCCTCCGCCTCCGCATCAACCGTACAACCTCCGCCGCCGCTGTCTCCTCACCAGCACCACCAGCAGCAGCAGCAGCACCAGCAGCAGATGCATTCCGGCGTCAACGTTCCGGGGAAAGGACATTTTACACTTCACCACCCGTCTCAATTCTCTCCTTCGCATTTGCAGCAGTATCCTCCCCATTTCACTCTACAGCCTCCGTACCACTCTTATGACCTCAATTTCCGGCAGCCGTATCCGCCTTACATGCCGCCGCAGCAGCAGCAGCAATCTCCGCGGCAGGGACCTTCTTCTATGCTGCTTCCACAAGGCGCCAACGCTGCTCACTCTGTTGCTCAATCCCCAAAAGAAAGGTCCGTTTTTTTAGGGTTTGCATTTCTGTAATTTGGAGCTTAATGTTGGTAATCTTTCCCAATGTCGCTCCGATTGCAGTAATTAGAGGGTTTCCTTTTTGGGAATGTCTAAATCTAGAGGTCAATTTTGTTCATTTACTTGTTTTTCGATTCACATTCCCATGTTTAAAATGATCAATCAGTGATATATTTAGCAGATTGATACACCCACAACTCTATTATAGCTATTTAACTGGACTTTTCTTTCAACATTTTATCTCACTTTGCCCAAAATATCAAGCTTTTTTATCCAAAACGTGTAAAATTTGATACGTGAATGCAAATTATATGACTTTGGTGTTTGTAAACTTTTTCACATTGCAGTGCTCCTACTGGAACTAAAAGAAAGGGTGGTCCTGGAGGACTGAACAAAGTCTGTAGGGTTTCTCCAGAACTTCAAGTCGTTGTTGGTGAACCTGCGCTTCCGAGAACTGAGGTTAACAACCGTCTTGTATTCACCATTTATGACAATGTGTGAAGGTGTAGAAGCAATATGGGTTTTGTTATTAAAGTGTTGATCTTTTTTTTTTTTGTGGCTTTTGGTTTTCAGATTGTGAGGCAATTGTGGGCTTACATAAGGAAGAACAACCTGCAAGACCCGAGTAACAAGCGGAAGATCATCTGTGATGATGCGTTGCGTGTGGTCTTCGAGACTGATTGCACTGACATGTTCAAAATGAATAAGTTGCTTGCTAAGCATATTCTCCCGCTTGATCCATCAAGTAAATGGTTTCATTACAAGCGTTTTTTTTTCCTTTAGCTCAAAATCCAAATGTTCTTGGTTTAGTTCAATGTTACTGACTGTTTTCAAATCCTCTTTTGGACAGAGGACTCTGGTCAAGCGAAACGGGCAAAAGCTGAGGTGGAGACTAAGACTGAGGCCGAGACTGAGTCGACCACAGAGCCTGTTAGTTCGACTGTTGCGTTATCTGAGCCGCTTGCTAAGTTCTTTGGCACTGGTGAGACAGAGATGACAGATGAAGAGATTATTCGCCGTGTTTGGGAATACATAAAGCTCAACAATTTAGAGGTGGGTGCTGAAGTAACAAGCGTTTCACATTTCTGTATGTTTTAGATCTTTTTGAATGTCCATAAACGAGAAAGCTAAGCACTGTTTACTCTACTTCCACAATATTTTTTTACAGGACCCGGTAAATCCGATGGCTATTCAGTGCGATGAAAAGCTCAGAGATCTTCTTGGATGTGAAAGCATTTCAGCTGTGGGGATAAATGAGATGATGAGGCGCCATATGTACAAGCGGTCTTGATATATCCTCTGGTTTTGACTTAATTAACTAGGAACTACTAGTGTAAGTCAAGTTATCGATTTCACAGATTTTATGATATAGTTTATCAGCATTATCCGAAAAAAAAACTGGGGATTGACTTGTGTATAACAATTCTCTTGCAGGTGTATCTAGGGAACCTAAACCTACTGATGGATGACTCGTGGGGGTGTAGAACTATGATAGGGAAGAAACGAACATTTTCACTTTTTAACTCCCTTTTTAATGCTATTTTCATCTTCCCTTTTGGGTATCTTTGTATTTTAGTTGGTTGTGTATCGAAATGTTTAGGTTGATATCGTATTTTCAGGAAATCTCTGTGATTTTCTAGTACTGAAAAACTCTAGTGTATGGGTTATAAATGGCGTAGATGTTTTGTATTTAACGCCATTTTCCCATGAATGTTTTAGGAACAAAAAAAGGTAAAAAAACCAATGTGTTTAATGTTTTCCCGGTTGGAAATATTTGCATTCTACTGATAGAAAAAAAAAGGTAATTAATCTTTTCTTACATATTATGTTTTTGATCAAAATCTTGGTCGGGTGAAGTAGAAAGCGGCTGCAGCAAACAAGAGAAGAGAAAGTAAGAGAAGTGTCATTGCGTGTTTCCTTATGTTCTCTAGTGGTCTCAAGTAAGTGACTATCTTCTCAGCCAAGCTGACTCCAAACGCCATAGTTCTCTGCAACATAAGGTCAAAAAAAAACGATGAACAACCAAATAGCTTAGTGACATGGTGCGATATACTAATAATAATCAGGCTTACTAGTCTTAGAGGCTCTATGTGAAAGATTGGCTCCATGAACATCTCTACATTCCTGCATTGTTTTGGTTATAAGATGGTCAATTGGTCATGATCAAACCAAAATGAAAACCGAGTTTAGACCGGAATGATTACTGACTTTATCAACAGCTTTCCTTGATAGATATGGCAAATGTGGAAACTAAATCCCTTCCCCAATTGGATTTGTGGTTTCTCCCATTCTGCGGCATTACAGGTAAACCGTTCAGTCGGATTGGCCAGTTAGGTGTGGTTTGGTCTTTTTACGATTAGGTAAAATCATGGTCTATATATGGCAGAATTGTGTCGGTTATCAGTTAACCGGATTTAAATTGTTGGGAGGGGAGAGACTAACCGAGTTGCCATTGAACACCAATGGTCATGCCATCTTTGGACGTTGGTTTAACAACAATCTTGATATCTTTCCCCAGCTTCATCATCAACCAGTAGAAGAAAGCCATCACTTGCTGCGATCATAAAAGATCATATTAACCTTATAACATACAGATTTCGAAAATTAAGATTTATCAAAAAGAAAAGGTTATTAAGATACCAAAAATGCTTACCTTCTTGCCTTGTAAGAGTCGATAAGTGGATAAAAAATTGCAAAAGCATTGGCATTCATCTCCAATAACTTCTGAAATTCCATCAATGTTCCGGTCCTTAATATCTGAGTATAGTTTTAGAACTACTTCCTCCACTCCATAGTCTTCTTTATCGTCTTGATCCTCTTTCTCTTCAGTCTCATCCCTATCATCTTCATCCTCTTCCCTATCATCGTCATCTTCCTCTCTCTCTTCCCTTTCTGCTCCTAATTTTCTTGCCCTCGTCTGATGTTTCAAAGTCTTTTGGTTTGAGTGTGACCGGTCCAATCGAAAACTCTGATTGACACAAATCTTGCGAGTCGTTGATAATATTTGGAAACTTTTCGCGTAATAATCTGAGCGTGAGCTATATATCCTTGCATATAGTTTAGATGAAACAGTTTGCGTAATAGGCATAAACGAGGATGCCATTGTTTATTAGATTGGAGTGGTTTTGCTGATTAATTTACATAACATTACAATACTTCATAAAACGTTTTGTGAAAGAAGAAAGATTTCATTCGTGTATAAGTAAACCAAGTGTTGAAGACACGAATCAATGAATGTTTTAGTTTGTTGGACAAAGCAAAGCGATTAAAGAATGCAACAAAATACAACAAATGTGGCAAGGTAAAGAATCTTTTTACTATCTCAATGGGCCTTAACTAGATCATTAAAGGGTCATAAATGGATCTTTAGTGGACCACAGAAGAGCCCATTGTCAATTTTATTTGTACTAACTTGCAGAATGATGTTTCAAACTCTCAACACAACCTGGAGTTCCATTGCATTAATAAAAGTAAAATTGTCAAAATACAAACTTCAAATGACTAAGATTCATGAATTCTTTTTGTTTAGTTGCACAAAAACACTTCAGTCAGAGCCTTTCCACAAACTGCAGAGACTCTTCATACCAAGAACAACTCACTTAGATGAGGAGCTTCTCTATAGCATCCTTGAGCTGCTGAATCTGTGATTTCAACTGGCTTGCCTCGTTCGATGTTACCGAACAAGCAATCACGGGTCTTGTTACACCGCATGCTCTTCCCAACGCTTGTTTCGAAGGTACAAACACATACGGCACATTCTGCAAATTTTCCATAGAAACATAACAGAGGGGTTTAGTTCAAAAGCCGAGTAGATAATGATGTGTGATACCTAGTTCATAAGACTTGTGAAGCACATAGCTAAAAGCTACAAAAGCTAATGATGGCATGTGTTCTTCAAGAGTGAATTTGAAGTTACATTCTTGTGACACTGCATACTCCAAGAACTCGATAGATAAGACGATTCAATTATTGACCAAATCGATTCAAACAGATAACGTTTTCATGAAACAATCCAATAAAGAAAAGTACTTTCAACACAAAATGCAAGAAGACATACAGCTAAGAATAGCTTCTTAGGCGTCTGAGAATCCTGAGAAATCTACACAACCACCCAAATTTGACAAACATGTACCTAACTAGAGCTCAAATATTCAAAATCTCGAAAATTCAATCTAATATCTATATAACTATACAGAAGCTGCTCTCTGACGCAAAAGACTAGCTCCAGAAGAACCAAACAATGCTAATTGATATTTTTTTGATGAATCATGCTGAATAAGAGAAAGGGAAGAGATGAGAACCTTATCTTCGGCAAGCAAAGGAAGATGAAGAAGGATCTCGAGGGGCTCTGCATCGGCAGCCATAACCACGAACTCAGAGATCCCACGGTTCAATGTCTTGGTAGCTTCATTAGCTCCCTTCTTGAGCTGCTTGTAGTTAGTCGCCTGTTGAACAAGATCCAGGATCGTTATCGATAGCTGAGAATCAGCTAGCGGATACGCCTTAGGGTTCACTGCTTCAACCGTCATCTTCGTCTTCGAGCTCAGAGAACAAAAGTGACGAGACGACTAAGGAATTAGGGTTTAAAAGTATTTGAAGGAGAAGGTTAGAAAATGGCTCCGCACTTAACCGACTTTATTTCGGTTCACTTCGATTTCGGGTTCTTAAAGTCCGGTTCGGCTGAAACTAAAATTAATTTCGGTTATTTCTATCTTATTTGGTTGATTCAGTTTCGTTATTTCGGTCCAACTTGGTTAAGTCAGTTCATCGTCATCGTCGGATTCTCGATTCCTTTGATCGTTATTCTTTCTGGATCGAGCTCAGAGAAAAGTGAGGAGGAAGAGATAACTTTGAAGAGGAAATCTCCAAGTGAGAAAAGAAGGTTGAAGAGACTAATCAATGGCGGAAGATCTAGTTCTCGACACGGCGATCAGAGACTGGGTTCTGATCCCTCTCTCCGTCGTGATGGTTCTCATTGGTATTCTTCGCTACTTCGTCTCCAAGCTCATGCGTTCTTCTCCAACTCCCGATGCGAAGATGGTCAAAGAAGGGTGAGTCTTCTTTTTGCTCACTTATCTGTAGATTGCTTGTCAGGATTAGCTGATTTTGGATTCTCATGTGTTTGGTTTGCCAGACAAGTTGTAATTAGGGCTCGGCATCTAAAGGCCGGTGCCAATTTTATCCCGCCGAAATCTTTCCGAGCTCGGAGATTCTACTTCAGCAACGAGGTATGCTTTGTGGGATTTTTGGCCTTTCTTATTTGAGAGAATTTGTTAATTCTGTGACGTAATTTATCTGTTGTGTGGTTCATTGAAACTTTCAAATTTTCTCTGGCTTCATGAGCTTATAGTTTTATTCCCTCTGGTCTGTTTTGTTCTTTGGTACGTAATTAAATATTGTGTTTGTCAAACATAGTTTTAGTTCCTTGTGATAATCAAGCTTTTGCTCGTTAAGAGCTTATTATGAAAACATGTTAATGCACAAAAGGTTCTGGCTTCTGGGATTAGGTGTGAGCTATGATTGTGTAGAATCAGCTGTCTTCTCATCATATGATTCATATATATTTATGAAATTACTGTTCTTTACTAGTTCCTAGTTACTAAAGGTGAAAGCTTTAAGCTTCAATTTCCATTCGTATATAAAGTTTCTCTTTTTTGCTTGAGACAAGATTGTAGTGTACTAGAAACGTTACCAGCTCTATGCCTCTATCGTTTCTCAGTAGTCAGTAGTATAATTTGTGTGCCATGTACTCAGAAATAAGTGCTGCTTGCTTGATGTAGGAAAATGGATTGCTACATGTTCCCAAGGACCAAGCTCAAAACCCTCAAGCGCAGATGTTTTCTGATCCTAACATGGCCATGGATATGATGAAGAAAAATCTGTCGATGATTATACCGCAGGTAAAGCAAATTTGAACTCATCTCTCTTGACTCTTGGTGTTATTAACTAGGAAACTGATGAACTCTACCATCTTCCAGACGCTCACTTTTGCTTGGGTCAACTTCTTCTTCTCTGGATTTGTTGCAGGTTTGTTTCTCTTTAGATATCATTTCCCCATCTTATCCTTGTTTAGCTTCACAAACACATTAACGACGAATCACATTGTTTGCCTTTGCTCTAAAGTTTATGCAAGGCCATAGCATCTGAAACCTCCTAATCTTTATCTTACAGCCAAGATACCATTTCCGCTGACTCAGAGGTTCAGGTCAATGCTACAGAACGGGATCGACTTGAGCACTGTCGATGTTAGCTATGTGAGCAGCCGTTCATGGTATGCATTTAGTTACAACATATAGATTAGTTTTATGCAGGTTTTGTTTATATCTCTTGTTTCATTGAGCTGTGTGTTCTTCCATCTCTTCAGGTACTTCTTGAACTTGTTCGGATTAAGAGGCTTATTTAGTCTCATTCTTGGAGATGAAAATGGTTAGTGTTCACGCACTCACTGATTTTGAGCAATCTCATTTTCGTGGTGAATATTGTTTAGTCATTGCAAGTTCTCTGTTTCTTATGCAGCGATTGATGATACACAACGAATGATGCAAATGGGTGGATTTGGTTTTGATGCATCAAAGGTAATATATATAATAAGCTACTTCTTGATCCGGCATGATATGACCATTCTTTTTTCTCGCATCAGTTCATAGACTCATTTGGCTTCTAAATACATTTTTAAGAGTTTCTTGAGTTAGATCCTACAATATTCGTCCAAACCTGATTTTGTATCGTTGCATTTGCAAATTGGTCTCAGAGCCTGAGCGCTGAGAAGGATGGTCTCGACATTATCCAACATGAATGGGCGCTACCGCGATTCGAGCACCGAGCAGAATCCGTTTTGAGAAAACTCGTGAAGTAAGAGACGAGAGATTTTAATTTATGTATGATTTGGTTTAAATCTCTAGTGTTTACAAATATCAGATGGTTCAATCTACTTCAGTTCAGCTCTGGTTATGATATGGTGCTTATGATCTGATGCTGCATATGAAACCAATAAAGCTTTTGAGAGATTGTTTGTCCAATAAGTTTTGCTTCCACTTTGCAAGTTAGATTCAACATACGGAATTATCTCAACCACTTCAATTACAGATATAATCTAAATGAGATTTTCGATAACAACCAAAACAGTAATGAGCTTAGAAGGAGAGAGGATAGAGGATAGAGGATTTGAGGAGGGAGAAAGAAAATGAGTGACAAAGAAGACAAAAACAGAACAATGTGTTCAATGCTCATGTAATGAAAGATTTTAGAGCAAAAGCTCCATGTATTATAAAAGATGAAATCCAAGATATAAAGCCTCACGCCAATATATGAAAAGCCTTGATACGCACTTACATAACATTCATGTTCTCCACAAAGTCAAGAAAGGCCTTAACAGAAGTAAAAGAATGATTATCAAACTCTTCAAATCCCTGAATCTTGACACTTGTTAAAGTGTTCCTCTCGAGATTGTCGAAGACAACGTAGGAAGGGAATGACTGACCGTACGATGACCACACAATTTCACCTGAAGCAGTCATTCCAACAAATTCGTAACCGGCGTGGACTATCTTCTCCACCAAAGAAGGCAACACGTAGACATGCTTGACCCATTTATGATTTGCAGCATCTTCAAGAACCCACAACCCAACTTTTCCATGCCGAGATGTATAATCCAAATGTGCCCCAAGTTTACCTTTGTAGTTGAACAAAGTCAAAGATTGCTCTAGCCTCATGCCTTTATCTGTGTTAATAAAGCTGAACTTCTCAGACCTGACGTCGAAGCAAACTATCACAGAAGATCCTCTGGGCGGCACACCTCCGAAATACAAAACGCCATTCAAGCATACTTGACCGTTGATTACACCAGACCCTTGAAAATAAAACTTGCATCCTTCGATCGCTCTCCACGCACGTCTTCGAGGCTCCAAAGTCAAAACCTGATGAGTGTTGGGTCTTTTATCGCGTGATGTCGTCATGCACAACACTTTGAACTGTTTTGTGACTGGATCGTAGCCGAGATACATTTTTGCAACCTTCGTGGGGTTGCTCTTATTAGGTTTCACTTTGGGTAAGTTTTTAGGTTTTAGAAGCACTTTGGGTAAGGTTATAAACTTTCCCGTGGCAGGGTTACAAATCACCCGAATCTTTCTTCTCCATCCATGAAGCAAGACCAATCCACGTACCGAGGTACAGTCATAACACGGTCCGTACGGAAGATACTTGGGGTAAGAGATATGATAAGGGGTGGCTACAAGACTAGAGTTTTCGCTTGGATTTTGAGGCTGAGGTGAAGAGAAGAAGGATAACTTTTCATCCCTTGAGAAGGCGAAAAGGAGGCGTGGAGGAGTCGTGGATGACCTAGTGAGAAACAGCTCGGTGAAATAAGGACCACGAAGCATTGATTCCCATGATTTCGATACGCAACAAAACCTGTCTACAGACTTTTCCGGAAGTCTCGAGAGTATATCGATGAGTAGATCGTCTATGTTGGCTCTGAGCATTCTCTTACCGAGTTTGGAGATTGTGTTTCATGTCTGGAGGTGGTGATCGATTGGTTCTCCGAGCGCTGCTGCTCCAGATTTTTCATGGCGGATTCTACAAACCTTAGAATCTCCCTAGTTCTTTAAGACGAACGAAGCCCTAGATTTCGAGTGGCTTTATATGCAAGAATCCTAGATGGGCTCTATTAGGCCCAATACATCCTAAATGGATTGATGATGATGATGATACACAACCAATGATGCAAATGGGTGGATTTGGTTTTGATGCATCAAAGGTATAAGCAACTTCTCCATCCGGCGGCATGATTTGACCATTCTTTTTTTCTCGCATCATTTCATAAACTCATATGGCTTCTAAATACATTTTAAGACTTTCTTGAATCACCATCATAACTACAATCTTGGTCCAAACCTGATTTTGTATCTTTGCATTTGCAAATTAGCCTCATAGCTTGAGTGCTGAGAAAGATGGTCTCGACATAATCCAACATGATTTGCTTCCATTTTGCAAGTTAGATTGAGCATATGGAATTATCTCAACCAATTCAATTACAGTATAATCTAAATGAATTTTTCAATAACAACCAAAACAATGATGAGCCTATAAGGAGAGAGGATAGTGAATTTGAGGAGGGAGAAAGAAAATGAGTGACAAAGAAGACAAAAATAGAACAATGTGTTCAATGCTCACGTGATGAAGAAACTTAGATGTATTATAAAGATGAAATCCAAGAAGATATAAAGCCTCACGCCAATATATGAAAACCTTGATACGCACTTACATAACATTCATGTTCTCCACATAGTCTAGAAAGACCTTAACAGAAGGAGAATAATGATCATCAAACTCTTCAAATCCCTGAACCTCGACACTTGTTAAAGTGTTCCTCTCGAGATTGTACAAGACAACGTAGGTAGGTTCTGATTGCTCGTACGATGACCACATAATTTCACCTGTAGCAGCAGTCACTCCAACAAATTCGTAACCGGCGCCGACAATCTCCTCCACCCGAGAAGGCAACACGTAGACATGCTTGGCCCATTTATGAGTTGCAGCATCTTCAAGAACCCACAACACAATTTTTCCATACTGAGATGTATAATCCTCATGTGCTGCAAGTTTACCTTTGTAGTTGAACAAAGTCAAGCGTTGCTCTACTTCCATGTCTTGATCTGTGTTAATAAAGCTGAACTTCTCAGACCTAACGTCGAAGCAAACTATCACACAAGATCCACTGGACTCATTTCCGAAATACAAAACGCCATTCATGCATACCTGACCTTTGATTACACCTTCCCCTTCAAAATAAAACTTGCATCCTTCGATCGCTCTCCACGCACGTTTTCGAGGCTCTAAAGTCAAAACCTGATGAGTGTTGGGTCTTTCATCGCTTGATGTCGTCATGCACAACACTTTGAACTGTTTTGTGACTGGATCATAGCCGAGATACATTTCTGCAACCTTCGTGGGGTTGCTCTCAGGTTTCACTTTGGGTAAGTTTTTCGGTTTTAGAAGCACTTTGGGTAAGGTTATGAACTTTCCCGTGGCAGGGTTACAAATCACCCGAATCTTTCTTCTCCTTCCCTGAAGCAATACCAATCCACATACCGAGGTACAGTCAGTATGGTACGGAAGATATTTGGGATAAGACATATGGCAAGGAGTGGCTACAAGACAAGAGTTTTCGTCTGGATTTTGAGGCTGAGGTGAAGAGAAGAAGAAAAACTTTTCATCAGATGCCACGGCGAAAAAGAGGCGTGGAGGAGTCGTGGATGACCTAGTGAGAAACAGCTCCGTGAAATAAGGACCACGAAGTATTGATTCCCAGGATTTCGATACGCAACGAAACCTATCTACAGACTTTTCCGGAAGTCTCGAGAGTATTTCGATGAGTAGATCAGCTATGATTGGCTCTGAGAATTCTCTTACCGAGTTTCGAGATTGTGTTTCATGATGCTTCAGACTTTTCATCGCGAAATTTTTACAAGATCTCGAATCGCCTCAGTGCTTTAGGTGCACGAAACCCTAGACTTCGGCTTTCTTTCTTTCGTTCCTTGGATTTCTAGTAACTTTTACATGCAAGAATTATATATGGGCTCTATTAGGCCCAATATTTATAAATAGCCTCTCTTAGGCCCAAGACATACTAGCTTGTGACTTTATTATTGCGACTAAAGAAGACAAAAACAGAGAAACAGCTTCTCCTTCATCGCACGGCAGGTTTTTGACATCATCCGGTCATTGAATATTCTCAGCCGTCTCCGCCTCCCGGAGAAACTAACTCACCACGACCTTTACGTTTATCAATACATTCAATTTTGAGATTGTGAAAGCTCTCTCTGTTTCTATAAATTGTGTAACTAAAAGTTGCAGGATATGCTGTTGTGTAACTATGTAATCGCGTTGTGTATTTGTGCAGTGCAGATTATATTGATCTTGTGGTTTAATCAGTGTTATACGCTTCACTTTCACCCACTGTTCCTTCAAGGATTGTCATAGTGTTTGGTGTCATAAGATTAAGAGGACGAAGGGCCTGGTCGTGTGAGCAAATATAAAACATTATTGCTCATCAAAGTATCTTGATTCTCGAATGTTTTTTATCAAAGAAACTATATTAGTCTTGATTTTATTACATCGGTATGTTTGTGTATCAATTACATCTAAATGTCGTGTTTGGTCGCGAAACAACTACCACATAGAAAGAGCACATATCTTCTACATACAATACACACACTAATCGCATACACTGGTTAAGAGGGTTAGTATTAACATCTCCTATGGGATTTTGATGAAGTTGCTTAAAGCCATATCCTTTCCGTTTTCGCCTGAAACATCATGAAACAGTCAGATTTTAGATAAACTCCTGAAAAATTATCAAAGTTAATCTATGATGGTGACTCAACTTCCAATGATACATCCATGTTAACATTAGAAATCTCAGAAAACAGAAGAAGACGAGACTTACTCAAATGATACCAACGAGAGAGATACACTCATTACTAGATTCATCACAGTTACCTTGTATAGGTTTGTGTTTTCTTTTATAAAGTTTCCTTGCTTTGCTCATAACACCAGCTTGAATCCCTGAGATAGAAAATCATCCCTGAAGATGTAACATAATAAAAGATGTTTGAGCATATTGTTATATTTACCCTTACTGTCTTAAACCACACATCAAAATGAACAGAGATGAGTATCCAACCTCTTATTACTCTGCTGCATAAGTTCATCTTCTCGAGCTTGACGCTCTTTTCGTCGCTCAACTTCATTAGGATCTCCTCTACATCCCAAAACAAGGCTACTCACAAGTAGCTCTGCGCTATACGAGCTATCACAGTCTTTTATCCTAAGCTTCCTAAACCTCTTACTCCCCAAATCAAACCACACGAGCTTCGCATTGTTTATCTCCAGCAAGATCTTGTCCCTGTCTTTAGAATAAAGCAGAGGTCTCATAAAGTCAAAAGACTCCACACTCTTTGGTTTCGGAACTCTAAACAGTTTACTCCAAGATCCTTCGACTTTATACTCCTTCATGATCCAAACATCGACATAGCTAAACTCGTGGTTACACATCAAACAAAGACACCCATCCAACACACCTATATCGATGTTCTCGTGAGCAAGAGACTCCGGGAAATCGAGAATCTCGAACTCCTCAGAGGCAAGATCGAATCTTATGATGGTGTTGAAAGCGATGAGCCCAGGCCTTCGCGGCAAAACCCAGTGGAGACTATTGCTAGCTAAAACGCCGTACCCACGACGGTACAAGAGATGGTAATAGAAGTAGAAGAGCAGCTGAATCGCCGGAATCACTCTTTTGATTCTCTTCCACGAGTTCTTCTTCAAGCTGAACACTTTGATTTCGTAAGGGAACCCGAAAACAAGCTCATCGGCTCTGCCTCCTTTGCACTGAATCATCCTCACCACTTTGTAATCTTCGTTCACCGAATCGTAACCGAACCCGTAAAACACGTACCCGCGAGTCGTCGAGCCTTCCGGGAAATCGACAAGCTCAGCCGGTAACCGGTGGATTTGTCGGGTCGACGGATTGAACAGAGCCATGTCTGTCGGCGAGTTAGATAAACCGACCAAACCGTTGCAGGAACCGAAAACCTCCGTTAGACCGCCGGATTTCAGGGGATGCTCGACGTCGGAGACTTTATCAGGCGAGTCGATGTCCACCGTACAGAGAAGGCGAGGGCCTCGAAGCAAGATCATGAGGTGATCTCCGGTTTGGAGTGTGTGATTGAGATGCGATTCGATGAAATCGGGACTGTCGATCAGAGAGAAGCAAGGCTTCGAGAGGACTCGGAATCGGACTAGCGTCGACGCCGGGAGACGGAGGAATAAGTCGGTGATGATATCCATCGGAATATTCGCCATTTTTTTTTTTCCTCTCTCCAAAGCTCAGATTTTTTTTTTTCCTCGAGAAAAATGATGGAAAGAGAGCGTATTTGAGTGATTTACAGTGACTGACTGAGAGAAGACGCTCAGATTCAGCTTTCGAGATAATATTTTCAGGATAATGCGATAAAAAAAAAGAAGACAATACGTTATTACACAAACTGTTTTACATTCAATCAATCAAACTGTAAGAAAGTATTGTCCGATCCAAAAGAAAGAAAAAAAAGGGATTGTATTTTTAGAATTTACATGATACAATATTTTTTTCCACACATTATTTTTTTTTTAGTTTTGTTACTTTTGTTCCTAATCTGTTGCCCATGATATTTTTTTTTATACTTGCTTTTTCGATTTTTTATCCTTCTTGACTCTTTGAAGTCTTGATAAATGCTGTTGAGATTTTTCTATTCAAAAAATCTATTTTTTCGGAAAATATAATATTGGGCTGGGCCTTTAGACATGTTTCTAATTGTTTACTTTTTGGTCTATATATATGGCTAATGAGGCCCAATATTTGAAGATTACATTTTACAAACTAATTTGACTTTTGGATAAGTTTAAAATTTTGAACAAGAAAAAAAAGGATAAGTTTAAAATATCCTTTCGAAAATGAAAAAAAAAGGAAGAAAATATTAGCTTGGAATTTTGGATGCGAAATTTTCAAATTATATAGGAAACAAACAACAACAATAAGAAAAAATTAAGGAGAAAGTGTAATATTAACATCGAGAATTTAGCATATGTCTTGGAACTAGCTATATACGCATAAGGCATAACCTCTAAAATCTGGCTCCACTTGCATATATGTTCTTTGGAATCCATCCATTAGACCACTATTACTACGTCACTTAGTTCACTCTGCAATGTAATGTTTATATACATGCTTAATCAAATATATATATATATATATATATACCATATATATAATTGTATTTATTCGGGTTATATACTAAGTCTATAGATTTTAATTTGTAAAAAAACTGATTTTTCTTTAAATTAATGGACCAACCTTTAAGTAAAAGAAAAGTTATAATAATCAAATTGGGCTGAAAAAAGCCAAAATGAGTTCACGGGAGAGACCGCATACATGCATATAATTTACGTGATAAAGGAACACAAATCTATATAATTGATGTGATATATTTATTAAAGTCATAAACCTCTAAAAATCATATTATTGTAGTTGGATTTATCTTAATTCGGGCTATAAAATAAGGTTGAACATGCCAAAGATGGTTCACGGATAGCGTCTAGTGGCTACGGATGTGATCTGAAATCGGATTATTCTACTTCCACATGATTTCATTATTAATTGTATTGGTGGCTGAAAAACATTCTCCTTTTCTGACACGTGGCAGTTACGTCAATGATGGGTTGGAACAACTAAAGCCATGAAGGTGACAATAAGCCAAGAACGTAACTACGACGACTAAAGTAAGACCAGGATTGTTTCTTGCCATTTCCGTTTAAATTTAGGTTTAATAAAGAGGTTGACCAAATATATCTATAGTCATGACCTTGAAGGCAGCAAACCAAAATATTAGATTATACACATCATATCGATTGCTCGATCGTAAAACTTGAGTCACTCAGACATTTTCTTTGAATTGTTACGTAATTTCCACTCTATTGTGCCCATTTTTACGCATCAAGAATTATTCGACGATTGATAACATACCAGTGTGGCAGTGTTTCTATATTTCGTAATGTTATTGATGTTGAGAAACATCTTTCTTATTTCACAATTCAATATTTCATGACAACATCCAAACTTGTAAAATCAAACTTCACCAAATGTAATTGATGTGTAGACGATATTAGTTGTTAATTAATAACAATATTTTTTAGAAAGAACTAATAGCACTATTGAGCTTGTGATATCCACTCGTTTGCCTAAACTTTAAGTTTCCAAATTTTCCCAACGTACGTATGCTACTTAATATACAACGCTCACGGGTCAAACATTTGTTGCTTAATTGTAAATATTCATTAGAAATAATAGGTTTATGTGTTACAAAACGTGTTAACGATTTAATCTATCTAAAAAGATTGGTTCCATAGCAAAAAAGGATAAAAAACATAAAAGCAAAAGCAATCAGTCTTTTGTCGATTCAGTTGCAGTGAAGCAATGATATACAAAGAAGTGATAGTGAACACTGAAGGCACTCAAAATGTTGACATAATTAATTATCTTATCTCGTATTTAGTAACCCGAGGAAAATTATAAATTGACAAGAGTATTTGATACTACTAATAGACACTGAAAATGTTGTCATGAAAAGACCTTGATAGATAAATAAAAACCATGTTGACAGAAAATAAGAAGAAACAAATCATTAAATATTTTATTCAACAGAAAAAAATGAACAGATTACAAGGAGCTCTCGCGATACAACAAAAAGAAAACAATACAAACCCACTGATGATTCATGAACTTCACCAATTCAAATAAACGAGGACAAAAGAACACATAAGGATTAAAAAATTCATTCATAATTCGTAACTTATATATGGAAAAGTGTTTGATTTCAAGGGCATTGGAAACCACGTGGTGCCTTTCTGCTGCAAACATTGAGAAGTAAGCTAAGGTCGATGGGAAGGGTAAGGTTGATGCCAAGAACACTAGCCTTCAGGGCAGTGCAAAGACAAGCCGCAGCTTCAAGATCAACCAAACCCTTGATGAGGCTACAACATGGGGTCACAGGAGGAGTGCCCAAAGTCACGTCCTTCAACAAGTTGAGTGCGTTAACACAAACGCCGAGCTTCAAGGCATCTTTAGGGCAAGTCCCGGTGGTAGTTGGTGCGGTTGGTGTGGTTGGTGTGGTTGGTGTTGGTGGGCTATGTTTGTGCTTGTTGTGTTTGCGTGGTGGAGGAGGACAATCGGTACTTCGGGTGGCTGTAGTGAAAGTGAAGAGAATGATGTTGAAGAGAAGGAAGAGAGAAAGAGAGTTTTTAAGAGCCATTGGTTCTTTGAAGCTGGAAGAGCAAGAAAAAAGCCCTAAAGAAACTCTTTCAAGTTGAGAAGTACGCAGAGAGGTAGTAATAGTGGAGAGTGTTTGTTTGTGTGTGCAAGTGTGGAGAGTGTTAAAGTGTGTATTTATAGGGGGAAGTGAATGGCTTGAGTAGAGAATTAAACTATATATATTAGTATAAGCTAAATAATTTTATTAATAATAGTGGTTATTTTAATATCTATATGGACCGACCACGTTCTAGCCCTGGGGTATTTAGCTGGCGCTAGGCATAAAGAGTTTGGAACTAAGTATAGAGTTGCTATATATTAATGGTTTTCTATATGTCTTGTCTTGTTTTGTTTATATTGATACATTTTTTGATCTGAAGTTACATTTTTGATCTGAAGTTATATCGTTATGATATATAATTATGACTTTCTACAAAATTAAATATTTACATAGACTTTTCGTGTATGTATTTATGAAATAAGTTGCATGTATATATCTATTACTAATAAAAATTGATGCTAAATGCCTCTAAGGATGTCCACATATGATTTAAAAGATTTAATTCTATTGGTACACATCATCATTATCCATAGTTAATTATATATTGTATATTAAAATTAATTAATTTATTTTTACTAGTATAAAGGAAAATTTCTAAATTTTAATTAATTTAGTCTTTGTTGTTATTAGGAAAATTTCAAAAATTTAAGTTAGTTGGTAATAAGAAAGAGTTTATAAAGTAGATATTATTTTTCTATTAACAATAAAAAGTAAATTAACAGATAAATATTTTTAACAAACAAAATAATTAACATATAAATTAATTATTAAAGAAAATTATAGATATTGAACAAAACAGTTAAAAACCATATTTAAACTATTTCAAAATTTAAATCATGACAAACAATTAAAATCTGAACTGCTAACCTAAAATATATTAGTTGTAGTCTCTGTTGATGTCTTAGGCCACATATGACATAGAAATTCAAGCTGATTAGTCAACATCAGTATTTTTTATTAAACATAAAAATATTAAATATGACTGATAATCTAAATAAATTAAAACATGAAAAATATAAAATTATCATAGTAGAATATAAAATTAAGATAAAAAGTTTAACAAACAAAAAAAAAATTATATCAAAAATAAAAATCTATGTTTGTCAAAATAAAATAGAAACTATTGTCACAAAAGCTAAAGAAACAAAAATGTAAATGAATAACAAAAAAGTTTAATTAAAAAAAGAATTTTTTTTAACATATATATTTTAAATAAGTAATTAAATTAGAAAAAATGTTTAGATTAAATTGTTTTTATAAACATTTAAAATTGTTATATAAAACTATCAATACCACCCAAAAATTATTTATGTTAAATTAACAAAAAAAGTCATGTAAAACTTGACGTTATTATTTAGAAATCAACACAAAAAGCTGAGCTAACCAAAAAAGTTTAACAAACAAAAAACCAAACATACATTTTTTTTTTTAATATGTCAATACAATTAAAATAAAAATTCAGATCGAACAAGTTAAATTAACAAAAAAAAATATAAACTTCATATCCATGCTATTTTTTATTTAAAAAATTAATATAAAAAATAAGTAAGAAAATAAAAAAACTTAAGTAATACTAAAAAAAACTTTACTAACAAAAAGAAGATAAATATTTAAGCAAATTATTTAAAAAATCAATATTAAGAAATTAATTAACAAAGAAAAATAAAACAAAAATTAAGTTTTACAAAATGTTAAATTTTTTAAAAAATCACCTAAAAAGAAACTGACTTGATATCTGACTAACTACTTAAGAAATCAATATTAAAATATTTAACTAACGAAAAAACAAAAAATATATTCAAAAATATCAATATTTTCAAAACAATTATGTGTTCAAATAAAATAGAAATCAATATCAAGAGGAGTAAATTATCAAAGTAAAAAGTTGTATAAAGAAAACCTAGCTTGATATTTAGGCTAATATTTTGGAAAATCAACAAAGAAAATTAACTAAAAAGAACAAATGATGGTATAAACTTTTGAGAGAAGTCCACATAAAATTTAGAATACCCAGTTATATCATGTCAAAATAGCATTATAATTAAAATTAAAATTAATGTAAAAAATAAATTTAACAAATAAATAACATTTATGTAAAAGAGATTAAATTGATATATGCTAGCTATTGGGAAATCAATAACAAAAAGATTAATGAATATATATATATGTATTAAATATAACAAACATGCACAAAATTAGATAAATTAAAATAAAATAAAAAATTACCATCGAAAGATATGTAAAATAACAAAAAACAAAAATCTAAGAAGAAAATTAGTTTGAAATTTAGTTCTAGAAAATTCATGAATTCTAAAATATTGGTATTGGATATGAATAACCATATAAAGTTACAGTAGGTTATACAAGTTTCTAAATTAAATATAGGAATATTATTTAAATTTACAATAATTTATACATTGGTTGCGTCTGGTTTAAAAAGTAACAAAACAATACTACACAAGAAATTTTACATTCGAAATATAACAATTAATTTATACATAGGTACTAGTTATAACTTAGCCAACATGAACAGCACATGAGTAACATCTTCTATTTTTTTTTAAATAATAAAGTATGATAAAGTTATGAAATATATTCAAATTGGAATATATCTAGATGAACTATTCAAATCAAAACATGAATAAACCATACAAAATATAAAAACAGTAATAATGTGAAGACTCCACATCATCTTATATGTTTTAAAACAAAAACTATCAAATAGTTTACTGCAAAAAAAAAAACAGATCTTATAAACTGAATAGAGATATAACTTAAAATTTATGAAGATCTGGTAGAAAAGCAAGAAGCAGCTTTACATGATTATTATAGTATCCTAACAAAAGTAAATCCGAATCAACATGAATCATATATATTATATATACATAGTTACACAACATCAGCGAGACATTTAATCAAAAACTAAATATTTGAATATATAAACCTTAAAAAAGAAAAACTATATAAATTGTAAGTACACAAAACAAAACACCAAAAAATTAGTAAAAAAATTATTCTCTAAATCAAACGTATACACATCGAAGTTGGATAATCCGTTAGATGTTATTACTATTATCTAACTTAATAAGATTTATAATTTTATAATAAAAATAGTTAAAACTACATATTATGTTTTAGTTTTCTTTTATATAAAAGAAAATTTCTATAAATACACTATCCTTTTGATAATTTAAAAGATATTAGCCAAAAAAGAACTAAACCAAATTATTAATACAAACTCGCGCGTAACGCCAGTTAAAAGCCTAGTATACTGAAAATAATTAGCATATAATCCCATTAAAGATTGGCCTTTGGTCATACGGTATGGGCCATACCAAGGCTAGATTTAAATTGTAGGCAATTGAAGTGTTTTTACTTAAAAAATATTTTCCTAAAATCACACACATATATATATATATATATAAAAGCCAAAATTGTTGCCGGAAAATGAAATAGATATAGTCCATTCTTTTCCTATTTATTATACCACTTAGCATTTTTTTAAACATTACTATTGTATTAACGATTGACAAAAATGATTAATTGATTAACATGTAGTTTTGTCAACGCTACTCACAAATCTAATGTCAAAGAACTTATATTTCTCACATTCAGTTTTGTTACTTCCCTTTAAAAAAACTTCAAAAAAGCCTTGTTATTATTTTCCATTTCACAGAAAAATTGATGTTTTTACTTTTTACACAACCAAATAAAAGGTTGATAAATATAACAATTTTCTGGTATAATTAATGATCCACGCAATGTCTGTTTTTCTTTTTGGGGTATGTTTATCTTGATGATATTGGTTTACGGTCTAGTATAAAGCCTTAGTCACGTTGGTGTATAGTTTACACAGATGGTATACTGTGATAAAATATATATAGCATAATAAATTTCCATTGGCGGTTTATTATAGTAGTATAGGGGAAAAAACCGAAAAACAAAAATTACAAAGCAATAGTTTTATATAGATACCGAAAACAAATGAGTAGAGATGTTTTGTGGTGCAAAAAAGATGGTTATCATGGGCAGCCTTGTGGATACCTACGACCAGTACATGTTTTGAAGAAGATGTTTATATTGGGAGACATAGTGGTAGGTTTTTGTCCAACTGATTTGCATAGACAAGCAAGATTATCAATATCAGAGAGATTACGGACGATGGAACAACATGGCTCCGCTCTTCCAGTAGTTAGAAGACCATCGGTAATTGCTAAAATATTGGCACATATCTGTAACTCGGTACTATTCTTAAAACATATGCCACGAGAAGGAGGTGGTGGTGGTGGTGTTGTTTGTGGAGGTGGTGGGATAGTTGGTGATGGTCCTGGACAGGTAAACCCTTGTGGCATCCTACGACCAGTACATGTTCTGAAGAAGATGTTTATATTGGGAGACATAGAGAAAGGCTTTGCTCCCACAGATTTGCATAGACAAGCAAGATTATCAATGTCAGAGAGATTACGGACGATGGAACAACATGGCTCCGCTTTTCCAGTGGTTAGAAGACCATCAGTAATTGCTAAAATATTGGCACATATCTGTGACTCGGTACTATTCTTAAAACACATGCCACTAAAAGGAGGTGGTGGTGGTGGTGTTGTTTGTGGAGGTGGTGGGATAGTTGGTGATGGTTCTGGACAGGTAAAGCCTTGTGGCATCCTACGACCAGTACATGTTCTGAAGAAGATGTTTATATTGGGAGACATAGAGAAAGGCTTTGCTTCCACAGATTTGCATAGACAAGCAAGATTATCAATATCAGAGAGATTACGGACGATGGAACAACATGGCTCCGCTCTTCCAGTGGTTAGAAGACCATCAGTAATTGCTAGAATGTTAGCACATATCTGTGACTCGGTACTATTCTTAAAACATATGCCACGAGAAGGAGGTGGTGGTGGTGGTGTGGTTTGTGAAGGAGGCGAAAGTGTTGCTGGTGGAGGGGGTGGTGTGATTTGTGGAGGAGGCGGTGGTTTGGTCTGTGGAAGAGGCGGAAATGTGGTTGCTGGTGGTGGGGGTGGTGTGATTTGTGGAGGAGGTGAAAGTGTAGTTGCTGGTGGAGGGGGTGGTGTGATTTGTGGAGGAGGCGGTGGTTTGGTCAGTGGAAGAGGCGGACATGCGGTTGCTGGTGGTGGGGGTGGTGTGGTCTGTTGAGAAGGCAGTGGTAGTAGTGGTTGGGTTGTTGGTGGAGGCTGTGGTGTGGCTGCTGGTGGAGGTAATGGTTGGGCATTGGGTGGTGGTGACGGTGGTGGTTGGATACTGGGTGGTGGCAGCAACGGCGGTGTTGGATTACAAATACAAGGTGGTGGAGGAGGACATTGTACTGAAGATGGATAGGGGTTATAACCGTTATCGGCTCCAACGAAGTTGAGTAATGGAAAGATACTCAATATGAGGAAGAGGTTTATGGCTGTTGAGGCCATACTTGGATTCATTTTTTGTTGGTTTTGCAGTTGCTAAATTTGGACTATTTATGAACGATGACTCTGGATATGAGGATGAAGTTTGGGTTATCTAGTTGATAAAATAATTGTACGATAACGTGTTGACCAAAATTGGGTTTGCCTAACCTTGCGTTTAGATTGAAGCTTCAAGGTTTGCTTTCCCAACGTTTTTTTTTTTTTTTGCCATTTGACCTATGATATTCTATGGAGTAAAATGTCAAATCTAATTTTGCATTTGACTTGTAAGTCCAGACATCGAGAGAATCGTTGTTTATATGCGGGTTTAATGTGTTATTACAAACTTCCAAGACTCTTACAATATGTGATTCAAGTAAGCAAATCTCAAATCTACAGAAAAGTTTTTAACTAATTTAATTTGTTCGAGTTTTACCGTGTAACCAATGCAGTATAAATTACCAAAGTTGTGCTCGTTTGGATATTATGATATGTTCTCGCTCAAGATCCGTTGTTTCCACCAATAACCAAAGAGCCCTGTTTTTTGTTCCAACTCAATGCCTTGGCTGTTTGTTCCAAATGATGTGCATCTCATCTTTGTCTTCTCGTTCGTCTTTGACTCTTGGACTCTTTGACTTTTGTAGTCATTAAAGAGAGAAATGAAATGATATAACCTGTACATATATATACACTTGCTTTTTTTTGTTTTCCTAGATTATTTGCAATTAGTTTTAGAAATTCGAGTAAAAATCACGTGTTCCATGAAACTGGATATGGGATTTAACAAAATATGTCTATCATTCATTTAACAATTTCTGGCATGCCTAATATTCATGAACGATAAGTTTTTAATCAAATCCGATATCAAATTATTTTCTTTTTGTTGAAGATACCAGATTATTCCATTTCCTAGCAATAAAAGTAATGTTTGCGATGATTTTAAATTAATTCGTGATTTACTTAATTAATTTATTGTACATTAAACATAATAGTTATTGAAAAACTAGTGTAATTACACAATAGTATTTTACTACATTTTCCTTCATGATTTAGTACTTGTCTACTTCTCTATAAAGCTTGTTTGAGGTTTAGATATAACCTATCAATTCATTCAATTTTTTTTTTTGGGGGGGGGGGGGGGGGGGGGGATAATTTATGACGTACAGATATGATAAACACTAATAAACTAAACACACAATGGAAAAGTAACACAAACTTTATTGATGTAATATTACATTATTATTAGTAGAAATTAAAAAAGTCACAAGTCTTTAGTTGTGGCTTACGTGGTAAGTTTTAGTATATTTAGGGAGTTTAATTAGAAGGGGACATGCACATGCATGGTCACATGCATGGAAGTGATCATGGGCAGGTGAAGCCTCGGGGAATCTTGCGACCACAAGCCTTACAGAGGATAATGATATCGAGAGAAAGTGTGTAGCGTCGTGCATTCACCAAACTACATAGGCAAGCAGCTGCATTAGCATCAGATAGATCACGGATGAGGGAGCAACATGGCTGCGCCATTCCAAAGTCTAGGAAAATTCCGGAACGTCGTAGGATACTGGAACATGCCCTTTGTTGGGCAGCATTCCTAGGACATGTGCCTGGCGGGGGCGGTGGTGGTTGAGACTTTGGAGGAGGTGGTGGTGGAGTTTGTGGAAGGGGCGTTGGTGGAGTCTGCGGTGGGGGCGTTGATGGAGTCTTTGGTGGTGGCGGCGGTGATGTGGTTTGAGGAGAAGGTGGTGGAGTCCCCGGTGGGGGTGGTGGTGCAGTCTGTGGTGGTGTGGTTGGAGGAGGAGGTGGGAGAGTCTGCGGTGGGGGTGGTGGTGGAGTCTGTGGTGGAGGCGGTGGTGGTGTGGTTGGAGGAGGAGGTGGGGGAGTCTGTGGTGGTGGTGTGGTTGGAGGAGGAGGTGGGGGAGTCTGCGGTGGAGGCGGTGGTGGTTGATTGTTTGGTGGAGACGTTGGTGGTGGCACTGGACACGGAAGTATCGTTGGTGCAGGACAGGGTGGAGGTGGCGTAGGTCGTGGACACGGCGGTGGTGGTCGTGGACACGGTAGAGATGGCGGTGGTTGTGGACACGGTGGAGGCGGCGGTGGTGGTGGTGGTCTTGGACACGGAGGAGGAGGCAGTGGTCGTGGACACACCGGTGGCGGTGGGGGTGGGCAGTGACGGGGCCGGCTGAGGGCTTCGGTTTGGGTGAGGAAGAGGATGCTGATCAGTGCAAGGACAAGAGCTACGGTTTTTGTTGAACTCTTTGGAGCCATTTTGGTCGTAGGCACTCTTTGTCCTCGCAAAAGAGAAACTGTACGGAAATGGGTGAGTTGAGGTGTAGTGAGACTGTGGCCTTTTATAGCGGTTTTTGGAGCTTCACTAGATTGACATTCCGCCACTTGTTCCATTGCCAAACCTATTTCTTGCTCGGAGGTGTCTTTACTTCAAGTCATTGTTCAAAGGCCTACCCTTGTTGGTCTTTTATGTGCTCGCATTTTCCGGTTATTGGAGGCATTAATCAGATTTCGATCCATGCAGTATAATGAGTAGTATAATCTATCGGTTAGGTACACGAATCGATGTTAGTCGTTAAATGAAGGCTACGTTGCATTAAGATTCATTTCACCTGATTCCATTTACATTAACATATCAGTTTGTGATATTAATATACGATTTTAAACAAAACACAACCTATATTTTGTAACTTGTATTCATATGTATTGCAAATTGATGGTTAGAGTTGCAATATAAACTCTACTGTACGTGCTTTAAAGCAGCTGACTTGTAGTACACCATTTCTTTGTTGTTTTTAAAAAAAAAAGCATATTACGTAACATCCCATAAACATTTGCACGTACGTTGAAATTAGCGCAAATTACAAAATCTCAAATTTAGAAGCTCAGTTATCTTATGCTAACCAAGTTATGAATCTAGAAGTTCGTTGGAAGTGCAACTAAAAAAAGATATCAAGAGTAAGCGGTCGTCGCTTAAATAGTGAAGTGTCATTAATTAATATGGTGTGTTGTTCTTATGAGATGTCAACTATACTATAGTGCTTTGGAGATTGACCAAATGATCGTATTATCATTAATTTCTTCCCTAAACCTCTCTTCTTTAGCTGAGGTTTAGAAATCAAGAGTTTATTTATATCTTTGCAAAGCTGCAATTCGGGACAAATGTAAGGGGACCAAAAAGTTAACAAGTGTAGTTCGGCGATTCATTATTAATCAAGCATTTATATAATTATTTCAATCAACTTTAGTTAGACGTTACTTCGTTAGAGACCTCTTAATACATTCTATGATAATAAACGAAACATGCAGTTAGAGATTCACTGAAACTATGCAAAATGAGGAAAAAAGAGAAAAAACAAATTTCCTATATTTTTGTTCATGTACAGGCTGAAAAAAAACGAAAACACGATTGGTATTAGACATGTGTATATCATATCTAAATAGATGCATTTATATTAGAGAGTAGTCATGGAACTTTCTAATTTAAAAAATTACCAAATTTAAATCTTACAAAATCTGACTTTATAAAAGAAAATTCACAGTCATTTTTTACGGTAGAAGTTTCCACAATATATAATCTATAAAATAAAAGCTCATAACCCATAAGTCCACACCAATCGCAGCCTTACACTTTTAGGGCTTGCATTCTAATTTGTTTTACTATAAAGTGATAGAAAATAAAAGTTTCCACAATATAATCTATACAACCCATACAAGTCCACACTTTTAGATTTTGCAGTTTTTATATGGTGTGAATAAACGACTTGATGATAACACTTTACAACCTTTTAGCCCTTTTACTACATGATTTCTCTATGAGCATTAAATATATTAGTGAAAAGAAGACAAAATTTAAACCAACTTGATTCCATAGTTTCTTTTCATGCAAATTTTTAATCTCATTTGATTAGAATCACATCAATAATCCTTATTTCGATTTTTTTTTATTTTATTTTATAAAAATGACATAATCCTTATCTCGTTCCTAACTAAAAGACACACCAACACTAACATAGCAACCATTCGATGATAGGAGCTGTTATATAATACGAAATGATGTTGCTTAGGTTCCTCCCTCTGAACGCCTTATACGCCGCCAGATGAGTTTGGATTCGAATTTTTTTGTTGTTAAAGTTTGTTTATTTTTATTTTTAAAGGAAAGTTTTGGTTAACAACTAAATTCAAAATATCGATCATCATCCCTCTGCTCTGAGTGACTCAAATGTTTGATATATAGGTTTTCAGTTCAAAGATATATTTAAAGTGAATTCGCTGAAGACTTTTGCATACTAACTTCAAAAAAATAAAACGGCAAGGGTTGATAAAAAGAAGAAGATCAATGGCAGGTTTAAAGAGAAGATAGTTAGAACAATTGTTATCAATTATTAGATTTGTTTTGTTTTGTTTCATTGGTGTATATTTAATTTAAAACATTTATGTTGTCTTTTTTATTACAAATTGAATATTTGCATTCTGTCAAGATTATAACATTTCTGTGCTCCATATTTTCCGATAATTTCTCAGCTAGATATATCTATAAATTTGATAAAAACATGCCGCCGAGTGGTATTTCCTTGTAATGTCATTTCATTCAGGTTCAAACTGCGTAATACATATCAATTATTGAAAGGAAAACTATTCTATAAATTTCAATAGTTTAGTGTGATTAAAAATTATAACACAACAATAAGGTGACAGTGTAAAAGTCAACAAAATTTATTGATGTTTTATTATATTATTATTATTGATAAAAAGTATAGAAGATCACAAGCATTTTTAGTTGTGGTTTAAGTGGTGCGTAAGTATTAGTATATCGGGGTAATTAGAAAGGAGACAAAGCAATGGTTATGGGCAAGTGAAACCTCGGGGGACCCTGCGACCACAAGCCCTACAAAGGACAAAGATTTCACGAGAAGGAGGACTGGGACGTCGTTGAACTTGTGGTTGCACCAAACCACATAGACAAGCAGCTGCATCAGCATCAGATAAATCGCGAATGAGGGAGCAACATGGCTGCGCCCTCCTAAAGTCTAAGAAATTTCCGAAACGTCTTACAACACTGGAACATGCCCTTTGTTGGGCGGCATTCCTAGGGCATATGGGGGCCGATGGTGGTGGTAGTGTGGTTGGAGGAGCTGGTGGAGTTTGCGGTGGTGGTGGTGTGGTTAGAGGGGCTTGTGGTAGTGTAATTGGAGGAAGCACTGGTGGAGTCTGTGGTAGTGTTGTTGGAGGAGCTTGGGGTAGTGTAACTGGAGGAAGTATTGGTGGAGTCTGTGGTACTGTAATTGGAGGAAGCACTGGTGGAGTCTGTGGTAATGTAATTGGAGGAGCTTGGGGTAGCGTAATTGGAGGAAGTGGAGGAACTTGGGGTAGCGTAATTGGAGGAAGTGGGGGAACTTGGGGCAGCGTAATTGGAGGAAGCACTGGTGGAGTTTGTGGTAATGTAATTGGAGGAGCTTGGGGTAGCGTAATTGGAGGAAGTGGGGGAACTTGGGGCAGCGTAATTGGAGGAAGCACTGGTGGAGTTTGTGGTAATGTAATTGGAGGAGCTTGGGGTGGCGTAATTGGAGGAAGTGGAAGAACTTGGGGTAGTGTAATTGGAGGAAATGGGGGAACTTGGGGTAGCATTATTGGAGGAAGCACTGGTGGAGTCTGTGGTAGTGTGGTTGGAGGTGTTTGGGGCAGTGAAATTGGAGAACGCACTGGTGGAATCTGCGGTGGTGTGGTTGGAGGACGCACTGGTTTAACTTCCTCCGTAGTTGTTGGTGTAATGTTTGGTGAAGGAGCTTGGGGTGGTGTGGTTGGAGGACGTACTGGTGGCGCTTGTGGTGGTGTAGTTGGAGCTGGAGGAGTTTGGGGTGGAGGAAACGGTGGTGTTATTGTTGGAGTTAGGGGGGTTGGTGGTAGATTGTTTGGTGGAGGCGGTGGTGCTGGTATTGGTGGACAAATATTACATACTGGACACTTTGGTGACGGTAGGGGTGAAGGGGGTGGAGGCCGTCTTGGCGGTGGAGGTGGAGGTCGGCGCGGTGGTGGGGGTGGAGGCCGGCGTGGAGGTGGAGGGCGATGTGGACTGGGACGGCTCTGAGCTTCAGTTTGGGTGAGGAGGAGGATGCTGATCAGTGCAAGGACAAGAGCTAAGGATTTTTTTGAACACGTTGGGGCCATTTTGTTTTTAGGCAATCTTTGTCCTCACAAAAGAGATTGTACGGAAACTGATGGATTAAAGTGTAGTGAAGCTGTGGGTATATATAGCAGGTTTTGAAGAGTCAAAAGGGTTTGGATTCTACCACTTGTTCTACTGCCATACCCTCTTTGTTTTTCTTATGCTTAGGGCTCATAGTTGGAACTTCACTTCGTCAGTTTTAAAATATCTCTTAATTTGGCCTACGTTGGTAAGTTTTTCAAAATATATCTTGACGATTTCCATTTTTTTTCCTTCTTATTCCATTTAAATGATGACTACTATCACACTGTTAACATGTTCAACGATCTCAAATTCGAGGTCCATACTAAAACAGAACTTTGTTTAATTTGCAACTTGCATATCGATTTATCTAGTAATTCGAGGTCCTATTAAGTGACACTTTCAAGTAGACCAACCATTCTCATGAATAAACTGGGCTATTTTTGCTGTTGTTGTTTCTTCGATTCGTTTTAAAAAGTATCGTGACATGCAAAATTACCTCACCATAATAAACTAAGTCTACCGAATCTCAAGTCAAAAGTGATGAGATCTAGACTTAATATATATAAAAAAGTAGTCATTCCAATCATTCTTTATTGGAAACTAACCATTAATATTAGTAGAAGGTCACTTGTTTTTGTACGATGTTTATATGTTATATCCAAGAGTGGATTAAGTTCATTAATCCAGAATTAGTTAAATTACTGTGAATTTTATTGGACGCCAATGAAGTCCATGCTTTTTCGATTGATCTATTCTCTTACTAAATATAATGATACGTTGGAGATATATAGAAGTGATCACTAATACAAGATTAATTGACAATACGGATAAATTCATTGTAAAACTGTGATCGATTAGGTAGCTTGAGTAAATGGATGGGCATGTTCCATAAAAACCAGAGCTCGAGTAAAATGGCTTAGGGTTGGGGACACTCTAAGGTATCTTGCCAGACACGTCTCTGTCGTTAGGCTAAATATTGACCATTTATTGTTTTAATTACTTGTTACACATATACCACTCTCGAGTTTTCTTTTTCTAATTACATTACAAGTATGTTGTTTGGATATTTCAAGCATAATACGACTAATTAAAAATACTAAGATATTACTAAATTAATCCTTAATTAGCAGTATGTCTTTTTGTAACTATATATACATATATCTATATTTTGAAACGAAATTTATAATTATTAAGCTATCTTACACTATCCAGTTTGAAAATCTAGATTAAGTTAGGAAGCATACAAGTTTTATTAAAGATTTGTTTATATATATAGGGGATTGACCTAATATTCTTAGATATTATTAATTTCCTTGCCAAACCTCTTTTAGCAGCTGCAACCAGGGCTGCATGTTGAGGGGGCAAGAAGTTGGTCATTTTTCTCCAAAAAAAAAAAAAGTTAGGTGAATTATTATTAATTATATATATTTACCTAATGGTTTCACATAATACTGAACTCTTAATCACATTCTATGGTAGCATGCAACTAAACCTTCATCTAAACACAGTATAAGCCTACAAATAGAAACCCATAGACGTGGTCTGATGCGACCCAATTAGATGCTGCAAGCGTGCAATTATCTAAACTCTATAAGTCTATATATAATAGAACTAGAGATTTTTCTAATATTTATGACAAGACTCCGACGAGGCGTATATGGTGTCGTACAAACATAACAGAACTCTTTCTCATTTTTTTCTTCTCTAGTTTATTGCAGCTCTGTTTCTCAAACGTGATTTCTTCCATTCTAGTTACTCAGTTACTGTTAGAGGGGAAATGAACACATTTTCTAAAAGGCCTTCCCTCGCTATAACTTAAGTTCATCACAACCAGGAAGACCGTGCCGACCGAGCTCAGATTAAAAGAAAATTCTTAAAATATAATTATGGAAGACCGAAAACATCAGATTAACCCAAAGGATAAAGGAGAATTTCCTTACTTCTCAAAGAATAAAGGATATTTCTATATCCGCGATATAGAAATATACACAAAGGCAAAAAGGAAAAGGAGTTCAGAGCAACCGACCTTCCATCCCTATAAATAAAGAGGATCTGGAAGCCAAGAAGGACAACTCATACAATCTAGAGAGCAGCAGAGCTAAAATAAGAGACTCCAACGCTTTCTAGTTTACTTCGCAAACCCTCTTTTTACTTCGGCATAACCTCTCGGTTATACCTTTCTTTGTAATTGCTACGCTTTCTTACTATCAATAAAAAAACCTTATTCTCCGAAACCCACAACTGTTAATCAAACTCTAGTGGTGATTTTCTGGTTCAACAGTTACCAAAGAAACTAATAATGGTGCGAGTGAGATAAGGGTTTAAGTTTACGTCTTTAGAACCTAACATCTTCGAACGAATTTAATAGTCAATTCGGAGTTTTTTAACTATTAAACAAATATTGAAGCAGGGATAAGAGAAGAACATAACCCACTTTGTCTGAGATTTAATTTTACGTAATTAATTCAATCACTTTTTTTTGTGGGGGGGGGGGGGGGGGGGGGGGGGGGAACTGTCCCTATCTATGAACTCCTATGTTTATTGAGCACTTTTATGATTATTGTGCTAACTGAATCTCCCTATCTATGAAATCCAGTGTTTAGTGAAATTAGGGAGAACAACAATAACGACACAATATAAAGGTTAATGAAGACTTTATTGATGATTTCTTACATTATTATTGGTAGAAAGTAAAACAAGTCACAAACATTTAGTTGTGATTTAAGTGTTGGGTGTAGTTTTAGTGTGTTGAGGTAATTAGAAGGGGACATGGAAATGGTTATGGGCAGGTGAAGCCCCGTGGGATCCTCCGGCCACAAACCCTACAAAGGACATATATATTGCGAGAAGGAGTGGAACGTCGTTGACCTTGTGGTTGCACCAAACCACATAGGCATGCTGCTGCATCAGCATCAGATAGATCGCGAATGAGGTTGCAACATGGCTGGGCTCTTCCAAAGTCTAGGAAATTTCCGAAACGTCTTACAACATTGGAGCATGCCCTTTGTTCGGTGGCACTCCTGGGACACGTGGGAGGAGGTGGTGGAGTCTGCGGTGTGGGCGGTGGTGGAGTCTGTGGTGGGGGTGGTGGTGGAATCTCCGGTGGTGGAGTGTCAGGTGGTGTAATCTCGGGCGGTGGAGTGTCAGGTGGTGTAATCTCGGGCGGTGGAGTGTCAGATGGTGTAATCTCGGGCGGTGGAGTGTCAGGTGGTGGAATCTCCGGTGGTGGAGTTTGAGCTGGTGGAATTTCCGGTGGTGGAGTGTCAGGTGGTGGAATTTCTGGTGGTGGAGTGTCAGGTGGTGTAATCTCGGGTGGTGGAGTGTCAGGTGGTGGAATTTCCGGTGGTGGAGTGTCAGGTGGTGTAATCTCGGATGGTGGAATCTCCGATGGTGGAGTTTGAGCTGGTGGAATTTCCGGTGGTGGAGTGTCAGGTGGTGGAATTTCTGATGGTGGAGTGTCAGGTGGTGTAATCTCGGGTGGTGAAGTGTCAGGTGGTGGAATTTCCGGTGGTGGAATTTCTGGTGGTGGAATGTCAGGTGGTGTAATCTCAGGTGGTGTAATCTCGGGTGGTGGAATCTCCGGTGGTGGAGTTTGAGCTGGTGGAATTTCCGGTGGTGGAGTGTCAGGTGGTGGAATTTCTGGTGGTGGAGTGTCAGGTGGTGTAATCTCGGGTGGTGGAATTTCCGGTGGTGGAGTGTCAGGTGGTGTAATCTCGGGTGGTGGTATCTTAGCTGGTGGAATTTCCGGTGGTGGAATGTCAGGTGGTGTAATCTCGGGTGGTGGTATCTTGGGTGGTGGAATTTCCGGTGGTGGAACTGGAACCTCCGGTGGAAACTCCGGTGGTGGATTATTTGGTGGAGATGCTGGTGTAGGAGGAGGTGGTAGTGGACAAGTACATGATGGACACACCAGTGGTGGTGGAGGTGGGGGTCGACGTGGAGGTGGAGTACGACGTGGGGGTGGAGGCCGGCGTGTAGGTGGAGGTGGAGGCCGTCGTGGATTAGGCCGGCTCTGCGCTTCGGTTTGGTCAAAGAGGAGGATGCTGATCAGTGCAAGGACAAGAAATAAGGTTTTGGTTGAACCCTTTGGAGCCATTTTGTCCTTACAAAAAGGGAAATCGTACGGATATCGGTGGATTGAAAGTGTAGTGTGGTTGTGGGTATTTATAGCAGCTTTTGGAGGGTCAAATAGGTTTTCATAATTTCATCCAGCCACTATATTGACAAAACTTCTTCTTCTGACCAAGGCTCATAGGTGGCTTTCAAGTTATTTTTCGAAAAAAAAACTCTTTCTTCTGACCAAGAGTGGTTGGTCTTGGTTTTTACATACCGCAATTTTCTGGTTAAAAGCGACAGTAATCAGTTATCCAATATGCAGTATAATCGGTCGGGCACTCGAACTGGTCGTTAGATGAAGACTATTTGTCTGAAGATGCATTTCTTCTCATTTCATTTACGTTACTTTATTGGATATATATATATATATTGGTAATATACAAATGTATATATTGATACGATTGTAAATTCGAAGTTCAGTACTACACAATTTTGTAACTTGTAGTCGTAACTTTGGTGTATTCAGTCGCGTTTTAGGGTCCAATGATTTTTCCAAAAGTGAATTTGTAAAAATCTCGTTAGCGAAGTTTTGAGTTTTTCCTATTGAATGGGACGTTCAGGATTTTTCTATTGATGCATTTTAAGATGGATAATAGCTACATATTTGTAACGTTTTAAGTCAATTCCGAATTTGTGATCAATTGAGTAATTTGTTGATTTTCTTGCTTCGATAAATGGGCATGCTCCATGAAATCCACAGGCTTCATATAGATTGAGTTTAGGTTTAGAAATGGGGGCGATCTAAGTTACCTTGGCAGCCAAGTCTCTATAGTTAGGCCAAATACCTTTTATTGGTATTTACACTTTTACTTGTTAGTCACATTCTATGGTAACCAACTAAATATTTTAAACACTCTAAATACAAACCCTCACCTCCATTAATACCATTAACTCACTCATCATCTCTCCATCTACAGTCATCACAATCTTATTTGGCTTTTTCAAAATATGGCTTCAAAAAACATGACGATGATCATGGCTCTCTACCTCACGTTCAACCTCGTCTTCTTGGGCTTCGCCTCGGCCCAACCTCCCGTAACTCAGCAGGACTGTCCTATCGACTTGCTCAGGCTCGAGGTTTGCGCCGACAGAATTGCCAGTATCCGCTTTGACCTTATCCCTTCCCAAGTTGTGGCCCAATGTTGTACTCTCTTAGCTCAGCTTAGTGGGGTATGTGCCCGCGAAGTCGTTCGTATCAGTTTGAAGGTCGAGCTCTTGAGTGGGAGGGCTAATGGGCTCTTCGGTCTCTGTCCTGGTGTAGCCGTACCACCTGGTGGTGTTAGCTGCAACTAATAAGTATACAACATGCAGCATCTTATATATATTATAATATTAATATCACTAGAATAAGCAGACACGTTACGTAATATTCTTTACATCGACGCAGTCTGATCCGACTTTAATATGATTTTACAACGTATGAAACACGCATCATTATTAAAGAACGTACGTATTGGCTTTATATTTAGAAGACGATATGTTAACAATGACTTTTTACAAAGACATTGATTGCAATGGTAGAATCTCAAAAGCACCATTGATTATGGTGAATCAACTCGAATGACAATTGATGGTCTGAAAGTATGCCTATAACTTCAATGGCATCAAAGTATGCTTATAACTTCAATATTGCTATTATGAGATGTCAACGTTGCTAGAGTTTGTGGATTGGCCAACTATCCGCACGTATCATTATTAATTTCGGGGCTAAATCTCTTTATCAAGATGAGGTTTAGATTTAATTAAGAGAATTATATCTTTGGGAAGAAAAAAAAAATATATCTTTGGGCAGCTCAGCTGCAACTAGGACTAGTGGACTAAATGCCGATGGACCAAAGAGTTACCGAGTGGTAAACTGGTATATTTTGAGCATGGTTTCAACAAATAGCATTTTTTATTAAACGTGATTTTTTTGTTAAAAGAAGAATATGCAAAAAAAAAAGAAAAAAAATATAAGCAAAACATTATTTTAAGCATGATACACTGTTATACTGACAAAGAATCTCCCAATATGGACATCTACCTAAATAAATCTTAATATTAATTACACAGTATATATGTCATTTATCAGAATTTTCCACCAACTTCCGATGATATATTTGATTTTTTTTTTAAACTTCATTTCCTTGGAAATTTCTAACGAAATTTTAAAAAAAACTGTTATATTTTGTCAGAAAAATTCCCCAAAAAAAAAAGTTGGTAAGAAAACTAAAAACCACTTGTTTTCTCGTAGAGTTCAGATGTATGTACTGGTCCAGATGAAATAGTAAGATACATATATCTTTTGTTTTTACTTTATACTTTTCATTTTATGAGGTTTCAAGTGTCATTCTGGATGTCAGTTGTGTCCCGCTTGAAACCGAACGTACCAATTCTATTTGAGTCATATCGAACGACAAGAAAGTTATAAATTTAAACTCTATCATTGTGAAGTTTGGTTGAAAGTGTATATTCGTTTTGCGAGCAATAGAGGTGTATGTATACCAATTTTAAGTCTTATATTGATATTCGGCTAGAAACTCTCCACCCGGTTGTTTGAGATTTAAGAGGTGTTATTGGTTCTTGTATTTTATTGGATTTGAGAATCCAAACCAATTCAGTGTTATTGGTTCTTGTATTTTAAAATCTATATTGAAATACAGTGTTATTGGTTCTATGATTTTAAAATTCATAATGAAATACAGTGTTATTGATTCTATCATTTTAAAATCTAGATATTATAAAGATTTAAGTTTTAATTGAATTTGAATGGATTTGGAAGGATTTTCATGACTAAAATACAAAGACTCAAATACAAGGTCTAACATTGGTATTTGAGTGGATTTGATTTTTTTTTCTATTTTGCTGATTTTGAAATCAATAAATTTATCTAATCCAAAGAAGATTTCTAAATCCACCAAAATACAAGAACCAATAATCCCTACTTAGATTTTATTTTATGTAGCAGGTCATTCAGTTTTGTTTTATTTTGGTATTACTAGTTATAGCGCTTTTGTAGTTTCACTTCAATGACCCTACTACTTGTTCCATTGTAAAAGTTACGGTAATTAGTGATGAGATCTCACTAATTCAATCCACACTGTATTCTTGGTAGTTTTGAATATAAATTGTTCTTTGTTCTTGTTGTTCTATATATGTATAGTCCAAAAAAACCAAGATCAAAGGGTTCCTGAGTAATTTGGATGGATATTCATAAATATAGGCCAGACAACGCATTCAATCGATACTATTCTTTTGTATATATTGTTTCGAAACATTATACAAAAGCTAGCTTTAACGAGACTAAATGTTTAGAAACGAATCATTTTTTGGGAAATTCTCGGTAGATAAAAAAAAAAAGCTATACATCATATAAATAAGTATGCTAAATTATTGTTCGTAAATAATTAATAAACTACTTTTCTGTTGTCCTGCGATAAAAAAAAAACAAAAAAAGTCCATATATTAACCCTAATGACCAACTTTGGTGCATTAAGGTATAATAAAGTTGATATTTCATTAATATCAACTTGACGAAATGTTCATTCATATCATTAAACTTACTTGCCAAACCTTTCCTCTGGAATGACGGAAGCTGCAACTCGGTCTACGTATTTCACTAATTACATATAATATCATTTCCGCGATTATATAAAGTTAATAAAAAAAATAACTCTGAAACCACAATTTCACAGTTTTTTTTTAATTAAATCAATGATTTATTCTCATGTATTCGGCCTAACTTTCATATATTTTCCACGATCCTGCTATTCTTCCTAAGAACAGTAGTATTCATTTAATTTTTCGTTAGAGAACTCTTAATTAGTCACATTCTAAGGTAACCAACTAAAGCTTCTAAACTCTATAAATACAAACCCTCACCTCCAATACTAATAACTCACACTCCTTATCTCATCAACTACAATAATCAAAATCTTATTTGGCATTTTCACGACATGGCTTCAAAGAACATAACGACGATCATGGCTCTCTACCTCACGTTCAACCTCGTCCTCTTGGGCTTCACCTCGGCCCAACCTCCAGTAGCTCAGCCGGATGAGTGTCCTATCGACTTACTCAGACTCGACGTTTGCGCCGACTTACTTGTCAGTATCCGCATTATCCTCCCTTCCCGAGAAGTGACCGAATGTTGTACTCTCCTAGCTCAGGTTGGTGGTCCTGCTGCGGCTGTATGTGCCTGCGAAGCCGCTAGTATTAGAATTCTCAACATAATTACTGTCCCAGTCTTGAATCTTAGGGTTAATCGGCTCCTCAGTCTCTGTCCTGGTGTACCCTTACCACCTGGTGGTGTTAGCTGCAACTAATAAGTATACAACATGCAGCATCTTATACAATATATAGTAAGATCACTAAAATAAGCAGACACGTTCCGTAATATCGGTTCATGGTGCAACTATGTTTTTTTTCTTTTCTTTTGAAGTATAACTATGTCTTTATCTTATGTTTAAAATAAAATTGAAACTTTGATCGTGTTTCACCTGTTCGGCTGTTCCATTATGATGTTCTTCAAGTTAGGTGCACCGTGCACGTACGTTGGTTGTTAAGTATGAAATATATAATCTTGGGTGAATCTATATACAATGACAAACTCAAAAAAAAAATGTGAAAAAACAAAAATTAGATGCTTTGCGATCCTTTACTATACTTTATTTTTTTGGTTCGTAACCTTTGAGAAATAACCGCTTTATATATATATATATATATATATATATATATATATATATATATATTCAGTCTCTTCGTTATACAACCCACATATAATCATTTGTAACAAAATGAGTCGTGTCTTTTACTAACATTTATGTACATTCAACCCTCAACACTCATGTATTTTGTAACTTTATTTATTTCTTGATATCTTAGTAGAGAATCCACATTGTTTTGATACTATTTAGTTAATGATTCGAATGATCTTAATTTTGACCAACGATATATTATTAACATATATCGTATACTTTTTTCGACGTACATTATTTTAATATTCATCAGGTTTGCAATTCTTGATATACGTAGAGAATATTGAAATTCTCTAGATAATTCAAAAGTCTGACTCAGCTTATAATTATACTAATAAGATATAAACGAATTAAAAGATAGAACAAAAATCTAATACTTATTCTTATTACAATTTTAAATAAGTACTGATTACTATATAAAGATGTTAAATTGTTCATTTTGGTCTCAATAAGCTTGTTTGAATCTTAATTTCTTTTATTTTTTATTAATTGTGAATTTTATCTACCAAAAAAAAAGTTTACCTAAATTACATGTGTTCGGCAGAGCTAGAATGTTTCAAACTTATAAAAGTTTGTAAATCCAATTGAGTGATACAACAACTTAAAGGTCTCTAGTAAATTGGTGAAGTCGGTAAACAAGTCTTGGTATCTTTGTGTCCCTTGTTCATTTTAAACAAGTCTTAGCTTTCACAAAATATTCCCGTTTAAGACATTTGATTTTTCTTGGGAAAACTCAATCCTATGGGGACTGGCTCAATCAGGCCTAGGCCTACGTAGGCTTTCAAACATTCACATCATCCATATAAACATGACCATTATCTATTAACTTCTTGGACCACATGCATTTAATTTACGAAACGGTCATGTTAAATGCTTTTTATTCTTTTTTGGTTTGGCAAAGATACCGAAATCCCATGCTCCATTCTTTTGTCCCGTTCATCAAACAACAATGACGAATTAATAAACATCCTTAATTTGCTTTTGTCTTTCAACATATGATGTGGGAGACAACAAGACAAAAGTAATACACTTTATTCAATTATTACTATGCTTCGTACATATAACAGTTTTGTTCCATTATTATTATTCTTCGTACTGATAACAACACTTATCACGTCCTGTTTAACAACAAAACGCACATCAACACTGTAAAACATGAATAAGCAAACATAACTGTGGCGCATGGATAGGTTTCTTAATGAGGGTCATTAAGGGTTAGCTGTTGGTGCTGGTGGACACTGAAAACCTATAGGAAAAACCATATTACAAGCGAAAAATATTTCTCTTATGGCCTTATCGATACCGAAAACCAAAGGGAGTGGTCTGAAGACATAGCAGAGGCAATCGGCTACTTGGACGTTCACAAGGCCATTGAGGGTACTGCAACATGTTCGTGCTCTGGTGTCACCAGCTGTTACATTGGCTAGGCCAAGGACATTGGCACATACACCTAGTTGCAATGGGTCTCTAGGGCACGTACCAAAGCCAGTGGCCGTAGGTGAGAGGAAGAGGTCAGCTTCGGCGAGGCTGACAATGAGGAAGATGATGATGAGGCCAATGGTGGTTGAGCTCTTTGAAAACATTTTAATTCTTTATGTGTGGAATACTGGAATATTGTTATGAAAGTGTGGGATGCTTGTGGTGAGGTTGCGTGGGTATTTATAGAGCCATGAGAAGCATTGAGAATAAAACTTTGGCACATTTATTATTCAACTCGAATTGCGTATCAGTACTCTACTATATAATAGGATGAGGTTTTAGGCAAGTGGTACGCCATATCTCTTTTGTACATTTGACTTTACGCATCTCTGAGTTGGCTCCCAACGAGTTCTTTTTAATGTTATTTACTAGTACTTGTTTAGTTCTGAGTCAAGGTTCTAACCAAAATCATAATATCAAATTTAAAAGACTAACAATCGGTACAAATATTAATACCATATTTAATAATTTACTACTAATTTTAACGGTATTTTTTTGCAACCGGTACATATTAATTATAATTTTTACATTTGTCTCTACAAATTATTAAGACTCGTTTTCTTCCACACAAATATGTGCAAATAAACAAATTAAGTGACACTTATTGTCGTTTTGTATGTGTGTGGCGGATCTATAGCATAGGTCCATATAGTTTATGCACGTGCCCCATACTGATTTTGAAAAAATCTCATACGTTACTTATTACAATGGTTGATTCGTTATCGTTGGTCGAGTTGGCCATTGTTACACTTTTTTAGTTCTTTGAGTGATCCACTCTCACTATTTATCTGTTTTTCTCTTTTGTTTTCTGTATATCCCATATTTCTTTTTTGAGCTTTCTTTCTCTTCTCGGTCTTTTTATATCTTTTGTTTTTGAAATTTCTTTCTTTCTTAATTTATTTTTTTTCTATACTTTTTAACAAATTAAATAAAATCATCAAAGTAAATCATGCAATTTATGTCATAAACTAATAAAGTCATAAATTAATTTTTAAAATAGTAATTATAATATAATCATATGATTTGGTTTTCAGTTTATAAAATATTTTAGAATCATTTTTAAATAAAGACTATTTTATTATAATGTATATCATTTCTTCTAAATATTAACATTATAATTTCTCATATATGCAGAAAGATTTTGAAAATCAGTGGAAATGGTTTTATTTAAAAATCACGCACGTAAGTAACACCAATTGTCTTTCTTCATTGAATTAATTTGTGTTATATGTGTAGTGTATCATCCAATCAATTAAATATTAAGTTTGCTAGTTAACAAAATTATGTTAATCGATTCTAATTTGTCAGTACAAAAAAAACTAAAAAAAAATATATATATATAGGGAATGCCGTGTTTACTGCGCCAATCCAACTATTCAATCTTTATTATTGTGTTTTTTTATTATTATTATTGATGGTCCCCTTTCATTAAGGTCATGTGCTCCATGTAGAAGAGTGGTCAAAATTTGTTGAAGCATGAATCCATAGAGACGAGCATTAGATTATGCGTTCCTTGTTTTCCGTAGCGATGTTTATAACCAGCGATTATTTTGTGCAGGTAAAAAACAGAAAATAAAGACAATGGAAAAGCCAGTACAAACCTTTGTTTTTTTGGTCGAAACCAATACAAACTTTATTGAGGGTTTATTACAAGAAAGTAAAAGTCACAATGTATATCTATAACGAGAGTATACGTTTTAAGTTTTCGTATAATTAGTAGAGTTATAGTTTTTTCTGTGGAAAAGGAAGTGGTTATGGGCAAGTGAAGCCTGGAGGAATCCTGCGGCCACAAGTCCTACTAAGGGTCATGATATTAGGAAAGAGACTGAAACGTGGTGCTCTAACTGACTCACATAAGCAAGCAAGTGCATCAACATCAGACAGATCACGGAGGATGGAACAACATGGCTGCGCTCTTCCAGCTCCTATGATATTATCAATAATACTTAGAATATTTCCACATATTCGTAGTTGGGGGACAATTCTACTAGGGCATGTGCCACGTGGTGGAGGAGGTGGCGGTGATGGGGGACTTCTTGGTAGAGGAATTGGTGGAGGAGTTCGTGAAGAAGGTGTTGGAGGAGAAATTGGTGGTGTTCGTGGAGAAGAATTTGGTGGAGATACTGGCGGTGTTTGTGGAAGAGAAGTTGGTGGAGTTCTTGGTGGAGAAACTGGTGATGTTTGTGAAGGAGCCATTGGTGAATTATTTGGCGGAGAGGTTGGTGGCACACGCGGAGGAAAAGTAGGTGGAGTTCTTGGTGGAGGGACTGGTGGTGTCCGTGGAGAAGCTATAGGTGGACTACTTGGCAGAGAGGTCGCTGGCATAGGTAGAAGAGAAGTTGGTGGAATGATTGGTGGAGGAACTGGTGGTGTTCGTGAATGAGCCATTGGTGGAGTCCTTGGCGGAGAAGTCGGTGGGGCAAGTGGAGGAGAAGTTGGTGGAAGGATTGGTGGTGTCCGTGGAGGAGCCATTGGTGGACTCCTTGGCGGAGAGGCCGGCGGCGCACGTGGAGGAGAAGTTGGTGAAGTTTTTGGTGGAGAGGCTGGTGGTATCCGTGGAGGAGCCATTGGTGGACTTTTTGGCGGAGAGGTCGGTAGTGCACGCGGAGGAGAAGTTGGTGGAGTTCTTGGTGGAGGGACTGGTGGTGTTCGTGGAGAAACCATTGGTGGACTCTTTGGCGGAGAGGTTGGTGGCGCACGTGGAGGAGAAGTTGGTGGAGTTCTTGGTGGAGAGACTGGTGGTGTTTGTAGAGGAGTCATTGGTGGACTCCTTGGCGGAGAGGTTGGTGGCGCACGTGGAGGAGGAGTTGGTGGAGTTCTTAGTAGAGGGATTGGTGATGTTCGTGGAGGAGCCATTGGTGGACTCTTTGGCGGAGAGGTTGGTGGCTCACGTGGAGGAGAAGTTGGTGGAGTTTTAGGTGGAGGAACTGGTGGTGTTCGTGGAGGAGCCATTGGTGGACTCCTTGGCGGAGAGGCTGGTGGCGCACGTGGAGGAGGAGTCGGTGGAGTTCTTGGTGGAGGGACTAGTGGTGTTTGTGGAGGAGCCATTGGTAAATTCTTTGGCGGAGAGATCGGTGGTGCACGTGGTGGAGGAGTCGGTGGAATTCTTGGTAGAGCGATTGGTGGTGTCTGTGGAAGAGTTATTGGTGGACTTTTTGGCGGAGAGGTTGGTGGCACAAGTGGAGGAGAAGTTGGTGGTGTTCGTGGAGGAGCCATTGGTGAACTCCTTGGCGGAGAGGTTGGTGGCGCACGTGGAGGAGAATTCGGTGGAGTTCTTGGTGGAGGGATTGGTGGTGCCCGTGGAGGAGCCATTGGTGGACTCTTTGGCGAAAAGATTGGTGGTGCACGCGGTGGAGGAGTCGGTAGAGTTCTTGGTGGAGCGATTGGTGGTGTCTGTGGAGGAGCCATTGGTGGACTTTTTGGCGGAGAGGTTGGTGGCACACGTGGAGGAAAAGTTGGTGGTGTTCGTGGAGGAGCCATTGGTAGACTCCTTGGCGGAGAGACTGGTGGCGCACGTGGAGGAGAAGTCGGTGGAGTTCTTGGTGGAGGGATTGGTGGTGCCTGTGGAGGAGCCATTGGTGGACTCTTTGGCGGAGATATCGGTGGTGCACGCGGTGGAGAAGTCGGTGGAGTTCTTGGTGGAGCGACTGGTGGTGTCTGCGGAGGAGCTATTGGTGGACTTTTTGGCGGAGAGGTTGGTGGTACACGTGGAGGAGAAGTTGGTGGTGTTCGTGGAGGAGCCATTGGTGGACTCCTTGGCGGAGAGGCTGGTGGCGCACGTGGAGGAGAAGTCGGTGGACTCTTTGGCGGAGAGATCGGTGGTGCACGTAGAGGAGGAATTGGTGGAGAGACTGGAGGTGTCTGTGGAGGAGCCATTGGTGGATTCTTTGGCGGAGAGGTTGGTGGCACACGTGGCGGAGAAGTTGGTGGAGTTCTTGGTGGAGAGACTGATGGTGTTCGTGGAGGAGCCATTGGTGGACTTCTTGATGGAGAGATTGGTGGCGCACCGGGAGGAAAAGTCGATGGAGTTCTTGGTGGAGGGACTGGTGGTGTTCGTGGAGGAGCCATTGGTGGAGTTGATGGTGGAGGAACTGGTCGTGGAGGAATCGTTGGTGGACTTCTTGGGTTTGGTGGTGGAGGTGTGCGGGGACGGGTTGGTCTATTTGCTTCCGTCTGGCCGAAAATGACGATGGTAAGTACAAAAAATAAAGCTACACTTGCTTGTGAATATTTTGGATCTATTTTCTTCATCGTGATATGTCTTCGAAGGAGGACTATTGTATACGGTTATTGTTTATCTAACAAGAAGTAAGGTTGTAGGTATTTATAGTACTTAAAGACGTTCACTGCGATGGTTATCTGTCACTTGTTCTGTTGCCAAACCTCTTCATGCTAGGCTTATATGGATGGGCTTCACTCTAGAGTACATTGACCCTCTAAGTCTTTAGGTTAAGGTCCTTTGAATTTTTCTTGTTTTTTTTTTTTGTATTTCCTTTACGTGACTGTATCACTTCTCATATTGTTAGCACGTTTGGTTAGACGATCGCAAGTTCGAGATCTAGTAAATGTACACTTGGTAGTCATTTGAACTTGATCAAGATTAGATTAAACCGTACTAACCCATGACAGAAACTAAAGTTATATACATAGATTACTATTTTTATTACCAATTAGCTTTTTAAGTTATAGAATTCATAATTCTTTACACTTAAAAGCAAATTTAAAAGTGTTTGTCTTTTGATATACAATTATTTGATTAGGTCACATCTTACTAAAATCTAATGGGTATCAATTACACCGAACCAATAAACGAAGAAACCAACCAGAATTAAACAAATAAAACTGTAATATCCATCCATATATGTTATAGTCTTATAGAAATCTACTAAATTAACAAATAAATTGCCATAGTCCAATATATAGTTTTTGTCTCGTTCTGTTTGAAAAGAGATTACATTCGTGCATGCTCGTAAAAATAACTTTGGATATGAGTGATGCGTAAATCACTAAAAAATTGGTTGACAATATAGCAACGGATCTATATGACATTCGATTCTATGTCAAATTTGTGAACGATTAAATAAGCTATGGGTTGTAAAGTTTGACTTTAATCGGCGGGGAGTTTTCATTAATTTCATCGCCAAACCTTTTTGCTGTAGACCCAGGTAACTTTTAAGTTTAAAGCCTCTATAGTGTGAGTTAGTTGAATATATATATATAGAGAAGAATATTAATTTTAGAACTTTAGAATGTTTCACACAATAATAAACTCAAACAGAGGAGAGTAAATTGTATAACCAATAACATCAAATTTTAAAAGTTATTTTAAAAACTTATAATAGCATAATATAAGATTTGTCATTCAAACACAAACCATTCCAAATGTTTGATTGAATAAACTCCAAATGTAGTAGCCTGGTATTAGCATAAATAAAATATAGAGCATATATACATACATATATATGCCCATTAACTATACGGATACGTTCGTTTTATTACATAGCTGTACATGCAAATGTTTAGGAAGTTTTGAGCAGTGAAGCTAGTTTTTAACGGTTCCTGAGAGAATAAACGTCTTGTAGACGATAGTTCGTACTACCAGCTCTTATCCGCCCTAAAGCGTCTAAAGCTCTTTTATTACATTGTCTGAAAACAACTACCACGATCTCAGCATTCGCATAAATCCTTTCAAATGACATCGTTATACACTTTAGTACTAATGTAAATATTTATGCTAGTAACAGAAATCTTTCTTGATGACTATTGCATGTTTGTCTTTTTAAAAAGACTTTTTAAATATAAATTTAAATTAAATTTTGAAAAATCCTTATTAACCCTAACCGGTATTTGTTCGTATCATTAAATGTCCTTGCCAAACCTTAATCTCTAGAATGAGGTCTAGTTCTAGATCATCGTAACGACTTAACCGTACTTGTCTCAATAAACTTTTAACTAAAAGTTAAAAACACTTGGTCACATTCTAATGTACGTATGTAACCAACGAAAGCTTCTAAACATTCCAAATACAAATAACTCACACTCCTTATCTCTCCAACTACAGCCATCATCAAAATCTTATTTAGCATTTTCACAATATGGCTTCAACGAACACGAACATGTTTTTAAAATTAATTATATGTTTTTATCTTTGGTACGTGGTGATTCACCTGTTCCTTTACTATACAATATACAAAGTTAGATACACTTAGTTTGGTTCGGATGAAATACTAAATCAGGCAATATAGTTGATCTATGTTTATTGTTTATGTCGTTGTGAAAAATCATTCTTACATCATAATTTAACGTGTACAATCATTTTTCAAATGTTTATGACGACAACTCAAGCGGTTAAGCTAGTTTCTAACGGTACCCGCGAGCATAAACGTCTTGTAGATGATGGTTCGAACCAGCTCGGATCCACCCCAAGCAGTCTCGAGCTCTTTCACTACATTTTCCGACAGCAAGTCTACTCCTTTCTCCTTGGCTGCGCCAACGGCAGACCACGATCTCAGCATCCGCAAGAATCCATCAAACGACACCGTTCTCTTCATCTCCAGTTCCATGGGCTTTCCCTCTGAGCCCAGGCCCACACTCTCGAAAGGAAATGGCAACGTTTTGTATCCGTCCAAAAAGTACTGGCACTCTGGGAATTTATAATACGGCATCGTTTGCTCGTTGAACCGAGTCATCACCGAGTCGAACTCGGGACTCACCACCATGTCTGTGTTGTAGCTCCACACGGCGATGATTCCTCCTGGTTTACGGAGGAGACGATTCGCGATTGCGTAGAATTTCGGGAGATCGAACCAGTGTACGGCGGTTGCCACCGTTATTAGATCGACGGAGTTTTCTTCTCCTCCTCCGATCAGATTCACCATCTCGTCTTCGGTCATCGACGGTGGCGTGTGGTGGTAAGTTACTTTCGGATGCGGTTTCCCCAGATTTAGCATCGTCTCGCTCACGTCCGTCGCGACGACTCTGTCGTAGTGCTCAGCGATCTGGCCGAAATCAGAGAGATTCGCATTGTAAAAATCAGATCGGGAAAATGTGAAAGAGAAAGCGAAAGAGGGAATTACGGACGCCGATCGCTGCTTGGCCGTTTCCAGTTCCGGCGTCCCAGGCGAGATGGTGACGGTGTGAGAGAGCGGCGAGCTTGCAGTACCAATCGGCGGGATAAGTAGGGCGTGCGTCTAAGTAGGTATCAGCTTGATTATCGTAAACTCCTGACATTTTGATACTGCGATTGCTTCTTCCTCTTCTTCTTCTTCTTATTCTTCTCAGTTAAAATTTTAATTCTGCTTATCTTAATAGAGGAGAGTAGATGATGATGAACTGACAAGAGAGGTTGCGAAATTCGATTTTGCTATTTCCTCGTACCAAAGTTTGACTTTGAAGGATTTTTTGGTCGGTATAATTGGTTTTGGATTTGGTTTCGGTTTAAATCTATTTTTGGTTTAGCATATTTATGACATTTTCGGTATGGCAGAAGTCACTATTGTTTGGGCTTTGTAATAATGACCCACTAGAAAGAAGAAAACAGTTAATCAGGCAAATAAAATGTACTTAGCATACCGTCCGTTAGATATCTTTGGTTCGATTGATGAAAGTTTTTTTTTTTTGTCGTGATTGATGAAAGTTATTCAACGGTTAGTCACATAACCATGTCTTAATAAAAATTTCATACGAGTAAAAGTTAATTTAAAAGGAGAGCAACTCAGGAATTTGGATTTGAAGGAAAGAGCCTTTGCCTGGATTTTATTTATTCCTCACATATTTTTTAATTAAATACAAAAAGGATCACAATGAACTTGTCCAAATGTATGACCAACCTACATTAATCTCAACTATATAACGAGAGAGATACAGAATGGTAGAGAGATAAGGAGATAAGACTTTACAGAGACACTCTACCAAAAGGAGGGACCTCTTTAGGAGATGATGAGTTTACACATCCTTACAAAAACTATAGCCTTTCTTGATCTTGCTCTGTGCCCATTTTCCGATCTTGTTTCCAGAAAGAGACGTTTCTTCTGTGTGTAAACAACTCCAATGTCGTCCGGATGAAAATCTTTTCAATGCAAGAAACCAAAAGATTAATCTAAAATACCGAAGTTCTTGTTTAGGAACTGCTGTAGGTTTTGGTGGTTTAGGTTTACTTTTGGGAACACAAAATGTTTAGCTGGTACAAGATCTTGTAGGATGAGTGAGTATATTCACCTTGGAATGAAACCGAGAAGCTTTTTAAGCAGAATCTGCTAGCTCGTTTTTGAACTCCCCGAAGATGTCAGGGCAATCATCCCAATTCCTGTGTCCTCGTGCTTCCCAGTAACCACCTGTGTACTTGAAGGTCTCGCTTTCTCCTTGTCTCTCGAACCATCTCGGTCTCCACCCGCTTTCCTGTAGTTGCCGCGACTGCAAAAACAACAGAGCAATTACATTTCTTGAACCATCATGAGTCACTAACAGACTACAGCAGTTCAAGGCAGAACATCAGCCTAAACTTTAGAGAGAAGCTAATGCTTTCATGGACAACCGAAATGTTAAGGTGACGTTACCATTCTTTGCCTTCTTTCTAACCGTTGTTTCTCTAAGTTCGCCTTCTCATATTCACCATTCTCCAAATGCCTTTGATCTGGTCTGAGCCTAGAGTCTGTGGGAGGAAGTATCTCCTGAATCCATGATCAAAGTTAACACAAGATCATACAATGAGAACAAGATCAGGCATAGAGACAGGGATCCAATAAAAGAAAAACCAAGATACATACCTGTAAGCCAGGTGTTAGCTCGTTCAGGGTAATGGCGAATGTGGTTAAGTTGTATCTAGTTACATTAGGTGGTGGCTTGGTCCTTTTCCATAGCAACGAGGCATTCGATGAAGGATCACTAACTTTCGTCTTGCTGGCTCCATCACCGGCAATATAGTGAAGGCTATCATCCCATTTACCAAATACCGTTGCAGCTTTTTGACCAGACACGTCTTCTACAAAACCATTTACCTATATGTATTTTTTGATCATGAGTTATTTCGACTATTAGGGTGCCACATAAAAGTAAGATTCATTGTTTACATATACAGAGCATATATCTCTGTGACTCTGACTCACCTGGTGAGGATTTCTCTCAAGAATCGATTGCTCCTTAAACTTGAGCGTACATGAATATTGGCGGTTCCCACGGATTTGCATCACCCCATGATGATCACAGTAGAGTTTACCTAGTATGATATTGTATATAGTTGATGTTACCTAAGAACAAAGATAAGTATAAAGTTACTTCAGGGCCAACAGCAAAAAAAATCCTCGAAAG